AGGCCATAATGCCCCTTTAAGTGATGTTGTTGAATTAAAATTGTTTTTAGAATTACAAACAACAGTCAAATTATATACCAGAGACTTTGTAACTTGCATTTGGAAGTAATCGTGTCTGCACTGTACTGACTGGAAAACCTCGTGTGAGGTCTGCATATTGTGTTCGGGTAGTGTATAACGCAGATACGTACCATTCAATTCATGCGAATGATTTGTGTATTGATTTTTCTTTTTGTTAAATTTTGGACCCGTGTGTCCTTCACATCCCCACATGACCCTACATAGCAACTGACAAAACAGCAGTAAGTAGTTGCCATGGCACCGACTCGCAACTATTGTTGTCTCCGGTGAGCTATAGACTCTCTCTCAGTGTATGCCGTCTCAATTATTTCCAATCCGACTAGACTAGTTCCCAGTCCTTCCATCGTCGACTCAGACTTTGAATATCATTGGTTGGCGGAAACGTATACCAGAAAAAAAATGTTGGTGTTCTAAAATTAGTAAATTAATAATGTTGATGGTCTTCATCTGGGAATTTCCATTTTCCGCGCAATATTGGCCCCACGGCTAGCACAGCCATTTACTGACTGTTGGTTTGTGCACAGTCGGGACAGCGGGTGCATAATTTTGGAAACCTGAATTCTCAGTGAGTTCAGGTTTTGCTAGAGGCATTTATAGGCAAAAGTTTTCTACGGTGCATACAGTGATTTATCTTGAAAAACACATCTTGTGCAACTTGCTACTCCTCTGAAATGTATGGAAACTGTTTGACATCCCTTTTTGGTTAATTTCATTGAAAAGTGCACTTCTTTAGTTCCATGCTTTTTAAGTTCTGACGATTGAGGGCGCTGTTGCTGTAATATCATTTCAAGAAGACACTGTTCAGTTTAGGGGTTTTTTTTGTTCAAATAGCTATTCAAAAATTTGCTCATTGAAAAAAATTTAGAAGGGGTTGCTCATCGGCTTACTGTCATTTTTTACACGACAACGAATCACCAAAGAAAAGGAAATTCATGACAGCAAAATATCCAAAATTCTAGCAACAGTTTTTTTCTGAAATAGCTGTAACATTGAGGTTTCTGCCCAGAATGACATCACGATGCTCATTAACAAGTAAATTTTCATTAGCATAAAAAACCAAAAAAATTAAGCACGCAATTTAGTCACTCGATTTTCTATGTGACAAACATGGTAGGTTTTCAAATTCGTTATAAAAGTACAGATGCTCATCATTTTAATCGTTATAAAAGTACAATAAATTGCTTATGATCCTCAAGCAATATACTTTGTAAAATAAATTTCAGGAGCTCATTTATTTACAATGATTTACTTTTTACTAAAAATGTAAAAATAGATAATGGTAAGCACGTAAATTTAGTTACTTTTTCTGTATATGTAGAGCTCTATATTTACAAGCATGGTAGTTTTTCAAATTAAGCATAAAAGTAAAAATTGTTCAAGATTTGATTTGCCTGAAAATATGCAAATTGTTCTAAGGGCATTATTAGTACTGGTATATTTGCATTGTTGACGCCTCAAATGTGAATTACGTTTTTAACTACCAACCTAAAAAATTAAGTATGAAAGTAAAAAATTGTTCAAGATTTGATTAATCTGAAAATATGCAAATTGTTTTAAGGGCATTATTAGTACTGGTATATTTGCATTATTGAAGCCAGAGATGTGAATAACGTTTTAAACTACCAACCTAACCTAAGGGATTTCCGGTTAATTAAGTTAAAATATGCATTCATTTGATGGGCCAGTCCATAAAATAATCCACCCTATGGTGTTTTGGGCCAATCACAGACACGTGTCCGACACGCAACATTTGCATATGACGCGCGCGTCTGGAACATGGCTTTCTTGGGTCACTTTATTTGCAACCTCGTTTCAAATAGCATCTCTAGGTGGGAAACGCGCTTCCTGTATCCTAGTTTTGTAGTTATTTGACAAACATGGTAGGTTTTTAAATTCGTTATAAAAGTACAGATGCTCATCATTTGAATCGTTATAAAAGTACAATAAATTGCTTATGATCCTCAAGCAATATACATTGTAAAATAAATTTCAGGAGCTCAGCTATTTACAATGATTTACTTTTTACTAAAAATGTAAAAATAGAAAATTGGTAAGCACGTAAATTTAGTTATTTTTTTCTGTATATGTAGAGCTCTATTTACAAGCATGGTAGTTTTTCAAATTAAGTATGAAAGTTAAAATTGTTCAAGATTTGATTTGCCTGAAAATATGCAAATTGTTCTAAGGGCGCAATTAGTACTGGTACATTTGCATTGTTGAAGCCAGAAATGTGAATTACGTTTTTAACTACCAACCTAACCTAAGGGATTTCCGGTTAATTAAGTTAAAATATGCATTCATTTGATGGGCCGATCCTTAAAATAATCCACCCTATGGTGTGTTGGACCAATCACAGGCACGGTGTCCGACACGCAACATTTGCATATAACGCGCGCGTCTGGAACATGGCTTTCTTGCATGGGTTACTTTATTTGCAACCTCGTTTCAAATAGCATCCCTAGGTGGGAAACGCGCTTCCTGTATCCTAATTCCACACAGCAATAGCAAGTCATGGATTTATAACGTGTAACTCGTGATATTATTTCCAAAGTGTTTTACGTGTTTAAACGTTCATAACCGGGCAAGCACACATTTACTCTCATTCATAAATACCTTTTCGGTCAAAAAAATCAAAACTTTTCGGTCCAAAAGTCAAAACAAGTCAAGAATTAAAAATTTCCAACAATTTTGTTCAACAATTTTACTTTATGTTTTCGAAACACATTGCCCATGCCTAACCGAGGATTGTGAACGTTCAACCAATAAAGGGGTAAAAGGCACCGGCTTTCATATAGGGGTCCAAAATTCATGCGACACTGGAAAAGTGTTCAAGACCTGCCAGCTGGTTTTTATCAACCATTTAAAACCGGTCACGTGACGGGCTCTCGACTATAAGGAATGGGCAAACTGTCTTATATATTTTTGAATGTGAATTGTAACATCACTCCTAAAAAAAAATCCCACTGCAATTATGCATATGGGATAGACTGCAACATTTTAACTTTGAAAATAAGTCATGTTTTCGGTCCTCCTCACGCGGCGACGACTTGATCTCGTCTGTAACCCAGACACCACACACCAGAGGTGGGTTTGCGTTACCAGAACAAAACATGACATATAAATGTAACAGACAAACAAAAACATAAGAAACCCGCTTCGTTTGGGAAAAGAAAACTCGCGTACGGGTCAATATAAACCACTGCATATAAACCCTCATCAATTACTTGGGATGACCGTCACCATTGCTCCCAGCAACTCCGTCTCCTATGTTGAGACCCTCGAGTCTTGTGAGAACATCGTTGAAGGCTCCTTCATCTGGACTGTCCCGCTGTCTTCCTTCACTGGTTACTTTGACCGTGGTATCCTGATCCCTCACCTAATTATTAATTAAGAAGGGTAAAACAAATTTGCTCATTTCAAATGTGACTTATAAAGTTGTTAAGTTAATCACTTTGGATGGAAACATTTCTTCTTCTTTTTACAGAGGCTGAAACATTAATCTGGCTTGTTTTTTTTATATAGCCTATTTGTACTCTGTAATTGCTGTAAAGGTTCGAATTCGTCGACTTATATTTGTAGGATGTTTTGGAAACATGTTAGTTTTGGGATTAGGGCTAGGGTTAAGATAAAATTAATATGCGTATATAAGCAAATAAACAAAATACATCATTTTGCTCCAATGTTCCTTTTTCAGAGCTGAAAAAAATGATTTTGACGTAAAGTTTCACAAACTTGGGAGAATTTTATAAAATTTCATTATAGCATTGTTATTCCAAACACTAAATTCTAAGTCGTTCAGTATTTGAGGTTATACGGAAACAATCAAGGCACGTGTTGTGCATATAGTTTTACAAATTGGCATGACTGATCTTTGGCTGAGGCAGTTTTGGCAGTAACGTGATTGAAGTCGAGTTTTTCACCTCTCTGATTTTTTGAAGTAGTGACTCCCACTTCTCTAAAGTGAGTAAGCCATAGCAACCTCGCACCACCTTCTCGACAACCTCAGCAACAAACTTCTCCTGCTGTTCAGCAGTCTTCAGTTCCACTGGAATATGGGCCACCTTGTTGCGAGCCTCGCGTAGCTTAATGAATTGAAGAAGAAAATAAAAACTTAAGTTGGAAAGGAGATAGTGCTGGCCCTCCCTATACCTAAACAAACGATACGTTTGACATTTTCCTCAAAACGTTATGCTGCTGTTTGCACTTGTATACTCTTTTTCTTTTTGTTTGTTTCTGTTGTTATTGTGGAGCGAATACATGCTGAAAATGGAACCTATGAAATGTACCATTATGTTGAATATGTTCTATATATATTGCCATTTCTATATAAGACGTTTAAATTTTATGTTAATATTTTTCATATCCATGATCAAACAGTGATACAAGTATAGACACTGATTTACTTCAGTTTTGCTTGTGCTACAACATCATCCTTGCCACAATCGGGAAAGTTTTTCTTCGTTTATTCTCTGTTCTGCGGCTTTCTTTGTAGAAAAAGTACACAAATGATGACAGTCTGCCAATGAACAATAATGCAACAAGGATTGTTTTTCAAAGAGCTTCCGCAAGTTTCGTCATGTCGTTTGTACAAACAGTGTGCCTATCACATCAGCTGTTACTACAGCAACACTCTGCCTTGATTGGCGGGAAATATTACGGACATATTCGGACACTTCAATTGAATTGAATATTTGGCACAAAATCCATGTCTGAGTAAAATTCATGTCTCTAGAAGATCAATCGTTTATCTTACTGTTTCATCTTCAGTCACAAAGGTTGCAGACCAATAAACAAACTGCCATATGCCCCGGTACCCCCACTTCCAAACTTCATGAAAAATACAATATGTTTGAGACACACAATTAAGCTTATGTCATCAGCTTTTGTTGTCTGCAAAATTTGAATGCAAGCTCACACCCCCGTTCACGGCTTCCACCCTTGTTTTTGTTTTTACAAAACTTCAAAATCATGGCAGCGCACACAAAATGTTCTAAAAGAAAAGAATTTGGGGGCAAATCGTGATTTGCCCGCCTAGTTAATATTGGGCCTAATTATATACTAGCCTCATTGCCACATAAAAAAAGATGTGTCTTTTATGACATACGTTTTCAATCGATGGTCTTTTCTCAGCAGGGATGTCGAACACACTGCATCTGTGTAGCAGCCTAAGAAGTGCTTCTCGGTCCAGATATCCACACAAGCTGGGTATCTGGGAGCCGGAGAGGTCCACTGTTGGCATCGGTTTCTTGAACAAGAACACCCAGGCGAGTTTGATGAACCCACCGGGCTCGTACAGCTGATGAATGTCATCCGAGTGTTGGTGTCTTGAGCCTCTGTCAATGTTATTGAAAGGTTCTGGATCGGCGACGGCCCAATACTTTTTTTGCCTGATTTCCGTCATCCATAATTTGCCTCGGAGACAAGAGCATTCCGTGTCAAGCCTGATGTCCTTTTTTGGGTTTTTCTCGAATCTGTTTTCAACAGCATCTTTCATGGTTTGATGAAGGACTTTCATATTGCCGTCAACGTCACATTGCTGACGAAGTAGTTCCACGGCGCGGTCGAGGATAAGCTCTGCCTTAATTTGATATTTCTTGATCGGTAATTCCCGTTTTTTAGACTCCTGAGGAAAACACATACAAAATGTATTCACTAATGAGAAAGTGGAAAACGAACAATTCGAAAACACATGCTTTGACGTTATTTATTATTTCGTCTTTTTTTTTTTTTAATTCTTCTTACACATTGCTTTCATCGTAAATCCATTTTTAACGATCGCATCTTTATACTAATTTGAAATTTGAGCTGATGCGTTTTGGTTTTGACTGAAGGCAATCGGCTTCGAAATTAAGTGTTATGTTCTAGCGATTCATGCATGATTTATGGGTACACATCGACGCAAGGGAAAGCGTCCTTTAAAAGCATTCGTGTGATCCAGATTACTTTGTGTTTCATTTTAAAACAAAATTTACATTTGTTTTGTAAATATCATTTAGTCAATTATTAATACAATATCCCCACGGGCAACTGCCTCTGACAGCCTTGAATAGCTCACACTTTCGTGTGCTATTCTCGACGTAAAGAAATTTCCTATGAAAATATACAAAACCTGCGTCAAATGGTGCGAAAAAGTGGCTGTAACTTAATTCATTGTCAATTGTAATTTGTCACAATTCCTCTCCGACACTTAAGGTTAAAGGATGGTCCGATCACTTTATTCAGTATTTAGAACCATAACCTACCTTTTTCAAATTGTCTACTGCTTTCCGTATTTTTCCTGCTTGTTTATCGAGTGGATCGGAGCCTTTAACACCTTGTATTGCATTCAAGGCGATATTACCCTTCGAATATTTCACTGGAATAACCTTATACTTGCATTCGTCTATGCTATGCTGTAGGGAAGCATAAGTCTCGAACTTGTTAGTCTCATCCTTGACAAAACGATCAGTGACTATCAGCACCACACACCAGGAGTGTTCTATGAGGTCGATCTGATTGTCAATCGTGTACGTTCCCGCTGGGAAATCATCGCAAGATTTAACTGTGAAGGTACGCTCCTGCGGCTTCTCTAAAGCTCCTCGTAGCTCCTTCGCTTTATCCTCATCGCTGTCGTGGTAGAACAACGCAACATCCACTTTTTCTCCTTTCGAACTCGCCGTGGCCATGTTGTAAAAATACTGTTTGGAACCAGGGTCGACAGGTCAAGTGATTAAAATGGCTACCAGTACCACTGCGGCGATGCTGCAAATTATGTTGTCTATGTGGACATTGTGAATGAGCGGCGTTCGCGAAAATGTCTAAATGATTTCTCCAACATCGGAAACGTTTTCACGCCCTAATTTTCTAAACAGTATCGCAGTTTTCACTAAACTAAGTTGAAATAATGGTTTTATGATGTTCGAAATGGTGAACTCCACGACAATCATGACACACCTGCGGATTGTCATCTATTTCCGGTATTGAAACTGCGCATGCGTTTTATAGCAGGTCATGTGACATTTGGGTTGAAACATATTAAACACCGACCTCTATCAGTCTTTAATTTTAATTTCAACTTTAACTTATTTATTCTCATCACGTAAAACATGAAATTGGTCTCCTCGTTCTGCAAATTCACATTACAAACTTCACATAACCGAATTTATGCTAAGCAGGGACCTTTGGACATGACTCCGAATGACATTTGACCTCAGTGATCATTGCGCGGAAAGAATACACCTGAAATTGGTCTGAAGGGACTTTCCACACTTTCTTTTTAGTCGAGGAAAAACCTACTCCGATTTATTAAACAACACGATGGATCCAAGAATCACGCTTCCCCTTTTTCGTGTTAATTTTAGAAATCAACCCAGTATATGTAATTTTTACTTAAAGTAATGCTGGAATTGAGTAACTATATTTTTATCTAATAATCGGCAGTAAAATTGTATTTATATAACAGGCTTTGTTGTTTGCAACTTGTAATGGGTCTGACATTAGAACCTCGGTATTAAAGCAGGTGTGAACTATAGGGATCTTGTGGATTGTGTTCGGTTGATTTCGGCACAACCAACACATGTATGTATGTGTTATTCACTGCAGACTAAATAGGGCCTATTCGTTCACAATTTGGGTATGAATCAAAATTTCGTTGAACTTATGGAACCCGGCCGTGTGTCTTTCAATGGCCCTGTGCTATAGAGCAACTGATAAAGTGCTCGCGAACTCTTGTCATGTCGCCGGTGTGTTAGACTAGTTCTAGTCCCTCCGTCGTCGGTTGTGGTTGGCGGGAATTACGTCGTACTGGACAATAATCAGTTTTATGAAAAGTACTAATTGTTGATGTTCGTTTGTCTTTGAAGTTTCATTTTCCAAGCGACATAATGCCTACAACAAAGCCATATTATTCAAATCAACGATTTTTTATGGGGGGGGGGTGGGGATTCACGAGGGGCAGCTATTTCAACACCGTGGGGACGAGGTTGAAACCCTAGAGCAGTACACAATGAAAGTCACTAGTAACTGAAGGGAGATCTTCTTATAATACATACCGTCTCCAGTCCCCAATCGTTGATTCCCCTCCCCTCGATTCCCTCGCGACATAATAGGGAACGGACCAGTAAAATGGCCAAAACTGCCTAAACCGATCATACCAATGCACGATTTATATTCTGTCGATTTCTCTCTTGTATTGTGGTCCCTGTACTTGAGGGGTTAAAGCCTTATACGCACAGTCTTAATGTGTTGTAAGCGCGCCAGTGTGGGCCAAGTTTGGGCAAGGACCATTAGTCGACTAGTGGTTGATTTGTGACGTACCTTACGCCTGCGCACTGATAGCAAAGTGCGAACGTCTCCAGTCAACGCTGGTCAAAATGTCATCGCAAAACTTCTGGATCCTGGCTCTCTGCTAGCGTTATGAATGCGAGCGGCTATTAGTTACCAGCGAAGCAACCAACCCCAGTAGGCTGGTTCTAAATAGTCGACTAGCGTAGTCAACCACCGTCGACTAGACAGAGTTCGGGCAAACGTTAGTTAACCATTGGTCAACTATAGTCCTTGCGCGGACTTGGCCTAGTATTTAGATGCTCATTAACAGCGCCCTCTAGTGCCATGAGGTGCCCACCCCACCCCCACCCCCACCCCCACTCTCCGGTTTTCGAATTTCCACCACCGGGTAAGTTTAGGATTTTGGTCACACCCCCCCCCCCCCCTCCCCACTACCAGCGTGGATTAACGCCATGGTCCCACCTCTAAAACGGTCCATATCTGAGTATTTTGGGATGATATCAGACACGAATTAAAGTTGCTCTGTTTTCCCTAATCAGTGAAGCGATCATTTTTTAATATAGCCATTGGCTTGAGGACTATTTCTATAGGGATGATCATCTTGGATGGGACCAAGGACCCGCCCACCCCCACCCCCCCCCCCCAAATGAATTGACTCGACAGTATAAATGAGGTTGGATCTAGCTTTAATTTGATGTACGTCTGGAACACCATTCAGCCTGTGAGAGGATTTTTTTCTCTCAAATATGGGAACGTATTTACCGTTCTGCACCCATTAAATCTGAATCGCCCGACAGCAGGGCCACCCATGCGTCTATCAATTTCCTAGCCCCACCCCCTTCAAACTTTTTTACCATCCAACATTACAAGAAGACAGTGCCACACTGAATAATAGAAGGAACTTTTATTAGACTAGCATGAACGCAGAATGATTTACAGCATCCAAAGTGACTTACAATATAATCCGTAAGATTTGAAACTTTGCAAGGCGGTATTACAAAAGCGAGGTTTGCGATAACACGTACTATGTGGAAGCTCTAGAATCTCTTGTGGGTTTCACAACCAACCAGATCGTTTTTTAACCACATTTCTTTTGAAAAAAAAAGAGAAGAAGGGATTATTCCACATGGTGTTACCACAAAACCTCACTAGACAATCAGAATAAAGCTAAAAGCATATAAGTAAACCACGTTCAGTGTTTAAAATGAAATTGCAGTTGCATAAAAAAATCCATCAAAAAAGAAACCGTTATCCTTTGCTGACCCGTTACATATTAAAAGAGTAAAATATAAGGACGACATGCTTTGTTTACATGTGCGCTTTCCTATGGCAGCCAGATGGAGGCGAGATTCACTCATCTCCCATAGGAAAGAGCACATGTAAAAAAAAAATGACGTCATGTCTTACGCACTGGAGGGCTTCACGAACAGTATACGTTATCAGTATAGGAATACGTTCGAAGAGATAAACTTTAATAACTATTTTTTCTATGATTTTTTTATAGGCCTATATTTCTCTGATCTCTTTCAGAGGCAGTCTATGTGAATTCACTGACGCCATATTTTGGTCACTCAAAAAGCCTCACGTGGTATAGGTACGCACAAGCTGCATACGGCATAGGACTGAACAACGTGTACGCAAGCACGATATCTGCTTGGGAAACCAAGATGGCCGCTTGGCAGCATCAAGCCCAATGGGCCAATAAGCTAGTAAGCAGCGATCGCCGCATATCCTCGTCAGTAATACAGAACTATGGCTTTGTACAGCGACTAAAATGTATTTGGAGTCTCGTAATACACTTACCATACTATTAGGCCCTATATGTATAAATATTACATAAGGTATATAACTTATACGGCCTAGTATACAGCTGGGCCTAAAACTCACAAACCTATATACATGTATGCATCTAGCTCTGTGATGAGGACGTCACATTTTGTTTACACGTGTGTTTTCTTATGGGAGCCTGGTGCTCGAGGACCATGGTTTCGTAGCCCCATAGAAAAGCACCGTAAACAAAGTGTGACGTAATCAGTACAGAGGCTTTTTTCAGTCGATTTAGAATGGCTATATAATATTTTACTCTTTTCATACATTCTGGTTTACACAATGGGGCTATTTAGCCCATGGCATCCATTGCCATTACTAGTTAAACCTATTTCGGGTTAGACTCTTGGACAGAGTGAGGCTTAGGCAAGTTTAATTCACAAGACAGTGACAGTCGGTGAGGCAGTGAGTTAGTCGGGTGCAAAGAGGATTGTTAGTCTATTTTTAGCGCTGGGTACAAAAGACTTTACCCAAATCAAACAGCGCCCTCTATTGTGTCTGCCAAACCTCAAATAGGCTACTAGGCTGGCACCTCTTGGACTAACATAAATAACTAGGCTGTGTCCGAATTACTTGGCTGCGGCTTGAAATAACACACGAGTCTATTCCAACTGCCAGTGTGAAAATGCCAACTGCAAGTATCTCCCATAATGCACTGCCTCTCCATGGTAACATCTTGGCAGAGCGCACTGAACTGTAAATCGATGTCATAAAAACCTGTACATTATCCATTGACGCCCTCAGGTACTTAACAAATTTGAAATTAGCAATAAAAACGAGGGCCCAGTGCTCTCTCTTGTTGAGAGGATAAAAAAAGAGAGACTCGAGGGACCAAGCTTCGCTTCAAAAAGATTTGAAACAACACTGCAATCACGCCTGTGTACGTCACAACGCTATCCAGAAAAATATATAAATGTTTGATTGAAGAGAACGGTCATAACATTTTGATCCCCACCCTCGAAAAATATCTTCGCCACGCCACACTGCTGACAATATTTTTCTAAATATCCCAACTTATCTCTGACCAAGTTAGTTAACTGAAATCAGTGCCTTACTGGTAAACGAACTTGCTCAACAATTGTACTCAGTGTCGAAGATGAGGAAAATGAAGATGAAAACTTGATAAATGACAACAACAAAAATGAAGAAATAACGAGATTAATCACTGTAAGGACGAATCAAGTTTAGGCTTCTTGCGTTGCCTCGGTTCATATTTAGTTATGTTAGTCTTTTCTTCCAAGGTGTTCGATCTGCAAAATCTTGCCAACTGCTCAAGCACCTGTCCGAAGTTTCTCATTTCAGTCTGACCTCTCTGAAAGATTTCTCTCAAACGTGCCTTGACTGGCGATGGTAAGTTCTGGACAAATGTTACGCAATCACCGACCCATGAGAAGAATCTAAATGTAGCTACTACCTTATCAGGGCGGTCAATGTTGTTCCTAGTTGCAGATTCTGTCTCAAGAATAGCAGGTTTCACAGACTTGTCAGCGTTCTCGATTCTGATCCAATGCGGTCGGGACGAAACAACCACGAAGACCACTGTATTCATCAGGTTAGTCTCTGACAGGTCGGTTGAACCACACAATTCATCACGAGGACTACCATCCATGGTATTCTGATGACAGGTACGAAGATTAGAAAAGCGAAAAACGGTAAAATCAGTAAGATGAGAAAGCAACTCAAAGACGAAAACATCAATTTTGCTTATCAAACGAACTCTGTCGATGTGGGTCACCAATTTTTCTCTTTCGCCTCTTCCGTTCTTCAACTCGAGGTGTTGTTCCTCAACATCTTCGACACTTTCATTTCTAACTTGGATCAGTACATCTTTAGTATCGATTATTTCTTCTTGCTCTGCGATCAGTTCATCTCCAATTGTGATTTGTTTATCAGCAATATCGATTATTTCTCCAGTTGGGATCTGTTCGTTGACAGTATCGATTACCGGCATTTCTCTTTTATCTGTTATCTCTTCCTCACTAGTGTCGATTCTTTCTTGTTCATTTGTGTTCTCTTCATCGTCATCAGTTTCGATTCTTTCTCTTTCACTATTGAATTCGACTGCTTCTTCTGTTGACCCAGTCTTCCCCGCCGCGGCTTGAGTTGTTTCCGAGTCATCCTCCCCCGTCTCATCTAGTGCTTTCTTATTATCACTAACATCTTCGTCGCCACACCCACCAAGAACAGACTCATCAACGACAGAAAAATCGTGGATGTGTGATGTGATCATACCACCATCCTCCACTCCTGCCAAATCTTCAAAGAGCAAGTTCTGATAGCCGGAATCATTTTTGTCGGAATCAGTTTCATCGTGCTCATTAATAACCTGCAGAACAAACTTTTTACGAACTCGCGCTAACCACAGATCGTTTGATCGGGCCACCTTCCTGATACATTCAGTTTCTGCTTCCCCAAAATTTTCATCATCGCCGCCATCTTGTTCTTCGTCAATTGCATGAATTCCAGCTTTCACTGCTTGCCCTTCACTTGCAGTGACGTCACACAAAATGACGTCATCACTATCATGGACATCAATACATACTTCGTGTTGAGCAGGCGAATGTACTGAGACTTCAACAAGATATCCGCCCTCATTTCCATCGCTTGCCCCTCCCCCAATCTCTGCCCCTCCCTTTCCCCCATGTTGCCCCAGTTCAACCTCCAAATCGTCACCACTAGAACCCATTTCAGAATCGTAATCCAAGATATCCCCGTCACTATCCACAACACTCATCCATTCATCGCTTTCCTCGTCTCCAGTCGAGCGGACGCTGCAAACTCGGCAAGTATTTGCAAACGGGTCATTCGCAATCGGGTGATATTTCACGGTTTGGACGCTGCTCGGTTTATTCGGGCTTAATATTCGTACAACTGTCGATGTCGGTGGCGCGCTGGCTCTGACTCTGGGAATGCCTGCCTCAGCTCGAATCACTGGGATTGAGGGCGCCCTCATCCAATCTATACAAACCAAAAACAAAAGTAGCAACAATAACATGTTTGTTTGACAAATATTCAGCAAGAAATCTAACACGCTCATTTGGACATTTTCTTCAACCAGTGCGTCAAATAAAATTCATCCCCTGTATTACATAATTATTTATACACATTTGCCTTTATTCAGAAAATTGTAACTTATGAACTTGTTTTGTGTAGCACTGACAAATTGAGGAACTGCGCATGTCTTAGCAAACAGGAAATAGAGACCTGGATTCACAGGGGTCACAATATCATATAGCACCGGCGCAGTTTCCTTTGAAAACAGTTATGCCACATTGTTCCTCTTTAAGAACGTAAACAAAGGCTGCATTGTGCTGTAGTGAACAAACAAGGAAATAAAGTACTCTCTGTTACTCTATAAAACACACGGTATGCATGCAAAATCATACCAGCAAAATGAAAGATATTTCTTGTTCTGAAGTAAGCACGAAATTTCAAATCAAAACAAGGCTTGGAGAGCGACGTGTAATGTGCCAACGTTTGTGCGAACGAAAATTTCCATCGTGTTTTTGATTGCATGTAAGATTGCAGATTGCAGATTTGGTTACCACGTCCCCCATATGCTTTAATATTGTGCATTATTTGATGCATTTATTATATGATACGCTTATCCTGATGTAAAAAATCTGGTTAATAATATTTAATGAAGATGTGAAATTGGAATGCTAATTATTTTCAGACAATTGGGTTTTTTTTCAAACACCGGCGTAATGTTGTAAATTACTATGTGCTAAAATTTAAGGATCTCTGCAATTTTGCGAGGAAAAACATTACACCCCTGTGAAGTTCTAGTGTTTGGGTGTCAATTTGGGTTACTAGTTACAAATATCAATATAATAAGATTTGGAATCATTTTACGTAAAAGCAAACTGTTCTTGTCCTCACCTCGCCTTCTGAACCACTGTGGTCGAAACCTTTGAATGGCGACATATACATAGGTCATGGCAACGATCACAAAGAGAGTCCCTGAGGCGATGAGCAGCAGGTCTTGATATCCCCAACCGTCGTCAAGGTTTGCCTCGACCGGGAACACCTCTCTTGTTTCTCCTGATGGCTTTTTTTCTGAAGACATCCAGCTGATTGTGCCGGTGTTCTGATCCTCTGAATCATCTTTTTCATATAGCGATGCTTTTACTGGCATAAGCATATCTGGTCTTACTGACTCCTCGGTAGCGCGCGTCGACAACACCTTACCAGAAGCACTGGTGCGAGACGTCCGTGTAAATCCAGGCCTCTGAGTGGATCCCACTTCTGACACCAAATCGCTAGCGCGCGTACGCGCCTCCTTTGCATCCTGCTCGGCCAACCACTGCCGCAGCTCCTCGTGATTGTAGCCTTCGTCAAGGACCTTCTCGTGTTGACATGACTGGGTCCCTTCGTCAAATCGGTACCCCGGCTGTTGGCAATTTCTACTACAAATTATGTCGTGGTACTGAGAGCACTTTCTTTTGACCTGTCCACAAAGATTACAAGATAGATAATCAGCAAGCTACTTTAAAAATTGTGCAATATTCTGATTTCTGCTGGTTCCAGAGAGGACCAGCGTTATAGTCCTTTGTATTATAAATAGTTGAGTGGGTCATTCTTGACCAACTGACTGACACCCCCCCCCCCCCCCCCCCCAGTACCTGCATGTATGGATACGCAACTGGGATCATCCAGCTAATAAACACTCAAACTGTTACAAAAACCTAGATTTTATATTCAGATTACAGTAAAGGTTCAGTCCATGGTAATTGTTGCTCAGGTCATGATCACTTGCAGTCGCGACCATTTAGTCATAATGACGTCATAAACAAGCAGCCACTGATCCCGTAAAGTTTCAGACGCTAGGTGGCGCTGTATACATTACATTACGATTCTAGTTCTGCCATTACATAATTACTTTTCCCACCTCCTTTTTCCTTTCTTACCTCCGCCCGTCCTAGCTCACTTCTGGTGCATCTCTGACCCAATGACCTCTTAAACATTGACTGATCCCATCATAAAGGTTCAGACGCTAGGTGGCGCTATACATGTTTATTACGATTCCATGTTTAACCATTACGTAATCATTTTTTTCAACGACCTATTTTCATTCTTACCTCCACTCCGTCGTCACATCTCGTGCATCTGAGACACAACTCCGCCGTCTCCTCCGTGATATCCCTGCCATTCGGAAGGTAGAATTCTCCAGGTGCAAGCTTATGGAGGAAGTAATTCTCTGGACACTCGTGTTGTTGGATAACGATCTCGAAGGTGTCATTGTCTCTGCTTACCATGGTAAAGACAGTGCGCTGCGACGGTTTCTCATCAGAAGAACGAACGCTGAGAAAGAACACAATTAGAAACCGAAAATGAATTTTGAGAAACATGGTCCCGACTGCAGAAGGCTCGGTGAAAATCCCAACATATGGCATCCTATACTACATGCGTACATGTACGTTACTTCCTGGTATAAATTTATGCATCTTTGCTGAGGAAATTCAGTGTTTTGTTTGCGCAATACTTGTGTAACTTTATTGAGTCTGCCTAGAGTGCAGTAGTTTTTGTGATATAGGTGTAGCTTTGACGACAAAGACCACGGCTATTTGTTGTCGGAGGTGCCGCCAAAAATATACGGGATTTTCCCACATCACGCAATTGCCCAATGTTGCAGTGAGTGTATAGGCCTACATGCATTAAAATAGCGTGGGCAAAGGCCAACGGTCACAGTGTATGCGCACTACAGTGATTATTGCATGGCCATTGCTCAAAGGGGAAAATTGAAATCCACACAATAATACGGGTGGCATTTATCCTGGACTCTTTTTCCTGGTTTCTTTTTTTCGCTGCAGGATTTTCTATTTATCCCGTAGTATTATAAATAAATTATACATTCAATTCCAATTTTATCAGTCCATGCATGGACGTGCTTATGTGGAAAACGACTTATTATTAGTGCAATTATTAGTGTTATTTTAAGAGGTTCCCCAGAAATACTGTGGCAGAAAATTATGTCTAAATTATTTCTCAACTGCATTGGAGCCTTGGTAGAAAATCAAGCTTTTTTGGTCAATATGTAGGCCTAAGTGGAATTTTTAGTCAATAATTTAAATAAAGTGCTCGGCATCGAATCATATTCGTCATAAAATACACTAAATTATATACTGGATTACAACCGTTACATTATGAACTTTTTAAAAAGATGAGCAGCACCAAAATATCGGGATTAACCTTCGATCCTTATGAAATGTGTGTTTGCATACAATGCAAATAAACTCAGCCTATTATGACTCGACATGGCGTGAACGCGAATCATAATGCATGCAACGTCGACAATTTTTATCAAAACAATCTTCAACCTTTGACATGATCACGGGATCACGGGTAGACTTGTCCCACTCCCATCAGTATCTTTCTAGACTGAATGCAGAGAACTGGGGTTAAGTCGATCCTGCAGAACAGGGTTCATTGGTGCAAACAAATCATCCCCGTTAACAAGAGCAGAAACAGTTTCAAGTTGAGAAACAATTATCATAAAAATCTTGAACCTTTGGATTTAATCACATGCTGATCACGGGTATAGACCTGTCCCGTTAATCGTTTTGATCATTGAATGTAGATCGAGGGTCGTGGGTGAAAACACAAAAGTACAAGGGGGTATTTATACCTCCCCAATATTTGCTAAGGACTGAACTTTTCTACAGATGTGCCCCTTTTCACCAGCGTTTATCTCCCCTCCAATTTTTTTAGAGACGAGTGCCCTTTTTTAAACATTATTAAGAGCCCTTTGAAGGAGAAAAAAACAAGTGCCTTTCTTTTTAATTTTACCAGCTGCCTTTTCTTGTACGAGCCCTTTTTGGGAATTTCGCGCGACCGTCGGCAATAGAGCCTGAAAGTACGTAGGCCTATGCACCATTTTGTCTTTGAGCATCCGGACCCCTCCGCGACCTTTCTATGGGCATTTTACACGGGGTTGCCCTTTCTCTTGCTATAAATTTTGACAGAATTATTTCTAACCGTAGGCCTAATCACCCCAAGAAACATTCATTTCATCTTGACATTCCACAAGAAAAAAATGATGAGAAATCAGTTGGAGATGGGTAAAAACGAATTTTACTTACGACCTTTCACATCCGGATTTTCGTATGCCTATATAGGTCTCCTTGTTCGATCACGTTTGTATTCACATTGCGTAATTGCGTGAGAACGAAAAGGATAACGACGCGAAGATTTACCTACCTACATCCGATGGATTCCAGATTGATTATCATGCTTTAATGCAGTTCTTATCAACAACTTATTATACATTATTTGTAAATGAGAATTAGTCCTTCAAGTTTATTCAAACCAATTGCTTTGTCCCAAGAGACATTTTATAAAGACTCCTATTGAAGTTTCAGTTTTTACCCATTTACCGCCACAAAATTAGTTTCATAAATGTTCGTCTTTGTACGAGTGCTCCGGGTTCCACTTGTTCACATATATTTTAGATTTTCGGAAGTGAGAGGTCAAGTTCTGGCACACTATTTCTCTTTTACGTCATGCGATTTTTCAATTTCCATAGATTGAGATGTAAGTAACGATTTCATATAGGCCTTTTTTTCTGAGGGTGATTTTCGTAAGAAATCAATGTACCAAAAATAATTTCAAAAACTCTGACTTTTACACGCTAATTTTCCTATTCGAAGGGTCACCTATGGTCATTTGGTTTGAACAGCGCCCCAGTTGGAAGATGGTACCATCAGCCCCCCCCCCTTTTTTTTTACAGCGGCCAAGTGTCATGGGAAAAAACCTGTCGACATTTCAGCACCGATGTGCAAATGTCCTTTTTCACGAACCCCTTCCCATAAAAATGGCATTGCTCATGTGTACCAGCAAAGATATATTTTCTGTCCCGATTACACCAACTGCCTACTTAATTACACCGACTGATTGTCAAATTGCATTGATTATGATTTTATTAGGGTCACAAAATATTTTTTTATCAGAAAACAAGATTGGTACGGACCAATACAAAGGCACCCACATACAATACGAGAACAACTAATGATCTATATTTTTATTATGAATCTTAATATCATAAAACAACACTAATTAGCCACATCATAAATCTTACTGCCAATACATAAACGCGCACGGCACGTTAATGTGAGGGTCTATAGACCAAGTTTCTGAGCAATTTAGGCCTACGTTTCGTATTCAGTCTAGGCCTACTATCCTATAAGATACGAACAAAAAGTAGTTGGTGTTTTCATATTTGCAGTGTTATATGCGTACTATCCTATTGTGTCTTTTTGCAAGGGTACTTTTCCATAGGCCATAAGGTACTTTTCCATAATATTGCCCTCGATGTACTTTGTATACCGTATGCAAAATATGCGCATGTGCAGATGTGTCTCAACGTGATTTGGTGGGCGATGCTTTGCAGCTTGATCTATGATTGGCCTAATAGTTTCATTCATATTTTTTTTCACTGACAAAAGAAGTACAACTGCGCGCCGGCCAGGTGGCTCAGCTCGCCCATGGTCAACCCGAGTTCACCCACACATGTGGACGAGACACGAACCACGCATTCATAATACGGCACCAGAACTGCTCGTAAAACTATTCAGTCAACACGGCGGGACTTTAAATTTCAGGCAAAGATGCTCGTTTGCGCATAATTATTGTGTCTTCTGCGGTAAAAATAATCTCCTTTTTAAACACTTTATTGGCACGAATTTATCATTCGCCGTTATAATTCCTGCGACACGAGTCACACAGATGAACGGTAAGTCCAGCTATATGATAAATGTGGTCCTCTGTTTTTTTTCTGTCTGTCTGTCTGTCTAGAAATGTTCACAAGGATGTTCGTTTATTAATTTGATAATTCGTTTCTCCTAATATACTGCTTTATATACGTATCCAAGAGATCAACGTGCGAAAATGGCTGTGTGAGGGGTTGCATTTTTCTTTGGAAATATCCTATCAAAAAAGTGGCATAACTTGATACAGTTTTATAATGATATCCTGTCATTTTTGTCGTTTGCTTACACACGAGCAAATCACGAGGTTCATTAAAAAAATTAATAATTAATGTCCTTGACGTTTAGTTATGATAACAAGGTGCATTTTTTTTTCACCTGCGCGAACGCGTATGATCAGGCGGGCCTACGTAGAAATCCGCGAACTCTGTACCTTCGCTGAACGAGTACTGTACATGTACATGTACATGTACATGTTTGTACATGTACATGTACATGTACATTTCCACCAGAGCGCGTGCATTCAGAAGCCCGTGGACGATTCCATTTGCCCTAGAGGTATCCAGAACAAATCATTGTCGCAGATGGGGGATTTGACCCTTGTAAATTATCTGAAACGCAGCAGGATGATTTGACATTTTTCACGGTTTCAACATTTCTTCGTATTTATATACATGCGACCTGGGCTATATTTGGCACCGGTCCAATTTTTTCCCCCATGGCGTAAGTAGACGCGACACGATCATTCTACGGTCTGTGAATTTATTATGCAAATAGCCTAACCGCACTGACACGTGATCAAAACAGTGACGTACCTACACGTCCATTCATACTTTTACATGTGCTATCGCAGTGTTTACAACGACACATCAGTTCCCTTTGCATCATTGAATAAGACATGCACGTGTGTTTTCTTGTTAAAAGCTCCGGAAGAAATTTGGCATTGATCCTCTCTACTTCAGTCAAGAAAAGTGTGATCTATGCCAAGTGCCTACAATAATCACATGCCTTTATCTGCAACATTTTTTTTTACAGTCGTGTATAGCGATCTTTGACGTTTCTCCTGGACGCGGTATCTGTACTTAAACACGTGGACTGCGGCGTTTTGGTAAGTCCAATATTTTTTCTCAATGAAAACAGAGTGTGTTTTGTATTTGTATTTGGGGGGGGGGGGTCTTGTCAGATTGTAATTTTATAATACTTAATTGTGTATTTAGTTAGAGAGCCGACCCCTAAAAAAATGGGTGCATGCTGTTACCGATACCATTAATTATGATGGTTTACGTTTTTGCTCAGTATTTTCCAGACAACTTTCTCACCAACTCTGCAGGCACGGTCGCAATGTGTGGTTCATTTAAAAAAAAATACCCTTTCTAAATTCTAGACACAAACCCTAGCTCATTAAATTTACTTTGAATGTGAATAAGTGGCATATATAAAATAAAAATTCCCTTCCCGACCGATTTTGTTTTCAATCTTGAGTGATAAACCTAAAAATTGATGTTGAGTGGCCTTATACTTGGACTGTGGCGTTTTGGTAAGTCCATTTTCTCAATGAAAAACCGTGTCAATTGTATTTTTTTTTATTTGGGGGTGGGGGGTGGGGGAGAGGTTTTTGTCAGAATGTCATTTTATAATTTTTTAAAATTGTGTTCTCAGTTAGAGAGTCATCCTATTCCAACCCCATTCCCCCCCCCCACCCCAGCCCCCCCCCCCCAAAAAAAACACCCACCAGGATGCATGCTGTTAAATATACCATCAATTACATTCTATAACCTCTTTAATTATTTTGCAACTGCTCTTTTGAACCATGCACTGAATGTAATTATATTATCTTTTTTATCCACAATCAATAGACTAGCTTACTTATCGAATACTGAAATTGACATTGGGTCATTATCAAAGCACTGCATTATAAAACTTCACTGCAGCTGGACACCACCTGCTATCTTAATTTGTAGCCACAGATGTCATGTTCATTTTACGCCACGGGTTGTGGAGCATTTGTTGCCAGGTTTTCAGTCTGTCCATAGCTCCATGGTCTGTCTAAATTGTTCGTCAAGTTTCCTGTGCAGTTTTTATAATTCAGTTTGAGGTGTTTTTGTTTCTTTTTTGCTGAAATAGTCTTGTGGTAATTCTGTATTTTTCCACCGTTTATTTTTCCACGAAAGCACTATGCCTATACGTGTGTGTTTTTTTCTAAGCAAATTATTATGAACACGAAATCACGAGTCTTGTTTTTACATTTAATTCCTTTTTAAATGGCCTTTGACGTGCTGATCGCGGCACGAAGGGAACGCATGTTCGTTGTTATTGTTTATATCCGGTTGCCGAACACAAACTTTGGGGCAACATTCCATGGCATTTCATCTGAACCTTTAAACTCTTTTTCTTTACTCAAAACTCGTGACTCTGACTAGACGGTATAATCCCATCCACGCAGACTATAGACATTCTATATAAGGTCAATTATGTTAATACGCACACACCATGCACGCGCAAGGGACATGCCTCCAGTTCAAGACGGGCATGCGTGTTCTTTCTGAATACTGTACATGTACGTATAACTAGCCGCGGAGTAATGAAATGACAATAATCGCGGTTGGTAGTGTGCCAGAACTGATACATGTACTGGCAAGAAAAGGAACAGCTGGCTAGCCAGGCACAAAGGAAAAGGCGGTATTGTTATTATTCCGAAAAACCAAAACTTCTACCCATATGTATTCTGTGTCAAAATTGATGCACTTGTTTTTGTTAATTGATTCCATTTTTCTTCTTTTTGACTATATGAGTTTTTGGTATCAATCAGAGATAGTTATAGTGAGAAGCAAATAATATGAGAAATCGTACCTATTTATGAGGAAAATATATGAGAAAATGTGCTCAAAACTATTCATTTACTATTGAAAGGTTTATTGTAGTCTTTTTTGCAGAAGATGCATTTTGCACAGCTCTGTTGAAGGAAATGTATATGTCTACAAGTAGTTTATTCTTTTAATTAATTTTCTTCGACTTTTAGTTCTTCTGTTAATTATTTTTTTTAAAGGACACAAAGAAACACAATTCTTCTGATGCGAAGTGGATCGAAATTTGGCTGTCCGTTTCCTTACCCAAATCTTACACTATTAAATACCCCAAAAATCACGTGCACGCATAGGAATTTTCTGTTAAAGTACCACTAGACTCTGTACCAGTGTTTAACTTCCAGGGCACAAAACAAAGTCGGGTGTTGTTTTTTTTCAGGTAAAACCGCAGGTACAATATGTGTGCTCGCCCACGCGCAGGGGAGATTGTGCAATGGATTTAAGGGGATTCCCCTTGTACAATTTGCGTTAGACTTAAGGACAAGTCGTTAGACAGTCGTGTTTTGTCCGACCAGCCCCCATATAAACTAGCACAGCGCTCACTTACGCTATGTATTGTGTTTTACATCGGCATGTCTAAATGGAATCGACATATGCGCATAATAGGCCCGAGGATAGGAAGAAACCTGGCATCGACAGTAGTCCACTGGCTTCGGTAGTACGGTGCAGAACGCGGTATACTGAAGCGGTGGCGCATGCGGACTAAACCCGGTCAATTACCGACTTAATCCAAGTCTCAATTTGCCTGATTGCGAAATCCTTCATCGTTGTATAAAACACTTGCGTCAGCTCAACACGAAGTGTCTAGGAAAGTCAACGGACTTTCAGAAATTCTTGCTGACTCAAAAATGAATACATAAAAGGTATATTCTGGGAAACTGTAGGTTTTATTCAGGGAAAAAAAGTATTAGATATCCATCCAGAATATTTAATGTAAATTCGTTTACGTGATTATGAAACTCGCTATATAGGGCAGTAAATTTAGCTCACCACTGCCGATTGATTGAACGCAGTGAAATACGTTTTGCTAATGTAAAAAAAATACAGTGTGAAGTTCATTGATACTCAGTTCAAAAGAAAATCTTGGCTTACATTGGCTATTTATCGTTGTAAACTTCGAGCGCCATTTTCGATGCCAGCTACACTTAAAGCTGTCGACTTTGGCACGCAACAGATCATGGGGGGGAGGGTAAAAAAAGTTGATAATTATTATGTCATTATGTAAGAGAGAGGCTTTTTTATTCTTTTGAACGGTTTGATGGTATATATTTTGTATTTTCAACAATCCAATGTTAAAAAACATTAAAAACGAAATGTATTCTTTTTTGCGATGTTGACCTTCCATAGTTTGCAACCCATTGTCGGCAAAAGCATATACATGTAGTGCCAAACAAGTTGGCAAACAAAGGTCTATCTGTGATTCCGGTCAGTAAAAGTATTTTAACTCCATGTGTACTCACTTCTGTGTATACAATGTCAGATGCTGTATAATCTTTTTTTCTTGGTCATTTGAAGAAAACCATGGGATCAGAAATCATGAAGCTGCTTCCTCTGTTCGCCATCGTCTTTCTAATTTCATGGAACGTCATGGGCGTCCAGGCTGGTGAAAGGCCCGCCATTTTCAAAAAATGGCCTGCGTGCAAAAGAGACATCGAATACGTCTTGGTCGTGAAGGCGTCGGACCGCAGACCTGGCGAGCAATACAACGAACGCCACAAAAACAACAAAACCTGGTAAGTAGAAATTTTTGTTTGCCATATACGCTATCTGATCGAATTCTACGATAGGGTCAGACAACGTGGGCGCGACATGACAGTTTCTTGTTCTCATGAACTCTGGGACTGGGTTGACGTAATTTGAATATCCGCGCGAAGTGCCTTCCGCGCGTCCACGCGCACTTGATGACTAAATAACCCATTTTCATAACTACAAAATTCTTAGGTCGTACGTGGTTACATTATGCCTTTACAGCCTAGAAAACAGATTTCTTTTTTACAGAATCCTCCAACAGGTAGCGGCCAACACAGTTTTGGCCGCTATCTGCTTTTGCTGGGCAACTGTGCAGCTTCTGATTATCAAAATTGCTGTCTCCGTGCTTGTGCCCGTATTTATTGCGCAATGTAAAGATGATAATAGAGTTGCTCTGCTAAAAAAAGGCAAAATGTCGTAAAGTGATTAACACTTTAGAGCTTTTAATACACCTCTCTTGTGTTTATAGGCTGTACGTCTGCCTGCCCTGCACGCAGTGCGCATCAGGAGTGCGTCAGCTCCAACCATGCACGACGTACCAGGATACAAACTGTTCAGCCACGGAATGTGCCGTACCTGGATGCGTTCTAGACGACATGTTGCACGCCTGTAGACTGCCAGGCGACCCTAACGACTTCGCCGGTATCGCCGCCATGATGGACCCGTGTGATCCCACCAAAGCCCCGGTCAACCCGACTCCAGTCCCGTCAGAAGGTCAGAAACACCAACGTTTTGACGGTCATTCAGACTGATCCATGAAACCGTACTATATATACTCACTGCACTGCGCACAGAATGGACATGGCAAGAATACGTGAGTCTCTCCAATGCAAAATGCATGAGCTAGACGCGCGCGTCATATGCAAATACACGCATGTCAGGCAGTTTTGCGCACGCATGTCAACCATTAATCACGTTTGTGATTGGTCAAAACGTCTAGGGCGGGACTCAGTGGATCGGTATATTAAGGCAATGCCACAAGTCGTCATTACATCTTTTAATAGTGGGCAATTCCTCAATTAAGAAAGTGTACTGAGTCATGTTGGTAAAGTGACCTACTCTTATCGCCCTCTCACACCTTTCCCCATTGAGTCTCGGGTTTTCCTCCCCATTTTAAAACTGAACAATTAAGTCTTCTTCATCTTCATCTCTGGGTTTCTTCAAGCTTGCAAACCACAACAACATGGCCTTTTTAAAAAAAATGTTAGTTTCGATGCAAAACAAATAGAACATTACCGATGATTATTTTATTTTTCGTTTATTTACAGAAGATACCTCTAATAGACCGCCTCAACTTGTACAATCCACCGCATCGACCCCAAGCACAGACCCCTATGTTCCCACCGAGCCGCCCGCCACCAAATCGCCGTCCCTGCGCAAGGAGTGGGGAATACTGGAAACGGTCCTAACCGTTTCCTTGGCCTTGCTTAGCCTCATTCTTGCGGTAGGAATCTTCGTCCACTATCGTAGACCCAGGCGCCAGCTCGAGAAGGTGGCTCAAAGTGGGCGGGGCGACGATCTCAGTTTGAGTGGGATGCCGATAAAGGAAACACCTGTATAGTATAAGGATAATAATCAAACCTTGTATAATAGCTTCCACAAATATAAGCTAATAATGAGGTGCTATCAATTAAATTAAAAGTGAGGCTTAACCTTGGAACGAATAAATAGTATGGCACCATCCCATTCAACAGCTTACAATTTCGAAAATACATTCAGGATGATTCAGGGAACACGACCAAAATGGCTTCCTCGTGAATATCGTCAAGGCCGTGAGTGAACACTGAGTCTGTGCCATGATTTTTGGTTTTCATAGCCTTCCTTAAGCCTTCTTCTAGCCTTGCTCTATCCATGCTCTTTAAGCTCCATGTTTCTCCGAACGGATGTTCGATTTGTATGTTTTATCCAAACTGGAAAAAAAATTGTCTTTTGTTTTTCGATTTTGCACGTGTTCTATCCTCTGAAAAAAAACCCATTTTTTTTGGGGGGGGGGGTGGCTTTTGCGCCATTATGCACAAATAGTTGCGCCTTAAGTATATTGTATGTCAACATATTTAGAAAGTAAATATTCCACAGCTTAATATGGGTTGAGTTTGTTGTTTTCGATGCCTCAATCAGAAATGACTGTACATTTTGTATTTAACTTGACATATCACAGGGAGAGTATGCTTAAACGTAATGCAATGTACATAATAATTATTATTATTATTAACTGCCTATCAATGCAAGTTTTGGTATACATATTTATATACTTTTCTAATGTATTTATTCAGTATATTTAAAAGTTTAAAAAGACAAGAAGATAATTGTTTTGGAATCATGATAGAGCCAGAATGAACTGAGTCGCGCATAAATTTGATTTCTGTCGCTTATCAGTGGAACGGAATTCTTGTGTAATTCAAACACCACATTTTGTATGCGCAACTTTGTTACACAAGAGTCTAGCAGGTGTTATATAATAAGTGGATATATTAAGCAGATTGCTTTGTACATAGCCATATTCAGAATTTTCCATGTAACCAAAGATGAACAATTAAGTTAAAGTAAATCAACTCAGAAAAAAGGTATTTAAGTGATCCATGAGAGGTCTATCAACGAGCTCCCAATATGCAACGCGGTCATTACGTTATTAGGTCAGTACTGTTTATGCATTATTATTTAAATGAGCATTATTGGGCTACGTTCTGTACAAATTTTTTGCCATACTGCCTGCCTTGTGTTTTGCTCTGTATTATTTTGAAATATTTAAACAATTTTTCATGTTTAACAGCTTCAATTTTTTTTCATTTGGCTTGAAATGTCGGACTGTATAAATTTTGTATTTGTACATTTTGATTATTATTTATAAAAAAAATAATGCCTCTTCACTCTATCCTTTTTTTTTGCGTTTCAGTCCAATTGGTATCAAGCCCTTAATTAATTATTCTCATATAAGTTAAAGGCCCAATTACACAACGAGCACAAAACAGTTTGAAAACGCACGCACATTTTTTTTTCTTACAAATGTTTGGAAGGTGGCTTAAAGACGATGCAGCCGACATCCCAACTTAACAAGATTTTTGGAATTTCGGGTCCAATAAAGTGTAAAGTGTAACAGTCATTGCCGCTGTTGTTCGCTTGGGTAGTGTGCAATGCCAAAGGGACAATGGTATAAGTGGTTATCAAAGGGGACTTCCTGGTAAATCATGGCTAAATAAAATTAATTTGCAAGTTCAAAATATGACTTTCTTGGTATCCTGTTCGTCATACACACGCGCCGCGCGCACCACTGATTACAAGCACCCATTAATTGGCTGAACACACAAGTTGCGTTAACTTCCGTTTCCGACGGTTCCAATACTATTAAGAAATCTCTTTTTTTTACTTGACACGAAGCTATATCGCCCACTGTCGCCATTTACGGTCATAACACTCAAAGTCAACCGCGACACGAGTACAAAGAAATAAACGGTGAGTCCTTCATCTATTTTTGCCAGTCTGTCCAATGTCCTCAGGGTTTTTCAGTAGTAAAAACTGAAATAAAAAAAAAAAAATCGGACTTATGGAAATTGATCCAGACATGTTGCAATTGTTTTAGGAAGTAGAAGATGCCTGTTTTAATTCAGTACATTTGTAATTTTATAGTCCTATTCTGTCAGTTTGTCTTTCTTTCTATCTATCTGCATGGCAATGTCCACACGATTTTTTGAATTATTCGTTTCTGCTGAAAACTTCTGTTTCCAATTAGAAGACAATTTGCAAAAAATCGCATCCGGCCAGGGGTGGATGGGCCATTTGAAAATTCCAATCAAAAGTGACATGTATCTTAACACAATCATATCTTGTAATGTGGTCGGTTGCAAACACTCGATCAAATCACGAGATTCATAATTGGTATTTAAAGTCCGGCTATGCATTGTGGTGCGGCGGAACGTGTGTTTTACTGTTGACATAATCCGTGATTCACTCGCTGAATAAATGGAATTGAACCAGTACATTTCCACTAGCACGTAAATATAGAGTCAAACGTCATTCGATTTAGTCGTGGGCGAGATCATTTAGCTCTCAAGGCAACAACATTGTCGCGGATGGGGGGGTGGGGGGTGGGTACTACTGCTTATTTTGATCCCTGACTAGACTTTTTTTCAGTTCAAGTTCGAGATTTCATCATCCCGGCCGAAGCCGAAGTTCGCGGCGCTCCAATTTGTTTCTCCATAACATAGGTCACAGTACGCACAATCATTCTCCATAGTGTCTGCCTGTTGTGCAGATGGTCTGCATAATTAGCCTCGTACCTGGTTCATTCATACTTCCACAGCACTTCCTTTTGGCTTCGTATAATGCACACACGTGTGTTTTCTTGTTAATTGGCTCCGGAACAAATACGGGATGATTATATCCTCATTTTCAGTCCAAAGAATTGTGATCTTTTCCAAGTGTCTACAATATTCACGTCTTAATCTGCGATATTTTTTTCACAGTCGTCCATTTAGTGATCGTTGACTAAAACGTGGTATCTAGGCCTACACTTCACACGTGGACTGCGGCGTTTTGGTAAGTCCAGTATTTCCCTCAGTAAATCCGTGTTTTGTATTTTGTTGTCTTGCCATCTAGGCCTGATCCTGTCATTTTAGTTTTCGTAATTTTGATTTCAGTTCGAGAGCCATCCCACTTCAAACCCCACCCTCCCAACCCCCCCCCCCCAAAAAAAACCCACCCACCCCCCAAAAAAACCCACTGCTGAGACCGATAACATTAATAATAATGGGTGAAAACAAACCATTTTATTAACTAACAACTGTTCTTTTGACCCATGCACTGAATATATTTCTTTCTTTTTTATCCATAATCAGTATATAGGCTAGTTTACATGTCAGAATGATTATTGATATTCGGGTCACAATGCTCACAACACAAGTAAATACTGCATTATAAAACTGCACTGTAGTTATCCACGTGGTATATTCATTTGCAGCCACACATTCCTTCATGTTAGAGGAGATTATTTCTAGGTTTTCATTCACTTTGGTCGGCCGGTTTGTCAGTCTGTTTATCTGAAATATTCGTAAAGTTTCCTGTGCAGTTTTTTTTGTTAAATGTATACTGATTTTTCTTTTCTTTAAGTTTTGGTGAAATAGCCTTGTGACAGTTCTGTATTTTTCTAGCTTATACTTTTCCACGCAAGCGCCATCATGATTCCTATAATTTTTATATTATTTGACAATATCTGAACAATCACGTGTGCCCTTTTTTCTAAGCCTTTTTATAAACACGAAGTCACAAGTCTTGTTTTAAAATTCCGTTTTAAATGGCCTTTTGCCTTCGATGATCGAAGTACGAAGGAGCACATGTAGGCCCTGCGTGTTTGTTATTGTTTACATTCAGTAACAGAACGCATACCTTTAGAGGGGCAATTTTCCATCACGTCATCTGACCTTGGTTTAAACTCTTTTGTTCGATTCTCGTGACTATGAGTCAACACCGACCGAACAATCAACTGAGTACGAGTCCCAGGCACTTTGCTCGGTCGGTGTTGACACAACACGCGCACGCACAAATAAAAGGACACAATCAGTACACGGTGCATGACCCCCCAAAAGTTTGGCAAGCAGATACCTTTCAATTTCAAAGTATCCAACATCAGCATTTCATTTTCATTTGTTTGTACTCTTGTGTATGGGCATAATCACAGCGAAAATTTGTTGAAAATCCATTCATGCAAACCAGACATAGAATTGGCAATGTGTTTTTTTCACACGTTCCAATGTGATCTGAAAAGACCCAATGCAGATCGAGTGCCGTTTGAGCGAATTCCAATGCCATTGTAATTCCCATGGAATAGGTGGAGTTTGAGAATAAGCAGCTGAAATAGATGCAAAAAAATCATCAGAAACTCTATTAGTCAAAAAAGAAGAAAATACATGGAATCGAAATAATATAACTAAGTGAAGTACATCAATTGTAACAAAATTAGATACACATGTTACAGCTCTGGTTTGCATGAATGGTTTTCCATGACATTTTCACTGATTAAACACAAAAGTAAAATTAATATGCTCCATCAAAATGAAATACTCATGTTAGGTACTTTTCAGAAATTTAATGATATCTGCTTGCACAACTTTTTTTTGGGGGGGGGGTGACCCTGTATATTGTATTCAGTTATGGTATATGATACGGGTCCGTGACGTGACACGTTTATTCTCACCACTGACTGACGGAGCTTAAATCACAATTTCAGTTGGTATTTTAGTGAGCCAATTAAACCTAAATCGCATGGAAATACTGACAAGAAAAGAGGTACAACAATTACGTCGTAAGATACAATTCCAACAAAAACCCAAAACTTCCACTCACGCATCTCATTTTGTTACAATTAATGTTCTTCACTTTCGTGATATTATTTGATCCCTGGTATTTTTTTAATTTTTGAGACTAATTGAGTTCCTGGTGAGATTGTATCAATTTACTCAAAACTATTCATTTATCATTTGAACGGAATTACTGTATTCTAGTCTTCCTTGCAGGAAATGCAATGCATTTTTGCACCGTTCTGTTGAAAGAAACTTGTATCATGTCTTTACAGTACTTTGTTCTTTTAATTAATTTTTGAAAAAATTTAAAGAGAAATTACACATGAACCCAGTGAACTGGTTCGCTTCCGTTCCTATGACAACCCTAATACCTCACCATTCCACGACCCAAGAATCACGTGCACGCGCGATGGTAATTTCGAGAATTTGTTCTGCAGTACATGTAGTACCACCCTGTACCGAACTTGGCACAACACCAAGTCTGTTGGATGCGCTCATCCACATTGTGCAATGAATTACAGGGAATTCCCCTTGTACGTGATTGCGAAATTCCTCACCGTTGCTCTGCACTGTGAGTCGAGGCGTACGCGTACAAAGCATGCGGTGCAAGGTTGAGCCCGTGTTAGACTTGCTGACAAGTCGTTAGATATAGCCGTATCTTGTCCGTGAACTTCAGTCGAACTCCATCGGTACAGCTGGTATAAGACTAGTACGTAATCGGCCGGGTTGGGAGTGGACATACATTGTACATTTTGCCTGCGTGGAGCCTGTTGTAACCGGTACCGTATGCGCAAACAATTACCGACTTGGCACCAAGTCTATGCCCGTGTAGGCCTCCCGTACAACATTTCGCCATCATGCAAATTGTAAAAGGGGAATGAATTAAATTACTTGTGGGGTTATTTTTCCAGCGTGTGGGCGAGCGCATAATTATTTAACCTGCCATTTTTTAACCAAATGAATAATAAACTTGGTTGCCAAGTTCAACCGGAGAAGTACATACAAGAGTGTTTGAGAAGTCACCGGACTTTCAGGAATTTTTGCTGACTAAAAAATGCATACATTTAAATTGTACTAGGTTTGATATTAATAGAAACAGAACAAATATAGAGGATTTTAAAGGTCGTTCTTTTTAGAGACTTTTTTTTACATGATTATAAATCTCGCTGCACGACATCGACAGCTCACAAAAATAGCTCACAAAATAGCTAATATAAGAACGTTTTATTTACGCAGTTTTGCTACTTAGTAAAACATCAGTAAAATGCATTGCAGTGTGCATAAAGTTAGCCATTTTGCCTGCCACTCAAATTTGTTATAGCAATAATGTTTTCTGCTAAAGTTGCATGAAGCGGACAATAAATATCACCAAGTGTGTTTGAGTGATACTTAACAACTTCTTTTGGTCTTGTGTATTTGAAGAAAAACTTGGTACCAATGAAACTACTTCCCGTACTCGCCATCCTCCTGATTTCCTGCGATGTGCTGAGCGTCCAGGCTGGGAGCGAAAAACCGGCAATTTTCAAGAAATGGTCCGCTTGCAAGAAATACACCGAGTACGTCATGGTTGTGAAGGACTCCGATCGCAGTCCTGGCGAGAAATACTACGAACGGGAGATGAAAAAAGGAAAAACGATGTGAGTTTCAGCTTTCTCGATCCGTACACGTCATGACCCATTTTCTGCCTTTTTGCAGGCTAGTAAAGTCAATTACCTTAATATGCATGTGTGACACATGTCACGTGATTGCATTCAAATACATTTATCTTGTGTTTTGAAATAATGTTACTTTCCGTCGGAGATCATGGCAGAATTGTGGACTTCTATACGTAGGCTAGAACACTGGGCACAATGTTGCAATGTTGTCTGTGACACGATTCAGTTCCAGGAATTGTACATTTTTATTGTTTTCCCCGATAAGTAAAGTTTCTTTCCTTATTGTGTGTAATCAAATTCCGTACTGATCGATGAAGTGAATTTAACTTTTTAGTTACTCTTGGCTTTGGAAGATTTTTTTTTCAAAAAGGGAATTCCGAGAACCATTCCTTTACCAACTTACGCATGCGCACTATGGTAATTGACCATAGTCACCATACGTGGTTAAAAAAAAGTAATTGCTGCCCAGTTTGATCTAGACTGTTCCCGGCCCTCCTATTTTTGAAATCCAAAGGATTATATAGGGTCAGGGAACCAGACTAAGTTTGATCCACCTTCAATGAACTTTGGGTCAAGTTTAAGATTGTCACGCGTACCTGATGGCATGACCAATCAGATTTAAGGGAGGAAGCACTGTGATTGATATTCATAATGTGCTATTGAGCTAACCCAATTTCATACCTTTGTTGTCGAGCTTTGTTGTCAGTGACAGTTTTGGCCGCCACCTTTTTTGCTGGTCAACTGCGATCTTCTGTGCTTATCAAATTGCCCATTTGTAAGTCTCTGTAGAGCCATGGGCAAAAAAAGGCCAAGTATTAAAGATGATATTTTTTTCTTACTCATGAATTAGTCTCTGTGGTCCCTTGTGATTACAGTCAGTACTACGTCTGCCTGCCTTGCACGCAGTGCGCATCAGGCGTTCGTCAGCTCCAACCGTGCATGAAGTACCACGACACCAACTGTTCGGCCACTGAGTGTGCCGTAGCTGGATGCGTTCTAGACGAGATGTTGCACGACTGTAGACTGCCAGGCGACCCTGATGAGTTCCCCAGTATCTCCGCCATGATGGACCCGTGTGATCCCACCAAAGCCCCGGTCAACCCGACTCCAATCCCGCCAGGTTAGCGATACCAAAGCTTTGTCGGGTACAGACCACAGACGTAGACCAGACTGCTTAAACCCCGCCCACGTGCGTCACAATGCAGGTGTTTTGTGAAAATCCGACTCCTATTAAAATCGGCCCCCTTTTCCCTATTATTGGTTAATCCCTCGCACGTGACAAGTAACTCTCCTATTATAATCTTAAAAATTGCATATATCGTACTTACGCATGCGCAATACTACCAATGAGTTCACATTTCACGGAGTCGGATATTCACGCTACACATGCATTAGGTAGCCTGACGCGCGTGTCCAGCCTCGACTCCAGGGTCGCGGTCGCGTTCCTGCGTTCCTTACACTAACGATCGCGCAAGGCATGATGGGAAACAACATGGCGCAGCAAGATCGTACAACTCTATGGGGCACGAGGTTGGTGCGTGTCATGCTAATACACGTATGTCAGACATTCTGCGCACGCATGCCATGCATGTCATACATTAATCACGGTTGTAATTGGTCAAAACATCAAAGGGCAGGACTAACTGAAGAGGCACAGGTCGTCATCGTCGTCAAAAATTATAAGGTTGGTAGCCTTTAACTCTACTACCGGTTCGAATCCCACCCAAGTAACTATTGCTCCCATTGTGGTCTCATCTCGATCTCCTCCCTACTACTATAGTAAAAACTGAACCGTTGAGCCTCCATCGACTTCATAGGTTTCTTCAGCCTTGCGAGCTGCAGCGACACTTTTGAAGAATCGTCACAGTTTCGGTACAAAAATAGAATAACACTGACCATTTTTATTATCTCTTAATGTTTTACAGAAAATCCCTCGATCGGATCGCCTCAGCTCACAAAATGGAAGAAATCTAGCACTCCTCTGCCCGAAGAAGGAACGAACGGGGCGGCAGGTGGCAGTCAAAAAGTTCCCAACGAGCCGAAGTTGGTCGAGTCGTCAGGGGGCAAGCATGGTGGCGGATGGGGAACACTGGAGACAGTAGTCAGTGTTATCGTGGTCGCGTTGACCGTGAACGTCACGGTCGTGGGGATGTTCGTCTACTACCGCAGATCCAAGAACGTGAGGCTTCAGAGTGGGCGGGGACGTGGCACTGGTAGCTCGAGTGGGGGGATACTGGAGACGACTGTCTAGAGTCTATAGCTTCAGGCTATTGTCTTTCCGTATTGAAGTTAAGAGAGACGAGGTATGATGACGTCACTGTTTTTTTTTAACTTGTTCACTTCCCTTTGGAAGCTTGGTGGTTTTGGCTCCCATCAGGAAGCGCACATGTAAACAAAGCATGACGTCATTATTAGGCCCAGCATCCTTGAGATGATGGAGGACGCAATAGGAAGGCGTTTTAATTTTTAATTTGAGTAAATGCCAAACGTGTTTATCAACTATAGCGCCCTCCTATTTCGACCAGCATATACTGACTATTATGTCTGAGGATTTTGCAAATAGTCAGGAGAGTATGGTCTGGACGACAGACAAACTCTTTACTATGCAACAAAAACAAATGCCAAACAATGCAAACGAGTGTACATAATTACTTTTGTAAATATGAGGCATGTGGAATGTATTTATTTACAACAGTGAATATTTCGTATTTTAATCAAATTTGTTACACGAAGAGGAATATTTTCTTAAACCACCAAATGAAATTGTGTGTGAAATTGCAGAAATTCCTTGTTTACACTCTAAAAACTGTGTTTAGCAATTAAACACAATCTTGCTATCACTTTGTAAACATGTTTAGAAGCTAAACATTATGTGTCCAATTCCTAAACATCAATGTTAAATTACTTAACACTTTCCATCCTTAATACTCTAACATGCCTATCAAAAATGTTAACAAACTGATAGCAAGAAAGTGTTTAATTACTTATTAATAACACAATTTTTGCAGTGTACGGCTTCGGCGTTTTCTGCCAAGCTCAGCTCGGTGCGACGGACGTTTTCTCGGAAATATTCGGCGCACATGTACAGTTAAAATGATTTGAACGCAGCATTGTTATGCCCGACTAACGTTGTTTCAAGAGAGTGTTGGATTAGGTGTAATACATGCATGTAACGATTGTATTGTATGCTATACAAACCATGTATGACGATTGTACACATATTTGTTTTCAGCATATTTTTTACGTAACCAAAGAATGTGCAACAGGACAATCGTTGTATTTGCGATGTTTTCAACTCAGCAAAAGTATTCTGTTGCAATTGTATAATGCTTTATGAGGTAACGATCACGTCACACCCTCTTCACCGCGTTTGAGCTAAAGATTCAACTTTGAACCGTGATTCCCCCCAAGCTCATGATTTAATTCTTCTGTTAACAAAAGCAAGATATTTTCCATTTTGTATTCAAGAAAATTAGACCCTTTAACCGGCCTTAATCTTGTGAATCAAACATCTTCAAACTTCGACCCTTTTACGGATAGATAGAAAGAACTGTGAAAATGGACCGATCCAGTAAGCACCGCCCCATGGTGTTCTGACCAATCACAGCCGTGATTTATGTCCAACATGCGCGCACAAAAGTCCGACATGCGCGCACAAAAGTCCGACATGCGTGCACGCGCGTATGATGCGCGCGGAAGAAAAATGCAGCGTGGCATTGGAGAGGAACACGTGTTAATTTGCCCACGTGCGCAGTGGGAGGGGCTTACTGGATCGGTCCATTGCAGGGATTAATTGTTTGCACTGCAAACTGTCCCACAATGCAATGCAACATCATGCCGTCACTGCACATTTTCGGTCTGGTAACTATCCGTAAAAAGTTCGGCCACCTTGCTCCCACTATTCTGCAAGGTGGTCATTCACGTTTGACTTGTCAGTACCATTTATTAATTTTTATTTTACATAACTGTTGCAACGAAAGCTGTTCATTTTAGGCCCCGTTTTGCCATGGCGCATGTAAGCCTATATACTCTGTATTTTGCTACTTTTTTGCAAACTTTAAACAACATCAACTTTTGACTATTATAGTAGCATTGTTTATCTGTGCCAAACTCTATTTTGCTTCAGCTGAAACCATACAGTTAGTGCTTTCACAGACTTGTTGACGTGAAGATGATGACGGTGCGACTGTTAATAAAAATGTTGTAAATAACATTGAAGCTGCATTAACTTACAGATTCACTGCAATTTTTTTTTTCGAAAAGCCTCGTGATGACTTTATTAGTGATTTACAATCACCTGACCCATATTACGTGTTTTCATATACGGTTGGTAGATACCATTTTCGAAGAGCCCTTGAGCAAGTTTTAATTGAGGTTGCTATTTTTTGTAATGCATAGGGCGAGTAAAAAAAACATACGAAACCCAAATGATATGTCAGGACCAATTTTAATGAAATTTTGCCCTTAGCACTAAAAAAAAAAGACTAGTTAACTTAACCAATCATTGGTTGAAATAGCAACAATTGGTATATATATCCAACCAATCGATTGGTTGAACAAATATTAACCAATTAATTGTTGGTTATTTCAACCAATTGGTTATGTTAACCAAAGTTGTTTTTAGGACATGAAAGCACAGCCATTAAAGCTTTCTATTAGTGCAAGAATCTAATCACTATACTTTTCAAGAATCTAATCACTATACTTTTCAAGTTACGGAATTTTAAACACAAATACTGATTAAAAGTTTCACAAAAAGGTAAAAGTGTTCTTTCAGCAAAACGAAAACAATATACATCCCTATAAATGTGTGCAACATTTCGTATTTTGAAAAGTACATAAGTGATTCGAATGATTCTTAAACTGAAAGAAAGTTTAAAGACCGTGGCTTTATATCCTAGATTTTGAAAGTGGTGGAGGCAAAACTTCATTCAAAGATTGGTCCTGACATTTGGGTTTGGGTTTTTTATTACTCGCCCTGTCCGGGTGGCAGGAGAAGTTTTTGTTTCACCAATATACTGTGATCAGTGTTTTTAATGATAGCCAACATGTAAAGCTTCAGTATATGCCTACTTAAAAGCGCCACTCACTTTGCTATAGATGGTAAAGCCAAAGAAAAAGTGGGTGTCCCTTGTTTATCCGGGGATTGCAAGTTTGGCAATAGTGGTGACTGTTATCAGGATCACAGTACCTCATATTCGGAGTCTGTGGCCAAATGTCATTACTTAATTAATTTTACTCGTATTCATCTATGCAAACCATGTATGTTAGTTGGTTATAATTACTAACAGAGGAATTGCGAACACCGCCAGTGCCGCGGTGTACGTCAACTTAAGCTGCTCTGCATTGTTACTATATTTGTGTTTACTCTTTATGGGCAAAGAGACATGATTAATCCGCACTATATCCATCGACTCATTGCCTTTGTGTACTGAATTTTGTATGTGTGTATTTTTCCAACTTTATCAATACTTGTTGTCATTCGTATTTTTGGATGAGATTGTATGGTGTTATACCTAATGCCTTTTAGAATTTTGTGTATCGCATATTTTACTTTAAAAACAACTTAGTCAAAATATTGACTGGTTTTCCTGTGTATTAAAACTTGATTGATTAAAATTTGGTTGAGCAATAATTAAAGTTTCATACTATGACTGGAAAAAGTAGTTGGATTTGACTACAATTTCAGTTATTTGCATAACTGTTTTTCTAAATTAAATAATACAGACTGGAAAAATCAATTCAGATTGACTGATTTTTGACCGGCTGGTCAAATTTTACTGGTTTCTTGTCAAATCTGAATAATGTTTTTGTTTGTACGGATAGAGCATGTATACGTTCATTTTGCATCATGACTTATCTTTATAGTTGCATGTTTAAGCAGATGCTTTTATTCGGGTTTTTCAAGGCAGCTGGTTCATGGAGACTGTTGGTGGTATTTCCACTAATTTGTATAATTCTCTTTGATTGATTTTATAAGGGATGGGAACTTGTGTGTCTTTTTTGCAGTTCCAAATTTCTTCACTAAAAACGTTTAGTAACGGGATTGTAGGTTCCAATATTAGTGTAGCTGCTAAGTGGAATATTGTCAGCAACTTTGTTTGGTGTATTCCAATATTAATTGTTTGTATTCACCGATGTATGGAACATTTGGAGTGAGGTTGTTTTTGTCTGGTTTACGTTCGAAGGAATTAGGCTTCGCCACCACTGGGTGACGAGGCCAGCAATAAAGGGGAAATTTTTAAGGTTATATATTTCGGAAGTTTGTCATTGTTGTGCAGTGTCGTTTGTGACTAAGGAATGTGTTTCTCACACAAAGCGTCCCCTTAATTCTGACCCATACATAATTCAGTAGATTTTAAGATGTCGAATATTTTGTTGAATTCACAAAAACGCCATAGGCACTGTAGTTTGCAAAAGCAGAAGAGAGGGGACAATGAGAAGAAATCACAGCTTTAGCGGTGGGAGGGAAAAAAACCAAAATAATATTCAGGCAGGGGTAACCCACGCAGGGGCGGAACCAGGAATTTTCACCGGGGGGGGGGGGTTCATCAGCAAAAAAAATCTGAAAATGTACACAGTTTTTTTTTTCTCCGGACGCTTGGCATCCGTAAAATCAAAAACTGGGGGGGGGGGGGGGGTACCACATTTCAATGGGGGGCGCTGCGCTGTTCAAATTCGACGATTATTAACACTAGATTGCAGAATGGTGTGCTGGATTTTGAACAGGCGGACATTATACCAGTATAATTTTTAGGGGTGTCACAGCAGGGGGGGGGTCGAATTATTTTTTAGGAATTTGTTTGATTTTTTTTTTTGGATAGAACCTGCCACGGAATCAGGCAGGGACTTCCGTCGGAAACTCATTCCACAAAAATAGTGGCCCGGCCAGGTCGGATTCGAACCCGGATAACAGCGGTGGAAAGCAAGAAAAACGCTAGGCTGCCTCCTGACTCCTAGCCGGACTCCTTTAAGGACGACTTAATTCTCATTAATTTAGTGGCACGTCGAAGTAAAGTAGAATTGGTTTGTCCACCCAAGACTTCTAAAAATGTAGAGCCTGAGACGAATTAAGCCAAAAGCTAGAGAAGAAAGAACTGAGACAACGTCTACTTCACTTGCAAATAGAGGATCCTCTTTTAAATTTAAAGAAAAAAATACCCGTCTTCAATATAATCCTTTTCTCTACGTTCAATAAACAACGATGGCCTGGCTTCATCAACCTTTCCAATCCTTCAAATCGCAGCTTCACACACATGCTTTTATTTCAAATGGAAATCCCTGCTATTCAAAAGCGTATTTTTTTTTCTAAACTGTTTTGTTTTAACAAAAACTACTTTATTCCGATTTTGGGCGTTTGCAACTCTCTAAAAAAGGGACTTTCATTTTGTTTTTGCGAACCAAATTTAATGAACCTGGGCCCGCCTATGATACTTTTACGAGAGCTGAATGACTGGCAGCCAGGTTTCGTTTTTCCTTTTCCTGTTACCCTTTTTCGTGTTTGTTTTGGCAAAGAAAATGTTGTCTTAGCTTTTAGTTGTTTGTGTTTCAGTGGAATAAAATGAAACAAACATGAGTGTGCTGCGTTTATTTACATAATGTTAACTGTATACAAAGGAAAACGATTGATGATTTTGTTTTATACGCATCAAAAACGGAATGCTGTAACTCGATGCGTTGTCTCTTTTTCTAAACACAGACTCCAAAACGGTGTGCGGTAGAGGGTTTGCTTTTCCTTTTTTTCTCTTTAAAATAAAAAAAAAACGGTAACTGGTAAAGGGTTTGCTTTTTCTTTTCTTTTTGGTTTAAAAATTTCAAAACAAATACGGGGAAAGGGTTTGCTTTTTCTTTTTTTGGTTCAAAAATTTCAAAACAAAAACTGGTAAAGGGGTTGCTTTTTCTTTTTTCTTTTCAAAAATTCAAAAACAAAAATTGGTAAAGGGTTGGCTTTTTCTTTTTTCTTTTCAAAAATTCAAATACGGAAATTGGTAAAGGGTTGTCTTTTTCTTTTTTCTTTTCAAAAATTCAAAACCAAAAATTGATAAGGGGTTGGTTTTTTCTTTTTTCTTTTCAAAAACTCGAAAACAAAAATGGGTTAAGGGTTTGCTTTTTCATTTTTCTGTTTAAAAATTCAAAACGAAAAATTAATAAAGCATTTGCTTTTTCATTTTTCTGTTCAAAAATTGGAAAAGGGTTTGCTTTTTTTATTTTTCTATTTACAGATTCAAAAATGGTAAAAGGTAAAACAATTTTGTTTATTCTGTTTTCGTTTTTTAGACGCATAAACGAAAACTGGAAACGATTTCCGTTTTCTGTAGTAAAAGTGTATGCATAACTTCTGGTGAATAAAAGTGTACACGGTACTATCCTTTTGTGTCTTTGCCAGGGTACTCTTTCATAGGCCATACGGCACTTTTCCATAATGCCCTCGAAGGTTGTACAAATGTACTTCAGCTCATGCGCAGGTGCAGATGTGTCTGAATCTGAGTCGGTGGGCGGAGCCGGTGTTTATTCATAAGAAAATAACTATGACGTCACACCATTGCTATCACTCAGTCATGCACATTTCAGTAAAGCATTTAAATAACGGCTTTCATCGAGCTGCCACAGTGGCCTAGTGGATATAGTGGAATGAACTATGGATCGCAAGAGATGTGAATCGAAACCACCTATCTCCATTTTCATACAAGATCTGTGTTGGTTGGGATCAGTTTAATTGAAGGGAGAACCTAAGTCTCACATATCAACACAGCGTGATAAATATTCATGTTAGGGCGCGTGATGTGATTGGTTAAAATACGATGTATGCTGCAGGAAAAAATACGCGGTGCTGTAGTTCGATCTCTGATTGGCCAGCGCCAATCGGTGCATATTTCATTCATTTTTTTTGTCCCACAAACGGCGCGCCGGCGCGCAGTAATCAGTTCAACCCGAGTTCACGACCACACACACATGTCGACACAGTCGCTGCTGAAACACGGACTTTAAATTTCGGGCAAGAAAAGCGCGTTAGCTCAAAATATACCAACTATTGTGTCTTCCTCGATTAAAAATATTGTTTTTAACACTAAGTCTTGGCCCAAATTTAGCGGTCGCCTTCATCCTTCACACTCAACGTTAACGACACGATTCGCACAGAAAGAACGGTAAGTCCAGTCAAAATAAAACGATACATGTAGGCCTCTTTTCCTTTTTTTTTTTTAATTTGTCGATGCTTTGTCCGTTATTTTTTTCGATATTATACTATAATTAATTTATATTTTTCAGAAGGCCTATAGTAACAACTGCTACGAACAAATAAAATTTAGGTCTTAATACGGGAATTTATCCACTCGTGTTCTGCAAAGCTTTCGTTTACTGATATCTGTTTTAATTCAGTAAAAGTGTAATTTTGTAGTCCTGTTCTGTCAGGTGGTCTTTAAGCTATCTGTCTATCCGGCAATGTTCACAAGAATTTCTTTGTCATTCGTTTTCCTTGAATATACTGTATAAATATCCCAGAGGCAGTTAATTTGACAATGTGCGAAAATGGCAGAAGACTGTTATGACTGTATTTTTCCATTGGAAATCTCCTATCACAATTAAGTGCAATTTCATAATCATAACTTGTGATGTTTGTCTTCAGCAAATATTTGTCCACATCCCAGGCTGCACTGGTATTTAATGTCCTTGGCGTTGACGTTGATAACACGGTGCACCGTGAAGTGTAGCTGTGTAGTGTTTACATCACAAACCGTGAACTTTGCAGCTTTGTAGCTTCGCTGAACTTGGATATTTCCAATGAATAAAAGGTCTTTTGTGGACGATTCCATTTGCTCTCCAGGTATCCATCAGAACAAACCATTGTCGCACATGGGGGGTCGGGTCGTGGGCTTTATTTGACCCCTGTAAATTATTTTTTTCAGCAGCCGAGGATGATTTGACATTTTTCACCGTTTCAAGTTCGAGATTTCATCATGACCGAAGATATTTCATCATATACATTGTGACTAAAGATATTTGGCATGGATCCAATTTCTTTGTTCGATATATGGCATTAGTCTGGTTCCCAGACCAAAAGATTCTGACTATTCCTGATGAATCTAGATCAGGTAGCCGTCAATAATACATTATTTTACAAATATCGTCACGTGACTAAAACGGGAGGAATTCCTCCTTTTTCCGAAAATGTCCGAGGTTTGCCGACTTCATTTCGTCGACAATCGGATAGCGTTCGATTATTTCCGAGTATAATATAGGTTTTATTAACTGCTAATTGCTTATTACAAACTTTAAAGAACGAGATGATAATTAATATTCAGCGCTTTTATTTAGAACACTTGAAATTCAACGACGAGTTGGTACTGCGTCATGTACTGTTTTGAATTTGACGACCATCACCGGCATTTTGCAAACTCGGCGTGGTCCTCTTCGGCTCCGCCTGCTAACAGTGCTATTCGTGTGCCTAACTTTGAAGATTCCAGTTCAACATAAGTCAATGTTTTCTTTCAGAAATATCAAACTGTATTATGATATTTTAAAGCGAGTGATTTATTTTAAAATTTGATCGGAACATTAAAAGCTATACGTGTAAAGCGAATTCGGAAACGAAGCCGAGTTTTCAAAAAGGACCGTCAATTTCGTCATGTTTATTTTTAACCACGGAGGCTGCCTGACCTACAATTCAGATACGTGTAATAATTGTCAGGTCTGGGAACCAGACTAACAGCATCACTGCACGATCACCTTCCATACACGTCTGTGAATTATGCAAATAATGCTACCACCCTGGCACGTGATCAAAACAGTGTCGCACGTATTTTATTCATTCATACTTTTCATGCAACGCAATTTTTACTACGACACACGCAGCAGTTGTCTGTTTTCACCGCAGAAGGCATGCACATGTGCATTCTTGTCAAAGCTCCGGAAGCAATTATGGGCTGATTATCCTCTTTTCAGTCAAGAATAACTGTGATCTATGCCAAGTGCCTACAATAATCACGTCTTAATCTGCAATATTTTTACAGTCGTACGTGTATAGCGATCTTTGGCGTTTCCCGGCGGTATCTGTACTTAGACACGTGGACTACGGCCTTTTGGTAAGTCCATTGCTTTTTTTCCAGTGACAATCGTGTTTCGTATATTTTGTCTTGCCATGTCATTTTAGTTTTCGTAATACTTGTGTTTTCAGTTTATAGAGAGCCACTCCAACCCCCACCCCCCCCCCCCAACGGCCGACACCCCCCCCCAAAAAAAAAAACCCTGGTGGGTGTTGTTATCGATATCATTAATTATAGTGAGCGAAAATCTTTTTATTAATTGACAACTGTTCTTTTGACCCATGCACTGAATCTGAATGTATTTCTTTTTTTTCTTTCTTTTTTTAAATCCGTAATCAATAATCACAATCATCAAATTGATATTAGGATCATTATCAATGATCAAAACACTGCATTATATATTAACTCATTTTCATATACTGCTTATTTGATCCCTGAAGATATCTGCGAAATTATTCAGTAGGGTGATTTCTTTTTTTTTTTTAACTCAAGTTCGAGATTTCCATCATGCAGCCGAAACTATTTTGGCGCCGATCCAATTTTTTTTCCGATGTCATGATCTCCACACTGTATATGAAAAATGCAAAACAGCCTACCACGCACTTGGCAAGTGATCAAAACTGTTTTACGTTTCACGGTCGGAGTGTGCATTATGCAGATAGCCTCGTACCTATATTTCATTCAGGCTTTTAGATGTAACGCAATTTCTACGTAAGTTCTCTGTTTTCTTCCGGCATGTACATGTGTTTTCTCAAGTGTTAAATCTTAGAGCAAGTATATGGGCTGTTTCATCCTCTAATTGCCTACACTAATCACGTCTTAATCTACAATTTTTTTTCAGTCTTGCGTAAAGCGATATCTTTGACGTCTCTCATAGACACGGTATCTATACTTACTTGTTTTGGTAAGTCAAGTGTTTTTCTCAATGAAAAATATGTTGTTTCTTTCTTTTTTGGGGGGCGGTGTCTTGTCAGATTGTAACATTTTATTATTTTTAAATGGCATTTTCAGTTAGAGAGCCCCACGCTAAACCCCCCCCCCCCCGCAAATGGTGCATGCTGTTACAGAAACAGTGTGAGATAACATTAATATTAATTATTGACAACCCTTCTTTAGATCCATGTACTATACGAACATGTACTCCTATTATTATTCAGAATCAATGTAGGTTAGTTTAAATGTCAAATGATCAAATTGATATTTAGGTCATTACAGAAAAACACGTGCATTATAAAACTGCACTGCAGCTCGACACCACTCGCAGTCTTGAATTGCAGCCAAAAGAATTTCATGTTCCTTTAATTTACCATGGATTGTGGAGCGTTTTCGTTCTCTTTGGTGGGTTTGTCAGTTTGTCCATCTACAAATTTTCATTTGCAGTTTTTGCAATGCATTTTGTTAAGTGAAATAGTCTCAGTGTTGCAAATCTGTATTTTTCCACTGTTTTTTATTTGACAATATAGAACAATCACGTGTGGAATGTTTTTTTCTAAGCCAATAATTATACACACCAAATGAAATCACAGGTCTGTTTCAGAGATCCGTTTAAATGGGCTTGATTTGCTGCTCGATGTAGGAAGGGAGCACATGTGTGGGTTTTTCGTCTGTTTGTTATTATTTACAAAGTTACCGAGCGCGTGACTTTAGCACAAAGGACCCATGACGTTTATCTGAACTTTAAACTCTTTTTGTTCCCTCCTTCTCGTGACTCTGACTAGACGGAATATTCCCAGGCACGCAGTCCGATTTCTATAAAGGTCATTATGCGGGCAAGCCATGCACGCGCAAAGTGCCTGGGTGTCTATGACGTCACTTTAGTTTCTCACTACACTGTAAACATGTAAAATGGGTTGACATGTAGACCAACGTTGGTCGATGATATCAACAGGTTAAACTCTTGGACAAATTCTTCTCAATTGTTTGAAACATTTTACCCAAATTGGGTAATTTCAAACCAGTGTTGGGTAAAATTATATTGCCAAACAGTCTTTTTACCCACTATTTTTTATAGTGTATAAATACACCTCATACCTTGCTGAATGATGAACAATAATCGGTTGGAAGTGTGCCCTTGAAACTGACAATTAGGAAAGAAAAAAATCCAAGTCACAAAAATTTGGTATGTACTACAGGGTAAGTCAAAAGGAAAATGAACCGGGTGACAGTTTTTCCCTTTATACGCTATCAAATTTGATACATCAGTGAGTTACATGTCTTAAAAAATGTTCTTCCACTCATCTTAAAAAAAATAAAAAATTACTGAAATTGATCAACGCCATCATAAGTTTATGCGTGTTTTACTAAAGGAACCGATTTAATAGCTGTCCATGCAATGCCATTCAAATTCAAATGAGATTTTTATTTAAATCAAGACTCGAACATTAGTTTTGCCTTCAGATTTTGTATTTGGTAAGGAACAAGTCAAAAGAAATCTGAAATGATGATGGCGATTTGTGCATGTTTCCCCGTTTGGATATTCATCCGTTCGTCGAACGATAATATATTAGTAATGGACAGCTGAGATCTTTTTATTGAAACTTGGGAATAGAGTATGCAAATCATGTGAAACTTTCACAATTAAAAGTCAATAAGATGTATTTTATCCCTATATGTGTTTTTTTTAACGAAATGGAGCAAGCCAAATATTTTAAAAATGTTTTTCATATCCGGTCACTTTCTTTTCGACTCAGGTCCATGGTTATTCGGTCACAAAATTGATGTATACTTATTTTGGTGATGTTGATTTTGTTTCCCCCCTTTTTTCGATTTGGAGTTCTTGGTGAGATATTTTTTGTACCAATTTGAGCTGCCTATATCAGAAGCAAATGATGAGAAACCATCTCGATACTAATCACCGAATATACAGGGGGAGTAAAAAAAAAGAAGGAAACCCAAATGGCAGGAGGCTATCGAAGCCCAATTAATAAGCTTTTTTTAGTACAAGAATCAGTCAAATCACTCATGTACTTTTTCAAGTTAAGGAATTTTAAACACAACCACTGTTTCAAAGTTTTGTCCACGGATCACTTTTCAGCAAAACGAAAACAATTCACACATCCCTATGAGAATTGTTTTCGTTTTGCTGAAAGAACATGGTTTTTTTTGTGATCCGTGGACAAGGTTAAAAACAAACTGGTGCTGGTGTGTAATATTCCGTAAATTGATTGAAAAGTACATGATGTGAGTACATGATATGAGTGATTTGAATGGTTCTTGTACTTGGGCTTTCATATCCGAGAATTTGGTAATGCGACATGCAGAACTTCACCAAAAAAATTGGTCCTGCCATTTGGGTTTCCTTTTGTTTTTAACTCAACCCCCCCCCCCCAAGTTTTGGCTAGCCCCCCAAAAATAAATTCCGTAAAAAAAAAAGAAGGATTGTGATGTACATGCGAACGGTCTCCCCCTAAAGAAGAAATAGCCGTGACAAGGGTGCATTAGTTAATATAGTGTAAATGATTTTAGGATTTTATTGGCGCTCCCCATTGAAAATATGGCATGAGCCCCCACTTCCCCCCCCCCCCCCCCCCCCACCCCCCACCTATTGATTTTCGGAGGCCTAAGTGTCTGGAAGAAATAACCGGTCTACATTTCAGCACGCCTCCCTGAAAAAATTCTGGATCCACCGCGCTAGCCCCCCCCCCCCCCCCCCCCCCAAAAAATGTTGGTTCTAGAACCGCGCCTGCACCCTGTGTATATATAGTGAATTCTTAATAGTAGTCAATTCTTGCAGAACTCAGTTTTTCACCGTTCTGTTGAAGGAAATAATCTACACTAGTTTATTTCATGACGTCACATTAATTATCTTACAGTAAAACTATAGAGACCGTGTTTATTCGACTGTTAGCGCTTGCGTGGCGTGCAACAAATTCAGTACAACACAAGGAAAAACACAATTCATCTGGTACAAAATTGAAATGAGTGAACTTCGACCCTAACCCAGTAACCGTACAGTAACGATCACGTGCATGCACGCAGATAGTTTTGGGGTTTTTTTTATCGTAGTAGGTACCACTTCGTACCGGTTGTATAAAAGTTGGCACAAAACCAATTTTGTTTTCTTTGCAGATGAAATTGTATATAAAATGTACTCGCGATCGCCCACTCGCGTGCGCAGCGGAGATTGTGCAATGAATGTCGGGGGATTCCCCGTTTACGTACGTGTACACAAGTTGCGCGATTGCTCAATCGTTCATCGTTACACAGTAGAAACCTGGCACGACCTTGCGCGACATTTACAGGGGATGCCGTGCGTACCACCGTGTCCCAAGTCAACGGACTTTCAGGAATTGTTGCTGACTCCTAAATGAATACATGCAAACGTGCCAGGTTTGATTTAGAAAAACCGATATTGAGTTTTAAAAGGTCGCTAATTTTTTTAGAGATTTTTTTTGTGGTTATATGAAATCTCGCTGCATTGCAGTTAAAGCTCGCAGCTAATGAGAATGCATTTTACTGAGTTTTTTAAGGTAAAATAAAAAATAAAATACAGTGTGAAGTGCATTACCCCATTAGCCTAGCTACTTTCAGCCATTTGAATTTTTGTTAAGGCACTGAATTTGCTATAGCAGGGTTTTGTCTGCTCATTGTGTACATAATTGCGTGAAAATGGGCACAAAACAATTACTCTGTTGTTTTATAACTTTTTGATTTCTTGTTCAGTTGAAGAAAAGAACAAGTGGAGCTATGGATGCCATGCAACTACTTCTTCCAGTCGCCATCTTGCTCATTTCCTGTGCTTCTATGGGCGTCAAGGCTGGGAAAAAGCCCGTCATTTACAAGAAATGGCCTGCCTGCAAGAGAGGCAGTGACTTCGTCTACATAGTGAAGTCCGACCGTGTACCAGGCGAGGTTCACGAACGAACCAACAGGAATGGCAAGACCATGTACGTCAGATAACTATTTGCCTCCAACTATAATATTTTATGCATTTTGTTCACGGCTCACAAAATTGCTAATAGATAATATTTCACAAGTCAATCACAAGTTGAGGTCTGACTTGTGATTGACTTAATAATAATAATATTACTAATAACGGGGTTTTATATAGCGCTTTTAACTGAGATCAGAGCATGTTACATTATTATTACCCCTGATCATTGGGCCAATTAATCATTCCAAATACCATCTCAGCTCCCTGGGGAGTACTACAGCTCGACGCTGCCTGTTATATAGGCGCAAGGAAGCTATTCAATCACAATAACTGCCCTAATGCAGGTACCCGTTTCCTGGGTGGGGAAAAACAATGCATAGAGTGACAATACAAATTGCCTTGCCCAAGGGCACACGCAACATGCATAATAACCCCAGGCTCGATCGACTTGTGATTGACTTATGACTGATAATAATTTGCTCCCCCCCCAAAAAAAAGTCACTACCTAAAATGTCACAAAGTGTGATTTTGTTGTCAGCTGCCTTGCTTTGCATCTCTGTGTTGTCTCTATTGTGTTTGCAGTTGGTACATATGCCTGCCTTGCACGCAATGTGCATCAGGCGTTCGTCAGCTTCACCCCTGCTCGACTTACAACGACACCAAATGTTCGGCCACTGAGTGTGCCGTACCTGGATGCGTTCTAGACGAGATGTTTCACGCCTGTAGACTGCCAGGCGACCCTAACGACTTTGCCAGTACCGCCGCCATGATGGACCCGTGCGACCCCACCAAAGCCCCGGTCAACCCGACTCCGATCCCGTCAGAAGGTCAGAAACACCAAAGTTTATCGGGTGTATACCGCCTTCCATCTCTGTAACCCGAGTTCGAATCCCACCCAGGCACACAACATTGTAATTGAATTTCCATTACATAAAATCATACCGATTTTCCGTTAAACTTCTTGTTATACCCTAAAGTTGCGCGCATTTACCTCGTCTCCGGATATCATCAAGTAGTCTTGCCAAACCTTGGTATTGATGAGCTTCAAATTCACCATGCTGACTGGTACAGTTATTCTATTAAACCTTATGGAAAATAAGGTTATGTTTTATTTCGTCACTTATAATGCTTTAGAAAGGAAGTAAGGAAGTGTTAAGTAGACTCTCTAAAATAAACTTGTTAAAAATATATATACGATGTATATATACTCAAATATAGAAACAAAACGACAAGTATCAAAGATTTATGCAAATTAGGCATTATTTCCACTAATGTTCATCAGTTTGGGATTCAGCACCCTCGAATTAAGGAAACCTTACCAACTGCTACTCAAAAAGTCCTCTTCTTGCCCTCAATGACCCTTTTTGAAATACCGCCTATACTTTGAAACTCAAAGATTAAGTCTTCATCATCTGCACCTCTAGGTTCAATCTAGTCTATGGAATATCCCCTTGCATGAGCAAGGTCTAATTATGATGCGATGAGAACATGAGATTCGGCGATTATTATGAAAAACAATGCTGCGTTGGGATCCCCAGATTATGACCACTGTGGCAGGTGCCTTCTAATTCTATCGGGCCTTCCGTAATCCGTTGTTGTAATACAAAACATGGTAGCCAAATTGACCAATCAACAGCTTAGTCTGCATTTCGAAATGACGTCACATTTTCCGAAAAATCGACTCAAATTGGCTGGCGCATGTGGTCGCATAAAATTTGCTTGCTTATAGACATCGGACGTTCGTTCGTGTGGCTCAGCACACGTGAATGTTTGATACACTATGTTTCTTTAAGCTTGCGAGCTACAATACATGACCATTTTTAAGAATCGTAAGTTTCGGTACAAGAACTAAAATAAAACTGACCATTTTCATGTCTCTTACTGTTTCACAGGAGACCTTTCTAACGGAGACCTTTCTAACGGACCACCTCATCATATACAGTTGAAGAACTCCAGCTCATCGCTATCCAAGAAGGATAAGAACGAAGCTGGTGACGCACAGAATGGTCCCAACAAGCCGAATTCGGCCTACTCGTCGGGGCGGAGGGACGGCTACGGATGGGGAACATTGGAGGTGGTACTTATTGTGGTCTTACTAAGTGTGGTCTTAATCATGTCAAGCGTGATTGGGGTGATGGTTTTCATCTTTTGTCGTAGGTCCGAAGGGAAAGCTCAAAGTGGGCGGGGCACTAGCAGCTCGAATGAGGGGAGGACAACTGGGGAGACGGCCATCTAGCATTAGGTTATCCCACCTCAGTTGAGGTAGGGTGCGCGTTGCATCCTGGGACAGGTTGCGCAACGAATGGGATTGTGTGTAGCGCAGCCTGTCCCATGCAGTGCAACGCATACCTCCGCTGCACATTTCCGGTCCGGCACCTATCCGTAAGTGTCCGGTCCATGATCTAGAGTTGCGTATCAATATGACATCCCATCATGCTCTATTAAACATAATATCCGAGTTACCGCAGTGTTCAATGAATGGGAGGTTTGCGGTAACACCTTGTGAATGATATCTCGTAGTGAGTTGTGTGGTTCTGAGAAGAACCAGTTGGTTTAACTCGACGTTTTCGAACAGTTTGCTATGTTCGTCATTGGATACTCTCCGATAAAATCAGTCTCGACGACCAAAGAATACTGTTCGAAACGTCGAGTCAAACCAACTGGTTCTTTCTCATAACGACACAATTCACTTGTTGCCATTTGGCGAAGTATCTATACAATAGCTAGCACAGTACTTCCGCCATTGAAGGGGGGGGGGTGTCTTCGGAAGGGAATTAACGCGGCGGGCCCGGATTGGCCTTTACACTTAAAAGTCACGCAATGTATATAACCGCCAAACAATGCAATGTTTTGTACATAATTATTAAGAGGCATGGGAAATGTATATTTATCTGAAACAGTATATTGCTCTATTAATCTAATTTATTAAGACACGAAAATAAATATTTTGAAACTATTTAATTGACAGTCGCTTGTAAAATTGTATATAGGCCAAGATAATGTCAGCATTTTTTCATGTAACCAAAGCTACTGTATGTGCAAAAAGCGATGTTCTATTCAGTGTCAGTAATGAACTCAGTAAAAGTATTCATGATCAAGGCTGAGGCGTAATAATGACGTCACACTCTCTTCACCGCGTTGCATCCTGGGAGCCAGCTTGGGATTGTAGTGTGTACATTTGGATAGTGATGTTTCTTTCAGTGAAGCTCACGAGTTTATAATCTTGCCAATCAAAAGCAACAACGTTGAATTTATTCCAGCAAATGGGACTTCTCCATTTAAATTTTGCGAATCCAACATCTTCCTATTTTGACCCATTTATGGATAGATAAGAAGTGTGCGCAGGCAGAAAGCATTTGTGTTGCGTTGCATTAAAAAGGATATTTTTTGTATATACATATCTCGCAGCGCAAACTGTCCCACAATGCAACGCAATATATTCTTGCACTGACATTTCTGGTCAAGCGGCTCGGACACACCTACCTCCCAGCATCCAACGCGGTCATTAAAGTATGACGTCATTACGTGCCAGTACCATTAATTTTGTGCTGCTTAAATTTTGCTTTACATAATTATATTGCACCGAACGCTGTTGTATATAAGGCCAAAAAAAAAGTCTCTGGTTTCTGGTATGCGCGCGCGTCGCCGTAGCCATGCGCGTAGGCAAAATTAAAAAGTTTTTTTTTTCAATGAAAGATGATGTCTAAAAACCGCCAAACTCACTGGTTTGACTGGAATCCTCCTGCTGCACAATTTTAACGTGTTTTTAGATGGGGTTATGGTCGAGAATAAGCTTTATGTGGCTTCTCTGGACTCCCATATATTTGCTCTAAGTTTAGTCGGGCACCATTTGCAGTCATCAGCCGACATTTGAAGCAAAAAAATCAGGTAAAAAAAAAAAAAGCCGCGTTGCCGCACCACTTTTTGGGCAAGCTCCATACCAGAAACCGGAGACTTTTTTTTGGCCTAAGCCTCTACTGTTTTTACCACGTATACATGCTCTGCATTTGGATAATGTTATATTTTTTGCAATAGCCTACTTTAAACAGCTTTAGCTTTGACAAAACTCATTCAGCAACTACAATTAGAAGTCAATTCTGAGGTGGAACCAGAGGCTCATGTTAGGTAGCGCGCTAGCACTCCAGGCTCCTCCCACCAATAGGGTTATCCGGTTCGTTACTGTGACGTCAGTTCAGTTAAACCACGCCCACTGCATATTAAGTAGCATTGGAACCATTGGAACCGGAAGTTAATGCAACTTGAGTGTTTATCCAATGGGCACCAGTAATCAGTGGTGCGCGCGCGTGTATAACGAAGTAACAAACCGGATACCCAACTTATGGTTCGCTGGTACCCCCCCCCCCCCCCCCCCCCGCCCTGCAAACAGGACGCTGCGATATCCAAGCTCTGGTTGCTTGGATTTTGCGTGACCAGCGACCTGCGCGTCATCACGGTCATGACTCTGCAAGGTTTGAAACGGCCGTTAAGACTGATTCATTACTCTTTTATTCCAGTTTAGAGATGTTTTTCTCGTTGAAAAGCGTAATAATGTAGGAAATTCTGTAAAACTTATCTGTGTTGTTAATTTACAATTCCCGTCACTTGCTCAGGCTCCGTTTCGAATCACAAACGGTCGGATCATTATATTTGCGACACTCAAAATTTTGTCCACATGGAACGCAATGAAACAGAAATCACATCCGGTATGGAATGTGCGCATTTCTATGGGAAGTTTTTGGATAGCATTTGCGCACATTGTCTAACTGCGGTCTTGAACAGCTGCAGCCAGATGCTTTATACATAGGTCATAGGCACTTCCTTCCCAAGATTCTGTGAAGCTCATCAGAGCCCTGTTTGCAGGGCGGGAGGTACGAGCAAAAACTTATGGGCCCATCTTGTCATTGAGAACGCGTACGGCATGAACGCAGTTGTGGTTCCGCCTCAAACATGGCTTCTAATTTGTTGTTCGCCGAAATATATGCAATTTTTTATTTTCTCTTGCCTTCTTTTGTAAATTGTAAATGATAGGGGCCTAATTTATAACTGTTAAGCATGTACATAATGAGTCCCCTTTTTCATGTAGGACGTACAGCGCCCTCTCTAGGGGCAGCTTTTGTTATTCAACTAATTCAGTGACAATGGATGTCGAAGTGTCGATTCATGCGTATGTTTATAGAAGGGCCTAAGTTGGAAGGAGTCTTTGAGTTTTCAGTGCGGTTTTTGTTCGTTGAGTATTCAAAACCATTATGATGATGGGACTGTGCCTTTGATGCTAAGCATGAAATTCAGCACACAGTATGTCATGAGAAAGATTTTTGGCTATTATGGACATCGCGGATTTGTCCTTTGAAAAAATATAGGTAGAATAACAAGCACTGGCAGCCATTTTGAAAAATTTGAAAATTGCTTGTTATTCTACCTATATTTTGTCAGAGTAAAATCTGCAATGGCCCTATAGCTAAAAAGTTTCTCTAGGGCATGTTCTTACTGTGTGCCAACTTTCATGCTTTCATCATTAAATAAGCAATTCTGTCAATTTTGCACCAATCTGCCTGACTAATAAACTTTTGGCTCAAATACGCATGGACACAAAACGGTCTTAAACGGTGTTTGTAGGGGGGATTCCACAAGACCCCTTCTGAACAACAAGTCCGCGTGCGGCGTTTCGTTTACTTGCTAGTCAAATTTAAAACGAAAAACAAAAAATCGAGAAATAATAATAATAATAATTTATTCATTTATAAAGCGAAAATTCCAATATGATTTTGTTCAAATGCACTGTACAGTAAAAATATTAATTAAAATACAGGAAAATACACTCTAAAAATGTACCATGACGCGCTATTACACACATTAAAAATAAAAAAGTAACAGCAAAAAGTTACTCGCAAGGAGCTTAGAACGACCCATGTTAAAATACGAAGAAGTAACGCAATGATTCGTTTTGCTTTTGTATTTACACAGACCCAATAAAGCGTACATTTTGAGAAAATATGCTCTGTTCAGTGTTTTTAATCATGATTGTTGTGCGGGCCAAACATGGTGTCCGGTCACTCCGGCACAGCACGCCCCATAAGAAACCGTCCCCCCCCCCCCTTTCCACTGGAAATTTGGCAGTCGGAGGAAATCAAAGCCCTATGAGTTACCAAGCTGAGCGGGTTTAACTTAAAGTGTCTTTTTGTCACGTTTTCTGTTTATTTTTCATGGAAAACGTGTTTTTCGCGAATTAGCTTTTTATTTTAACGTCCTGTGAAAATCGAATAGCGGTACTGTATGACATTGACCATGATGTTGGGTTTTGAACAGAGCCCCCCCATGGGAAGATAGTGTAAAATGGGTCTATTTCCACTTTGGTTTATGTCATTGCCATACGAAAATGTATTGCTGAAGCATAATGATTGCAATTGGAAGACCTGAATCTATATATTCCACTTTTAACCAAAATTCTCAGTTTATGACAGTTTTTCTTTACAGACTATTACAGTCCATACAGCAATCACAAAGGGGAGTCAGGTTGGCGGGGCGGTACTCGCTTTCCTCGCCTTCCACCGCTGTTACCCGGGTTCGAATCCTGTCTGGGTCAATACGTGGATTGGGTTTTCAGTCCCTACCTGATTCCGTGGGTTTTTCCCAGAATATTCTTCTGGGGTTTTCCTCCCACCTCTAAAACTGTAACTTCTTCTCATTGTCATCTCTCCACAGGTTTCTTCAGGCTTGCGAGCTACAGTGCCTAGTGCGCGCTTTTGAGGAATCCTTGGTTTCATTACCAGAAATGATTAATATCATTGATAACAAACTTGATTTTAATTATTCAAAATGTCCATAAAATCGCGGCTTTCACAGAAATACAGCAAATAAGAACTTCAATCCCACTGACCTACCCCCTCGTTAATGTTTCCCACCAAATGTGCCCCGCCCACTTCCTAACGGTGTTAGTCAAGAGCGCCTCCAAGAGGCATAATGTTTCAACAAAATATAAATACTGCTTGATCGCGATGGCTACATTTTCCTGGTGATTTTTTTACGATGTGAATGACAATTCTGAGGTCAGTTTCACTCGTTTGTGATATTAGACAAGAATAATGATGCGACCAAGCGGGAAATTAATTCACAAAACGATCAGAAACTTTAGCCTAACGCTGAGTAACGGGAAGAATGCCACTTTTTTCATGTTTTTGGTTGTGTACAAAGTCTATGAAGAGTTTAGACCCGTGAACGTGGCGTTTACAACGCCACGCTGTTGTGTATTTTCGAACCTAGCAAAATCGATCCGCCATACATAATTTCGTATGGATGTTGAGTACTCACGTAGAAATCTATATTTGCCTGTCCGCATGTTAAGGATGTGTCATTTCGACGAAATTTGCCATCAATGAAGACCCATACAGCCATACGAACGTGTGGAAATTAGATTTTATTCTGACAAGTGACCCTGACAAATGACCCTGGACGAGTATTATTAAATTATCGGAGCCCTCCGAGCTACCCGTCTGCTTCATGTGGCACATATGATTGGCGGCGTCAGATTGGCCAATAACGAGACCACGTGATAAACGCAGCTAATAATTTGAAATCGCGCTTATGATCCGGACATCAGGAGTGCCCGGAGCATCAGTGCGATACCAAAGTATCTGCAGCATTATCACGTGGTAAATCACATGCATGATCGGAGGAGGTTGCAGGACGTCGAGATCTTGCCAGATTTTACCTCGAATATCGTTTAAATGCCAGATTTGGCGTAAAAGCAGATTTCAACATGTTCAAGAAAGCTTGATATGTCATGTATGTGTGAATACTTATCGCACTGTAAGGCAATGTTCAGTCTTTGTCACGGAAGGACGATTTCGCTGGGTTCGAACATGTACAAGAGCGTGGCGTAGTTTACAAGCCACGTTCACATGTTTAACATTAGTAAGTGTGTCAAGTGTGTACTGTGCATGCAGGCTTATATTTAGCCGGATAGATTTAGCCGGCTTTCTTTTGGTAAATGATATAAGCTGGCTGGATGTACAGTGCCCTCTTTGATGCGATACAAGTAGATGTAGTACACGTACATAAAAGGTATTATTCGTTTGTGCAGCACCTATCATTGCCTGAAGTGTGACCGAGTTAGTGTGTATCTCTCATCATGAGTGAGAAGTCCCTGGTTCAACTCCCGGCTAGCGACATTTTTAATTTTTGTATTCCCTAAAATCAATAATAGTCTTCTTTTATTATTTTAAATTGACTCCAACATTTAACTACAGAGTTGCCTTTTTGAGTTTTACATTTTCTTTTCTTTCTTTTTTGATTTGTGGCTCTGGAGAATTTTTTTTTTTAAAGGGAAATAAGGTCCGAAATTGTAAAATGATCTGACTCCCATCTCGTGAATACCAAGTCACAAAGACATTGTTGGCGAGGAACTGGACTAAGATTTGACACAGTAAACATTTCTAAGTCCCCAAAAATAGTCACTACGCTGCGCATGTGTTCACTGCCTATCTGGCAAAATATTGTTTTAATAGCCGTACTAAAAGAAAGCCAGCGCCAGCTAAATGTCCAAGTATTTTTAAACAAAATTGGAAATGTTTCTCAGTCCCAGATTCATGTCTTATCAACATTTCTTGCACTCAGTGACTGACCTTCATTGAGATAATAATATGATGAAAAAAAGTGGTGTCACGATGCAACATTCTTTCCGAAATTACTTTTTATTCAGCTGATCAGGCGCAACTAAACACGACATTTGCTCTAAAATCATACATTTTAAATCATAAATTTGTCAACCATTTTTGTGCATGTGAAAATTAGACAAAGAAGTCCACAATGACGGATGGGAGGAATTTCAGATCACATTATTACGAGAAGGTGGGATTTCGTGGAGTGGAGGAGAAGAAATCACTTCAAATTCTGCTTAAAGAAGATCCTTTAGGTGAGTAATTATGAAATCATCATTATCGAAGAACAAATGTAGCTGTTTTTATGGAAGCTGTAAGAAATGCATTTTAGTTATGAAATAGCAACATATGCCTAATTGTGAATTTACATGTTGCACAATTGATCTGAGTAATACTAATAGCGCAAATCCACTGATCCTACCCAAAAAATACATTGACTACTGATGTTGACTATGCTGATACGTATCCAATTCTTTTTTAATAGATGTTGGGAAGTTGTCGATGTTCTGTCTCCGTTTTCCTCTGCCTGCGATGTTCAGACCACTCGTGTGGAAAATTATCCTTGGTAAGTTTAAAAAAAAAAAAACTGAAGGGCTAAGTTTAGTCCTTTCCCTGTGGAGATGGAACTTTGTTTTTGGAGGAGGAGGATTAGTTGAAAATGTTTTTAAATTTTAATACTTTTAAGACGACAGTATTTCTTTTCAGGTAGTCAGCCAGCAATGGAAACATTTGTTGTCCAAATTTACCTTAACTTGAAAAACAGGGCATCAAGGTGCTGAACATTTAACTTGGCTAACCCTAACCCTGCCAAATCCTCCAAAATCTACTAGGACTTTTTGGAGGATTAATTTAAAGAATGTTGAAGAAAGAGCCCATGATGAACTATTACTTTACAGTATTGTGTGATGCTCCTTGAAACTTGGTAGGTACAAAGAGTGCCATTGGGTTCCTGCACAGAAGAGGATTTTGTAGGATTGACCTATTGCGGTAGAATTGCGTTAGAATCGCGTCAACGCAGCTTGTGAAATTTTGTCCAATTATATACAGGTGGACATGGTACACACACCATCTGAGACAAACAAAACTTAGTGTACAAAAAAGGGGCGTGGCTAACTCGCAAACAGCGATAGGTCAATTGAGGAAGGTACTAGAGCCCAGCCACTATTACTTTACATGGGGTTTGATGCTTCTTGAAACTTGGTAGGTACAAAAAGCGTGGCAGCGTGGCATTGACTTTTCTGCAAATTGTTTGACTTTTGCAATTGTTGGATTAAGGAAGGTTTCTAGAGAAAAAATACCTTGCAGAAGCGCAGGTAGTTAACGAAATGTCGAAAAGATTTCCTAATCCTAAATTCTTGTTTGTTCTTTACATTTGTATGAAGGCATAGTCCCACCCCATCCAACCACACATGACTTTGTCATGCAGCAGCGCAGGGAACAGTTCAACGACCTCCGAGGTGCGCTGAGAATCATGGGATTGGTGGACGAGTCAACTCCGTTGAGCAGCGAGTTCCTCAAGATGTTTCTCCTGGAGGAACGGAGATTGCCCTTGGAAGATGATCAGTTAAACATCGAGGTATGTGACCATTGTAGAAGCATTCCTACATGCCTTAAAGACCCCACTCACAAGATACCAGAAATGTCTGAGACGATTCCAGACAAAATATCGGAATTGTGAACAACGACGATCATTGTTCAGTTTCAGACAATTTGTCTGGAACAAAGTGTTTCAGACATTTCTGGTTCCTATTGATTTTCCTGCCTTTAAAGGGAATGTACATCATTGGCTTTTGTTGTAATTTTCAGAAATGAACTATTTGAGGGGTTAGTATAATAGATCAAATATTGTTTAACTGACATGATTGAAGTTTTGTGTTCGAAAATGCCGGAAAAACCAAGAAAAACAAAAATATTCAAGCAGTCTGGTTCCCGTGGCTCCACTAAAGATGAAATAGATCAATATTTATAGATGCCGGAAAATTGTAGGGTATGGGAACCTGTCTAGCCTGCCTGCACCCGTTCATGAACATGTAACCAATAGCAAACTAAATTTGGACTGAAAAAATGGTAAATTTGGACCAGTAGTTGAAAAATAGTTAGGTTTTTCCAACGGTGGTCGGCCGACCACCGTTGGAAATGTATACAAAAATACTATTTTCTTGAAAATGACTTGACACCAGGTGCCATAATTTTACAGGATGCTTTATACTGTCATTTACCAACATTCTAGTAAAGTATTTCGTAAAAACTTGGTGGTTTTATTTTTCGATGTTTGCAAATGTTGTATATTCCCTTTAAAAAATGAATTCCAAATTGTCTGTTTTGTGTGTTTATTTGATAGCTCCTTATGTTTCCAAGTTTACACAGCATACCCTAACCCCCCCCCAAGGCTCTTTGGGGTCAAGGACCACATACCACAGAATACTACATGTGTTGTGCACACTTGTATGGAAAGAAATGCATACTACAGGTTACTACTCAGTAGTAATTGGGTGGTAAGGGTTTTAAACTTGTCTCAGTTTTCACCCGATGCCAAAAATTAATTCCCCCCCCCCCCCAAAAAAAAAATCAACTACTTGTTACAAACCATTTTGATATTTCAACTTCCTATTTCATCTTCTCCCTTTGCAGTGTCTTGAGGAGGAATGTTTTGTCTCGTTGGCTGAGAACGTCATCGATATATTTGATGATGAGGTTGATGCCTATTGGATCGCTGTCAAAATCCGCAGGAACATGATCGAAAAAGACTCCATATTGCAGTTGGTGAGTTTTGTTTTCTGACAAAGTTTTTCAAAGTTGCTGTTGTGAAGAGAATCAAGAGACGGGGTGAACTCAGACTTTGCTGATGAAGTTTATCAAGGATGTCTTTGCATGTTTCCAATTTTTTTAAAAATCTTTCTATTAGATCTTGTAAAGTTGGAAGGTGGTGTTAGGCACAACAAGAAATCAGCTGTTAAAGATTAAAGGGGTGGCATAGTTCAAGACTTATAGCTAGATCAAATAGGCACCTGCCCCCTCCCCCACACACACTGCATCCACCCCTGCATCCCCCCCCCCCCCTGCATCCCATACCATCTCATCCATGGACTTGGTGTGCATGTGATTGTCAGCTTAAGACCGGGACGTGGCCCTACACACCCAGCACTGTAGGGGCACAGGGAAGACCCAAAAACAGCGCCCTCTATAGTTATTCTACATGATGTCCTTTTTTTCTGCAGTCGCAGCGATTTGTCACGCAGCTTCAGAAGGACGATCCCCAGTTGATGCAGCACCTAGAGAGTACGGGAACCCTTAGCCGGATGGGTCCAGTCTACAAGGCGTGGTTTGGCGGCATGTACGCAGGAGCAATCCCCTCAGGACCGCTAGGAAGGTAAAAAAAACTATCCAGGCGATAAAATGAAATCTAGATATCGGACATTGTCTGACAATTTAATAATATACAAATATTGAGTGGCTCAGCGTGGAATGGTTTTGTTCAACAAGTTGACTTCATGCTTTTTTAAACATCCCTCTAGCAAAATAATGGAGTGTTCAGCTGGCAAGTAAGATGTAAACAACCCTTTTGTGGAGATTGACGAGCGCGTAGCATGTTCTGCGCGATGTCGCGCAGAATGCACCTGGGGTGTTGCGTTTTGAATTTAGAACTATAAAATTCTGACTCGCTGGTAGTGTTGCGCACGCTTAGTGAGGATTGTGAATGTTCAACCAATGAAATGGTAAGAGGCACTGGATTTTTAGGAGTCCACATTTTATGTGACACTGGAAAAGTGTTTAAGACCAGCTAGCCATGTCTTTATCATCCATTTAAGACCGGCCACGTGACGGGCTCTCGACCAATAGAAATGGCTAAACTGTCTGAGGTATTTATGAATAACTTATAAAGCGCTGGTATCTAGGGAAGCCTATTCACTGCGCTGGGGTCTGAGACGATTAATAATAAGGTTCAATGAAGAGGTAAGTTTTGAGACAAGATTTGAAAAAGTAAGTGCCACATTTGTGCAAGCAAAAAGGATATTCTCATTCAAATTTTGTACTTGTAAGTTTCTGACAACTCTAAATCGACAGTGGTGATCAGTGTCATACCTGGGTCCATCACAAGTCCATTACTAGTTCAAGGCATATAGGATCATTTGCTTTTCTTGCATTTTGTTCGTTTCCAATAATGACACCACTCAAATTCCAAAGAAGAATGTTCAAAACCTAACCTGTTGAAGTTTCAGCTCAGTGGATATTACACTTTATGAGAAGCAGTGAAAAAGCAGGCACAACCTTTTGATCACAAAACATGATTTTGTCTATATACATGTAACTCCTTTTTTTGCTAAATCAGTCAATGTTGACTGATCGTTGGAAATCACCTACATTTCTTGGTTTCTTCTAAATGACAGCAAGCCAGACGGACTAATTTCATGTGGTGTTTAAAACCAGTACGATCTTTGGTCCAAGCAACCTTTGATAAAAAATTTGGTAGGTTACTTTTTGAATAAATTTCAATGATGCTATATGCCTTTAAGTCGCTAGTCAATCAAAAGTCAATTCACAAGTCCAGTCACAAGAAACAGTGGATGAACAATAACAAAGGAATGCCTTCGTCCAAGCTCATTGGAATAGCTTGTGAGTTGAAGTGGGACTGGAGGACTAGTGATTGCGTTTGATTTAAGAGCTCAATCTCTGTGACCTTTGACCTTTGCATAGGGTGTGGGATCGTTTGCTAGGAGGAGCAGTCTACATCACCGCCTACGTAGCCCATGTCTTTGTAGTGACCTACCGCAGGCAACTCCTAGGCATGACCAAGTTTGACGCCATACTCAAGTTTCTACTCAAGGTATATCAATGCGCCCTTTCTTGAAACCTGGCTGTAGTTTGGGCTCTGGCTACAACTAAATTCAGTGCCCTTTCTTGAAAACCAGGGCCACTTTGGTGGACATATAAGCATATAAATTTCCTTTTCGAAAAAACTATTTGCTTCAATAAATTTCTTAATTTTAGTAACCCTCTTTATGATGTCCATTTGGATTTCTGATACAGTAGAATGGCACTTTAATACTCCTGTTGTCTGAACAGTCACAGACAGTCAAAAAATCAGGGAAAACTCAGAAACTCAGGGAATTTGACAGAGACCAAGAAGGGAAAGGTTTTTGCCAGTTTGGCGTATGTGCATCTTGTTCCATGTGTCCAAATTGTCCATTGACTGACTGGCTATGGTGGCTTTTTAGTGTTTATGCCGTGTGAATATAACACACCTCTCCAGACAATAACAATTGGCAGCGCTACCACCTCTTGACTTCCCAGCAACCTCGTTAAATTGAACATATTTCTCATGAAATTTTGGGGGATTTTTCATGGAAACTCAGGGCATTTTATTTTCATAAAGTGCTGGGAACCCTGGCATGTTTGATATTGCAATTGTTGCAGTGGCGTTCTACTGTATTCATTTTCTCTGATTTTTTTTTTGTAGGTTCCTCCTGACAGTGCTGAAGTGTTGGTGAATGATGCTATTGACAGATGGGAGAGTAGTGGGAACCAGACCAAACCAGATGCATTATGATGAAATGAAGAGAAGGCGCCAGACTAAAATGGGAGTCGCCCGACTTGGATGAAAGTGACCCACTCGAGAAGCTTTGTAGTGGGCGTGGCCAAGGTGTTTCTGTGGGCGGCAAAGGCCATGTGTTTGTGCTGTGTGTGAAGGACACCAGACCAATGAAGCATATTGTAATGCATTGAAAAGACGGGAGTTCATGGTGCCACACTAATATCAACTGATTGCGATCTTGTTTGTTATCTGTTTTGCCAAACGACTCGCTCAGCAGATGCTCAGCAGACGCTCAGCATACACTCAATGGCACAATAATTCAGACGCGTTATTATTGTTCCAATGATCATCAGGTCAGGGAACTTAAGGTGATTTCAACTCTTCCAAGCTATTAAAGGCAAAGGATCATTTGCATTTATCCCAAACAGGAACTTCCTGAATTATTATCCAATAGCTTACTTGGATTAAAGATTGTACTGGTACTAAACACCCTGATTTTGAACAATCTTCTTTGGATTTCGAGTCGTGTTATTAATGTAAACCAACAAAATGCATGAAAATGATTCCCATATGCCTTTAAAAGGTTTAGTATATTGTGTAGGAGGTTGCAAAGTGTTATTGATTGAAGGTGTGCCATGCGCCTGTGAAAGCTAGCGCAGGTCCGTAAGCTGGGGCCGTATCAGAAGTCCGACGCCTCTTTTAAGTCCAATGCCTCATGTGTCCGACCTATGAGGCGTCAGACTTATGGGCCTTTATTTGGTTAGGGGATGCGATTTTGCCAGACTTATGAGGCGTCAGACCTATGAGGTGTCAGACTTACAAGCGGACCCCCATAAGCTTTCTGTGTAAAATCTAACCACTTTTCAATTGGCATGGGGAATTTTCAAATTCATTTGTATAACCATACATATTCCTGAATAATGTTCCAGGGCCAAGACAATTTTTTGAATTGATATATGTCATGTCTGTGTGGCACTCTGGCAAAATGAGATGGAACTGGGCACAGGTCGTAGTCGAGAAAAATGAAAGAAAAAAACACGAACGGGGTAATTTGTTTTTGATTTCCAGATTTATTGTTATTTGTTACACTTGATACTTCACTACACATATTTGAAAGAAATAGTATAAAAATGAAATAATAGTGTTTCTATGGAAAAACAATTAGCATCTTTTATTTTCACCACTACAAAACATAATACTTTGAAGGCCTTTTTCTCAGTTTTTTACTTTTTTGACTTTGATAACTGCCAACTTTAAACAGCCATAAACTTGTCAACGGAACGTCCGATGGGAGTGCAACAAACAATATTGAACGGAGCATTTTACTCTCTTTCCTTATACCTGCAAACCCTCATTTCGACCTCTGCCCAGTTATGTTTCATTTTGCTAGAACGCCTTACATATCTGTATTGGCCTGTTTGGTTGTTAAGTGCAATGAAAGAATGCTCAAGTTTTGTTGTAGATAAAGACATGTAAAAGATAAGCAGTTGACACAAATGCAGTTAAGTTTTGTAACAAAATCTTTATTTATATGATATTGGTACAAAAATACAATATGATTTAAGTGAATCAAAAAACATGACTGTGAGTGTTTACTCCGACTTTCTCCAAGAGCCGTCAATTCTGACTCATCAAGCAGCGGGCTTATCCTCAAGTCCCAGAATGAAGTCAAATTCCTCTGAAAAGAGAAAGGCAAGAAAATTGTCTAGAGCTGGATTTGAACCAGAAAACCCCAGAATAGCTACTATTTTTCTACTATCCTTGAAAGTTTGCAGATGTACCCAACCCACCCTCCTTCCCCAACGCTAAACTCCCCCCCCCCCCCTTCCCCTCCCCTAAAATAAAGCATTAACAAATTGAGCGACCTAAACATATTTGAATTTCTCCTGCAAAAACACATTTTCAGACGCTTATGGTTCAAGAAGAGACAACAAAGATCACCTTCGGTTACCGGCTGAACAGACAGCCTGGCTCGTGTGAAGAGCGCCAGGTTCTTCAGTGGTCCCCCGCTCTGTGCATGCTTCTGATAGAGACCTTTGAGTTCGGCCAGTGAGATGAAGCGTTTGGTGTCACATATGTACTTGACGTCCACCATGAACCAACGTGGGTTGTCTTTTGTACTAGAGCTTTCAGGAGCAACAAAAACATTTAAAGAGTTAACAAAATAAGCAAATCAACTGAATACCAACAAACAAACTATGGCTGCTAAAAATGGACCCTCCCTGACTGTCAATCAAGCATTGTGCACTGACCAATTACATCACTGTATTTGGTCAGGTGACCACAGAAAGCTCATTCAAACACTGTGAGGAATGTATACAAACCAAAAGTGGGCAGGGCTTATGGCTTCTGCCATTTTGTCGTGAGGGGCAAGAGTAAGCGCTATGAAGTCCAAATGAAAAAATATGATTAGAAAGGCAAAAAAAACCAAGCATATATTTACCTATCATAGTGGGGATCTTTCTTGTCAAACTGGGTGTGGTCCACGTAACCCTCTTTCGTGATCTGGAGAAAATCAATGGACAACCTTCAACTTTACAACTTGATGAAAACAGCATCTACTTGGTCAATAATTTAATCAGAACGTTCATATTTCATGTGAAAGTGAAAGCAAAGCGAATTTCACGACCTCAACAATTGAAGTTTCATAGTGACGTTTTTCATTACCTTAATTTAATGCATTAATTTTGCACTGATGTCTACATTCAGTACGAACCAACCATTAGAGGGTATTCCCTGGTATGAACCTTTCAACATTTTGGCTTCATTTCCAGTTTCGGCTTATTGTAGGCCCCTGACTCACTTGGGGAACTCCGGATCAGAAACACCAATTCCATGAGGCTGTTACGCCCCAACTAGATCATCGTCTCAACTAAAGTTGGACCAATCCCAACTATAGTATTCCAACCAGAACACATAAGTTGGGATGCTCCCAACTTAAGTTGGAACTGTGGTGTAGTTGGGGCGTAACAAGGCAAAGTTGAGAGTATCTCCATTTTTGGTTGAACATTAAGGCATTCAATGATTCTGGAGCCACAGATGTAGCTGAGGCTGGAGGCGAAGCCAAGGTTTCGTAATCATCACAGCTATCTGTATGCACCTTGATAATGCCAGCAATCCCAGGCACTTTGGTGTTGCTGTGATAGAAGAACGCAAGATGGCCGACTTTCATCTGATCACGCAGGAAGTTCCGAGCTTGGTAGTTCCGCACGCCGTCCCAGCATGCAGTCTGATCCGGCTCTTTCTTTAGATCTTCGAGGCCGAACTAGGACAAAATCAGGGTGACACGAGACTAGACATCTACCCAAACTGTCTGTGATACTGTTATGTTCCAACTACACACCAATTGTCCTAACTACCGTTAGGATTGTCCTAGCCCCATAAATGTGGCCTATTAACTGGACTGCCTCCGTAAACATAGGCCACACATCCACATGTACAAAAACGTGTCGCACTTTGCCAAATTTTGATTTTCACATTTAGGATTAGTTTGTAGATTTTTTTGCTTTAGAAGCATACTCACCCTCTTTATAGGCTAGTCAGAAAGTGCTGCCTTTTTCAGATGTCTAATTTTCGTGAAATTTCATGTTGAAATTTTGATACGCAAATGTGTGCAAATGAATCTGGAAATTTCACGAAAAATAGACATCTGAAAAAGGCAGCACTTTCTGATTAGCCTATAAAGAGGGTGAGTATGCTTCTAAAGCAAAAAAACCTACAAAGTAAGCCTAAATGTGAAAATCAAAATTTGGCAAAGTGCGACACGTTTTTGTACATGTGGATGTGTGGCCTATGTTTACGGAGGCAGTCCAGTAAATAGGCCACATTTATGGGGCTAGGATTGTCCCAACTACAGTTGGTTTGTCCTATTTATACCAGTTGGATGGCCTCAACTATAGTTGGGACGATGCTATAGTTTGAGTGTAAGTTGTGTAACGATAGGCCTACCTTATAAAAGCACACAAGTTTAGGGAGGGGGAGGGGGAGGGAGGTTATGGTGATGAATTGGAAACTGTCAAGAATTCAATACTCTGTAGAACTAGAATGACACCACATGTGCACAGACAGGATGCTTTATAGTTCTAGAACACAAAACACACATACTTTTACATCGACCCCCTTTTCAATACGGCTTTCGGGCTCAGACTTCATGAGCCATCTTGTGTAGACCACACTCACGCCATCAGTGCTGCTCTTTGATGATGAAGCTGCTTTCGATCCACTTTTTGTCTTTTTCTCTGCTGGCTTATTGGACGGCTGGTCTTTGAAAAAAGAAAATGACATTGCTGATAAATATGACTTTAAAGTTTGTGCAACACTAGCTCTACTGAGTGGAGACCAATTGAAAAAGTACAATGCAAAACAGCACACTTTGTTGCCAACAATTGCAGACGTGAAACCAGTGTCACCTAGCTTCTTCAACAACTTGAATGGGAACGACTTGATGTTAGACGTTTGAAATCTCGTCTAACCATCATCTTCAAAGAACTGAACCATCTAGCTCCATCTAACATTGACCAACTGAAGTTCACAAAGGAGGAAACAACCCAAAACAGACAATCCAGAAATAATCATCCAAATAACTTTAAAAGAATAACAGTTAACAAAGATTGCTACAAGTTCTCACTCTACCCATGCACCATACCGGAATGGAATCGTCTACCAGCTGACATGAAACAAACGACCGACTTGAAGTACTTCAAAACCAGACTTGATGCCATCCCCCTAGTGGACCTGGCGGTTGACCCAAAAAGCTCATTTTAAAATTTAGAAAGCCTGCCGCATGCATTTAAAAAGCCCCTGTTGGAACTGTGGTACCCTCTGACTAACACCCCACCAAATAGGCATACTTTGACTACACATAAATACTGACACACTGTATGCATTTTTTGGTTGCATACCCTGGAGGACAAAAGGCCCAAACAAAACTGGTAAAGAGAATACAAATGAGAAAGACAGTCACCCTGGATAGATCTACACATTCATGACATTCCCTAAGACAAATTGTTCACAACAACTGGTAATTTTGAAATAACATTTTGTTCTGTTTTTCAAAATTACCACTCGTTCAAGTTGTTGGGAAAAATTTAAAGGGGTCTTCAATGTCATTTCTATCCAGGGTGACTGTCTTTCTCATTTGGTAAAGAATGTTGCTTCCTGACGCTACTTTCGAAACAGAAAAAAAGACCTTTTTTTTTGGTTTACCTTGTATAGAGAGTACACTTTCTTGTGAGAACTGTAAGGAATATGTTGGGAAAGTCTTTAAGAGACATTTATTTGTCGATGAATGTGTGGCCAACTCAAGGAATTTTTACATGTCACTGCATGTTGACGCCCTCATGTCGACCGACGTGTGACATGTACAAATTCACTAAATTGACCACACTTTTTTCCTCAGTAATATAAATGTGTAGTCAAAGCATGCTTTTACGGTGGCCTGTTACGGTGGGTTCATACCTATCTTCCCCAATACCGATGTTCCCCGAAATCCTAGCCTTTGACTTCAAGCCTTCAGGATCTAACTTGTACTTGCTGCACATGTAGTCGAAGTCAAACATGTCGAAAGGCACAGGCATTATTAATGTTGTGCCCATTCTTGAAAATCACGCATTCTCGAGAATGGGCATGCACATTCTTGAGAATGTGCAACTGGATCCTTGCTCAATCTTGGCAAAAAATAACTCTTCCAGATTGAGCGCACATTCTTGAGAATGCGTGACAAGATAACGGTCTTGTCGATGCCGAGCACCGGCTGCGCTTGGCAAGTCTAGCTGCATCCTCGTTCACTGATTCTCAATAATTATACTGTTGCAACGCAAGGCGCTGAAAAGTAGAGTGGATATGATAAGTAAAGGCGTATTGATATGGGGGGGGGGGGGGGACCGGGAAAATATAAGAGACATAATAATACTAGTGCAAAGAATTCTGATTTTTGGGATAATAAAAGCGGGGGGGGGGGGGGGGGGGGGGCGTAAGAATGAAGAATGTGAAGAATGAGAATGAATACTGCGACATCCCATAGTGCTAATGCTATTTCCCATTTAAATTGCCACCAATTTATTGTTCACATCCCACCATAACGTCGCAGAGCTGGATTCTATCTAGTCAAAAGAGCAATTTTGGCAGCTTCTGGACATCGTTTTTTTTCGTGGCACGCATATGATACATGCAGGGACTTGTAACTTGTCTAGCCTAAACAAAGCACTTCCCAGACTAGTTCCCAGTCCTCCGTTATTACAAAACTTCCCATAGTGGGCAGAAAAAAGCAATAATAACAGGTTTAATTTGATTCAAATTATCGTAGTTATACGAGTACAGAAGCATAGCACATTTTCTTTCCTCTTTATATGAATTGTTTCCCTTTTAACCGCTATACAATTCATTTAACATAATTATGTCGTGCAATGTTTGTTAAGATTGGGCAAAATTCATAAATTGTGCACGTGATATTCCCACCCAATCTTAAGAATGAGCGCCCATTCTTAAGAACGCGTGCTCGTTCTTAAGAATGGGCGCTCATTCTTAAGAATGCGCGCCCATTCTCGAGAATGTGCATGCCCATTCTCGAGAATGCGTGATTTTCAAGAATGGGCACAACATTAATTCATTCAATAGTTATTATTTTTTTTTACCACTACCAGAATAGCACATCTAAAATTGTGGCAAAACTAACAAAAAAACGTCAGTAAGTGAAGATTTACCTGTTTTTGGTCTCTTCCTTGGAGGCATTTTCGAAACAATTTAGAAAGTATTTGCAACCAGGCGCTCGAGCAGTAGCACGTGGAGCAGACGAAAAACAATAAACTACGCCCTCAAGAGTTTATCGTAGAAAAGGATTTGACATATTTATTTTAGTATTTGGACCATGTATATCGTGTCAACTAAGATAGTCTACTTTCAAATCATGGCGAGAAATTAACTGCTTTAGTTTCATAAATTTACAATTGAATCATATGTATAGTCCTGCAAAAGTATGACAAATGGTGACTTTTACGAAATAACATTAATCTGAGAAAAACGCGAACTACATGAAATATTACTACATTTTATCAAGCAGCGTGAGCATGCGCAGTATGGTTGCCATTACCAACCATCCACGCCGTGTTGTAAATAGTGCAGCATCACGACTTGAAAATTTTGCCGAATTTAACGATAAAAAACTCTATCAAATCAGGTAAGTGAGTTGAAAATACCGAGTTCAACTTTTGTATTGTTTAATTTCTTTCAGTTGTTACAGCTTTTGGTGCACAGGGAACTTTGAATACATGGCGAAAACACCAGTGAGTGTAATGTAAAAAAGATTGTTATTGACAGGCGGCGATAGGCCGGGCGTCAAGGCCGCCTTCTGTATTTCCGACACAATTTGGCCAAAATGAACAAAACAAATACAACGTAAGAAGAGAGGACATTTTAAATAACATTTGTACATTTGTTTGTTTCTTTCTGCGTATAAGATAGAATCTCTTAAATTCAAAAGTCCCAGAACATTCTTCTTTAAACATGTTAAAATTCAAATATTTTTTCAAATTATTTACGGAATTATGGTCTTCTTTGGAAAAGTCAAGGACAAGGTCATTAGAGGGGGGGGGGGGCTCATTTTTTTTTTTTGGAATACATTTTCTTTGTGAGTTGTTGATGTGGTTCTGTAGAAAGAGTCGTACAAACATTTCATTCAATTTTAAATTCTATTACTATAGACTCTGCAAAGCAAAGCAAGCAAAGAAAACAATAGTTAGGCCTAGGCCCTATTTAAACTTTTAATGTTTTAAAGAAAAACAGATTTGTGTTTTGTGTTTTGTCCCTGAAAAATGTGTATGCATTAGCCATGACTTTAAAATAAAAGAGTGATTATTTGGCAATTGTGTAGTGAAGGGCCCCTCTTTAGTTTTGATAAAATTAGAGTCAGACTTAATGTGTTTTTTTTTATCGTTCTAAAATGACCTTTTCAACCTAGAGCAGACTTCTCTTCCTTTAATATGACAACATTTTTGGGGAATTTTGGACAGTTTCTTGCGATAGAAAATACGATTATCTTACGCGTTTACCCTTACGCCTTCTCTCTACGGCATACCTGTTGGTTTATAATTTCACTAACTAGTTCGGTAAAGAGTCTGATACCTGAAATTGCATGTTTGTTTCCTTAACCCTTACTCTCTGAGGGTAGTTTACTGCATGTCAGTTGGTTATGCCAATGCCCTCCAGCTGCAGTTTATTGGAGGATACTTTGATGTAGCAGTGAAGGCTCCAAATGGCAGGAGTTGGAGGCCCTGGAGGGTGCCTGATACTGACCAGCTGGGGGCACTCACTTTGTTATCAGAGGACTCTCATTGTTCTCTGTGGCATGTATTGGAGTGCCTGTCCAGTTACCCTTGAAATGACATGGCAGATATTGGAGGGCCATGCAAAAAACATAGGAGATTTTCTTGAGGCACATATTGGCATGCGTTGGAGGGTCTAGTAGGGTAAGGGTTAAGTTATTAAGGCAACAGGGCCCTACATTACACAATCACCATTACTTTGCATACAAAATTGGAGTGCAGATTATGTCAAAATTGCCAAAAACTCAAATCTTTCACTTTAAAATACCTTCACCAGGGAGGTTTTGTTTTCATTAGATTTAGTTGGTTTGTTGATTGGTTGGTTGGCTTGTCTGTTAACAAGATAACTCAAAAAGTTGTTGACCAATTTGAAATTTCTTTAAGTGGTGGGCCTTGGTATGAGTTATCGATTAGATTTTGGAAGTGATCTGGATCTGGATCCAGGATTTTTTTAAAGGATTCTTCACCATTTATGCGAGTGTTTCTTTTGGGTGTACAGACAATATGGCGGGGACTTATTTAGCCTTGGTGGATGTTTGCGCTCTTTGAGTGCTTTCTAGTTCATGAGTCAAATGCAGATAGCAATCATGATTTCACAAATTCTAATATTTGAATTTATACGGGACATTAAAAATGGGACGTCAAAATCCAAAATTTTAATTACAGTTTATTGTTACAAAAGTCTGTCATCAAATAAACAGCACCTCAGCTCTTACATTTTTGAATCTCCCTATCAAAGGCCCTACCAGGTTACAATTCTTATTTGCGCTATTTATTCCAGCAACTATGCCGGCTGTGGGGGACGATGTTCCGATGTACTGCTCACAGCAGATCAACATCCCGCCCGATCTTCCTGACATTTTGAAGCAATTCACCAAAGCTGCCATCCGCACCCAGCCCAACGATGTCTTGCAGTGGTCATCAGCGTAAGTAGGCCTAATGTTAGGCCAAATAAAAAAACAAAGCATGTTTAGAGTCCCTGCCTGTTTCCTTTTTGGAGGCCGCCTCCTTCTTTTTTTTTTAATTGAAAAAAAAACCCTGAAAAAATGATAAAGTTTAAACGTGACATCATTTTGGCCTCTTTGTCTGTTGCATCTAGCCCATATAAACCTTTCCTGAGTCCATGTGGTGGCCATTTAAAAAAAAAGAAGCTGACAGCCATCTTAAAAAAATAGCCCGACCAGTTGTTTTGGAAAATGAGTCAGGCGGCCATTTTTGGAAAAAAAGGACCTCCTTCCTTTTTTCAAGAAGGCAGGACGCTAAAAATGTTTTTTTTTTACTTGGCCTTAGCAAGACCAGTTTCAATGTAGTTCTCAGCACAGAAATTCACTACTCACTGAAAAAAATTCAAGGAGCATTGCGTGTAGCAATAAAATTATGCTAAGTTTAACAGAAAACTGTTATATAAACCTCAAGCATATTTTGTGAATGAAGTTGGCCTGATGTTGTCGTGCTTGTTTTTATGTACTAAGTATTTAAGATCTTCATCTTTACAAGTCAACCTTGTTCCTAGCCCATGCAAATTCTCATGAAACTTCTGTTTTGTGTTTTGTTTTGCAGGTACTTCCATGCCCTTGCCAAAGGTGAAACCCCTCCGGTAAAAGAACGGCTTGAGATGCCCATAGCCACACAGAAGACAGACACTGGCCTGACCGCTGGAATATTATCAGTCCTTAACCGACAGGTGAGACTCACATACAGAGGTCGAAGGTCACGCTGCGGAAGTAAGGGGTATTTAAGAAATCTCGGCTTTGTCTCCAGCATCACCCCTAGGAAAATTGTATGTTCTGCTGTGTCCTTGGGCAAGCCACTTCATCCCCACTTGCCTCTCTCCACCCAGGAGTATAAATGGGTACTGGCATTAGCTGGGGAGTGACCTGCGATGGACTGGCATCCCATTCAGGGGGAGTAGAAATTTTCTCAGTCGTTTCATGCCAAGGAAACCGGAGATAAACACCGGCCTGATGGGCCATATTGGATCGTGACAGACTTTACTTTACTACTAATGATTGCACAAAAAATCTACTTATGCTGTTCCAGCAGAACAAAATACGATCCTTTGGAAATAGCTGCTTATGCCAAAGGTCTATTTCACTTCTAGGCAGTCCCCAGGCTTGTCCTTTATGGTGTCTTTAACTCCACCCCTCCAGAGTATTTTGGCTAGAAACCCTGCTGAACAGACCACCATGCAACACTTGTCTAAATGACAAGCCTGCCGAGATCCATCAGGTCAAAAGCCTCAAGGCCAAACTGCCTCAGAGTCTGTGGTCACCAACTGCAGCAGGATACAACTGTGGCATTGTTCAATGGGACTAGCTCTCATTGTCTCAGAATTAGCCGTTTACGCTCTGGTGTTGATGGCTCAATGCAGCAAGGTCCCACAGACTTTTACACCTGATGCACTGTGTTGCGTCCGCCAGGGTTAAGGTTAATGTGTTTCGAAAAATGATGCCTTGTGGAGACCCGGATATAATACGGAACAAAAGATTGTAAAGGTCTCCACGGGGCAAGTTCTAAAGGTGAATAGGTCTCCTCAAGGATTTCACGAAATAGATATACATGTATGGATTTTACTCGAAAACTAGGAATTTTCAAGGTATCCTTAAAGTATTTGATTTAAGGAATGTTTGTTCGGAATTTCAACCCAGGAAAGTATCATTCTGGTTAAAATAGGAGAATTAAAAAAATTGCTTTCGACCCTCTCACGATTTTGTAAAAGAGAATAAAGCGATGACTCCATGAGGGTACACATTTGAGTACGGGTGGTTTAATTGATGTTTTAATAAGTTTAGTTATTTTTTGTGCTTCTCGTAAATAACTAAAATGAATAATACATCAATTGATATAAACATCATCTTATGTAAATGTTACAATTTTTGTTATTTGAAGCTTGGACCAAAGAAATTGGTGAAGTTGGCCGATTTGGAGCAGAAATGGAAGGATAACTGTCTGCCGAATGAGAGACTGTACAGCCTGATTCAGCTGGGTAGCTTCGGTGATGAGATCGAATGGCTCAAGTTCTTTGCATTGGCGTGCTCGGCCCTCGCTGGGGTGAGTGTTTGAAATCTTTTATTGTGTCTGTATTTGACCCACCGGGGGCGCCATACCACCTATTTATGAGAAGCAAACAAGGGCATTTTTAAGGTGTTCACCAGAATTTTGTATTTATAGTGGGTATCTTACATAAAAATTAATTCACAATCCACATAGGAGTGTGTGTTACAGTTGAAGGTAGCGTTCATCATTTGTAATTTGAGTATTATGTTCGTCAAAATCTAAAGAAGGGTGCTAAACAACCTGATGAAGTTTTAGCTCAGTAAATGTTGTATATTCTGAGAAAACGATACTCTAGGATCTTGATTTCAAATCAAAAGCTGCTGAGTCATTTTTAAATTGGGCCTGAATTCAGCGTCCAAGACACGTTTTCACTGAGTTGATTGCAGCTACGCGATGTCACGCTCTGAACTGACAATTTATGGCAACCGCGCGCGTGTGCGTTGTGTCAACGCTTGCGCACTTCGCTGAATTAAAAAAGAACTACTAACGGAAATTCCAAAATCAATTACAAAAATACAATTTATCCACAGTAATTTGTCATTTCGGGAGGACATTTCTCAAGGATTTCCAAAGTTCTGAAATTTTTCTGTGATATTTGAATATTTTCGCATTTTTATACGGTACAGAAATTAAATTATGTTCCCGCAAAGAGTCCCTCAAATTTATTGTTTTTTTACCTCAAAATTCTTACATCCCCAAACTAATGATGTAGAATCATGCAATCCTATAATGCCATAAGGTATCTTTTCCTCTACTGATTGTTTTTGCAGAACATCACAAGTGCCATGAAGGTGATCTGTGAGATCTTGACCCGCGACCCTGAGGGTGGAGCTGCCAGGATACCCTTTGACCTCTTCAAGGAGCTGTACACATACCTGGCCCAGATCGATGGAGAAATCTCAGAGGAACAGATCGAGAGCGTCTTCACATACCTGCAGTATCATGTGTGAGTATACCAGATAAGAGCAAAACATTGGAGCACAAAGAAGGACCATTTCCATTGTATGTCCACATTCACGTGCATTTGTCTTATGTTAGACGCTAAATGTTTGTACACATTCAGTTCCAAATCGGTTGCCCAAACTCGAGGGTGTATAGCAATCGCGGGGTGTTTGTGAGTTTGTTTCTGCATTCAATAGGGGACGTTGAACAATAGAAGACAATAGGGTCCCCAATTCCTGAAGGTTCCCAAATTGGGCGATCGTGTACAAAACATATGGGAGGTCTTCCTAAAAGGTTAGAGTACTTACAAACAAAAGAGGGACAATAAGGGCCCCTGATTGCAGGCAAATACACACTTGCTAGTGTGGAAGACGTGCCACCCCCCTATGATAATTTCTCTCAGTCGGCATTTAGAGCCTTAGTCTGCAAATGAACCACCACAGGTGATGCTATAATAGGGGTATGGGAGGGGTGTCATACCCCCATTAATCGTTTTCCTTTGTCAGCAAAAATGGTTGTCCTTGTAGTAAAATCATGTGTCTATATGTCCAATAGTGTCTGATATCTTTTTGTAAGATGGAAAAGTTTAATTGCAGTACCTGCTGCTACATCAGACTCGAACTATCAAATCTGTCTCACTGTACGCCCCTGCAAATGCTGTGTGTCCCTCCTGCAATTTTAGACTTAACTTTTCTAAAAACATGAGAAGAAAATATAAAATTAGAAAAAAAATGCATTTGAACGTTATGAAATTCGGACTTTATTTCCCTTTTAAAAAAAAATCCTCCAAAGCATCAGGTTAGAAAAGGAAAAAAATTTGTGTGCAAAACCGAGATTCGAACCCGCAACCTCGCGGTGCAAAATCCTACCTTCCATCGACTGAGCTATCGCACTGCTCGCCAAAACTTGGGGAAACAAATAATTTTATACCTGCGTGCGTATCATAAAAGTATTGTAGAGGGCGCTAAACAACCATGTATGCGGATGTCGTTTGGGAGAAAAAAAATCGCGGCCCTCCTTGGTTCTCATGAGAAGATCAAACAGCCCTAGCTAGATTATCTGCACAGTTTGCATCGATCACAAGCTTTAATCTCACTGCATTGTCTTTCTCTTTTTTTTCTCTCTTCACAGTGACAAGCAAAGTGGAGTTGTGCAGCCACGAAACTTCCTAAATCCCGACTGCCCCAAACTGGGTCCATAGAACATGCTTCCCAAAATCGACCTTCCTGTATTAATGTTAAGTTGATTTGTTTGTATTTTTATTTTATTGCAAAAATGTATTCACTAAAAGTAATTTAAGTTTTACTCCAGTGACACTGAACTATCTTTTAATAGATTTGATTTTTTTTTTTTTAATAAAGAAATTATTCTTGGTTTAGATGACAAAAACAAAGCAGTGTAAGAACTAAACGTGATCACTTTTTTGTTCATATGTTGTTCAAAGCACTAGAAATTAATTTTGATGAATATGTCCCTCCACAAGTAATAAATGTATAAACTTGCATCACGTTCATGTTTAGAACAAACTTTTTCAAATGGATCCAAAAAGTGGCATTTTTTTCCTAGTAGTATGTATATATTAAACTAAATTAGCAGTTTTAACGTAATATTTGGAGTTAACAGAATGTACAGAAATGTACCGCTTTGAGATGAAATAAATTTGTTGAAGCTTTTAGAAACTGTTTGAACCTGTACTTTTACTTTCATCAAAATAGTGTTCATTTTCAAAAATGCCACTATCCTATTGTAACCCCACCTGGAGATGTTCTTTTCCTCTGAATTTGTGAGTCTGTTGACCGGCCCAGAATTTCACTCCAGGAGCTCTGTTGGACATGTACAGCATCAACTCCTCTCTTCTCAAGCATCATAGCCTTGACCAAGGCTATCAGCTTGTTCCCATACGAGCTTGTTCCCGCTACCGCACACCGCGCGCGCTGCGACACACTAGTTGTACTATACCGTTAGCCTCAACGACCCTGGTGTGTACTTTGTGTGCATGTATACGTACGCCCCACACACACTTCCACAAACACAAACACACATACTGAAATTTGTATCCTTGTGGAGACATTTCTTTGTTCTCGTGTAGTAAAGTTTTCGAGTTTGAAAGTGAAGTTTCAACATGCCCTTATTTTAACCAAAATTAATTTCCTTGGCTGAAATTTGGACTTAATATCCCTTTTCTAAAACTCTTCCATTTGCGACAGATCAACCCACCTTGGAAATTCCTAGTTTTTGAGTAAAATCCATATATCTATTTCGTGATAGCCTTGTGGAGACGTATTCATCTATAGAAATTTCCCTGTGGAGACGTATACAATCTTTGTTCCCTATTGTCACGCGTCTCCAGAGGGCACGGTGTATCAGATCAGCCCCACACACACTTCCGCACACAGCCGTACTGTACGGCTGTGTGCGGAAGTGTGTGTGGGGCGTACACCCATCATGATGCACACAAAGCACACACAAGGGTCGTTAAGGCTAACCATATTATAGTACCTAACTAGTGTGTCGTGTGCAGTAGCGGGAACAAGTTGAAATTAGTTTTTGCAAGCATGATGTTCCGACAAACACAAATGCCGAGCCAAAGGTATTCTTTCTCTAAATTGTGTATTGCCCACTCACAAATTTGAATTTCCAAATACAAAGACTAAAACCCAGTTTTATTTCACGTGGATATGCCAATTCTATTTGAATAATTTGATGGCAATTTTATTGTTTTAATCATGACCTGTGACCTCTAAATTCAACAGGCTTCTATGGCACCCCAAGACCAATACACATACCAAGTTTGAAGTTCATATGCTAAGCCCAAATTCGATTTCACAATATAACACCAGACAAAGTAGAAACCGTATAAAAAACCCTCGAACATTTTCTCTCTTTCAACAATTTTATTTTTGAGAACACGACAACTTCTAAGAACATTATTTACATTAATGTGCAGATGAAAGTTTAAATAGTTTTTCTAAACTCTGTAATTAATTTAAATGAACAGTTAGTAAAAATGAGAATATTTTCAACATGAACCAATTAAACACACCATACTGCTTTTAAAATAACAAATCCATTCTTAAATAATTTTTGAAATATACCTTAAACGTGTATTCTTAGAACATAATTAACATTTATATTACATGTACTATAATAACATTACATTTTAAAATTAAATTATTACTTATTAAGGAATACATGTGACTTTTCACATTATGTCTTCTTTTTAGACTGGAATAAAAGAGCTCTGGCTTATTTCTTAAAAGTAAAGCTCAGCATATTTCTTGGTATCAGTTATCCGTCTTGCCTGTTTGACCTATCAATAAAAACTGGCAATAATTTCTGGAAACATTTTAAGACTTTTTAGCCACTGAAAGTGAAAACCACAAAACTACCAACAAAAGCCCGCAAATACTTGTAAGTTATTTCAGAAATCAGGTTTAAAACTCTGCTTCAACTTTTTTCAAAGAATTCAAAAACTGACATGAATTTCAACAAATCCTACAAAAGGCCACTAAAAACTTACTTTACACTCTTAATTAATTCAATATTTCAATAAAACTTGTTCAAGGATTTCATTCATTCTACTCAAATTTTAACAGATTTTTGAATTCTAAGTCTTTTATAATTTTTGCATTTGAATTTAGGTCTATTTATTATTTTATATATTAATTTTTGATTCAAATTTATATTATGTATTAGGCTTAATTAATTACACCTTCAAAACATCAAAAAGAAAGTAATCCACTTTATCTTTGTAACAATCTTTGCTGAAAAATTCCTTTTGTAGAAATATTGCAACTGTTGCAACTAAGAATATATCGTAAAAGCAAAAGTTTGCATTTTAACTGATTACTTAATTTGCTTTCACGAAATTCCCCCCCCCCCCAAAAAAAAAAACAATTGACAAATCAATTGTACATTTACCGCCAAGTTTAATTTAAAAAGAGGAAATTTCATGCTTTACAAGAATTTATACATTTTTTTTTAATCTTTGGCATAAGTGTGAAGTGAAAAAACAAAGAAATCGGATGAGCCGAGGAAAAGTTTCATACCTTAAAACTTTTTAAAACTATAAAAACAAAATATCATTTTCTCATATACAATTTAAACTAAAAAGAATGTTATCGAAAAGAATAATTAGATTGCAACCGGAGCTTAAACTTGCGACTTGGAAGACATCAAAACACTGACGTTCACATCAGAAAATTGAACTTTATTTTGTTTTTTGGTTTTTTTTAAGTTGGAAGTGTGTTGAGAGATGGAAAGGGAAGGAAAAGTCGAATGTGACTTTCTTTTATTTCATACCATGACTGTGCGAGTAACGATGCTGGACTTGCGACGTTTGCGTCCACGTCCTCCCAACTCCTGATGGTCTGGATCTTGGCTGCTGGACAACTCAAACTCGTATCGCTGTAAAAAAACAACAACAGAAATCATGATCACTTTAGCCAGTTAACGCCGGAGGACGTGTTAACACGATATATGCATATACGCAGCGGCGGTCGACGGGTTAAATCGCCAAGCTTTCATTCCCTGAGTCTCAGGCAGTTCACAGTCTATCGTCAAAGTAAATTTTGCTCAATGACAGGGTCTCGGAGTGTTGCAAAATACGAAGTGAGAATACAGTGAGAATTAAAAGTATCAGACAAATATTGTACAACAAAGAGTCAGTATTTGTGGTGTTTGACTCAATTTTAAAATTTGGCCGATATACCTCGTCTATTTAAAAAATTGTGTTTTTCGGCCAAAGATAATCCCAGCGTCAAGTGGTTATTGTTCAAGTTCACAGTTCACGGTTAACTGCCTTTCTTAAGGCCGGTTCATACTTGATGCCACTGTAAAAGCAAAGCATTTTGACGGCAGGAAACAGTCTCTGCGAAATTAGCCAGAGTTAAAATGTGTTCAACGTTTTGCAAAATTTGCAGTGACGTCTTAAATTTACGGTTATGAACCGGCCTTTAGATGTAACTTAACTAAACAAATGCAATATGATGTCAGAACCCAATTCATCTCCTGTAGGTGATGCCATTTTGGTTTGCTGCATGAAAAGAGTTATTAATCCACGGTACGAAAAAAAGTAAACAACGTGTAGAAACTGACTATAGGTTCCCTTGAACAATTCCTTGATGAAACCCCCCCCCCCCCCCAAATAAAAAAAAATTGACTTAAATTCAAATTTGTTTGCCCTCCAGAATACTGTAGCAGTGTTCTACCAACTGAGCTATGCTGCTCTATATTGGCTGGCTGTCAGCGAGTTGACTTGTGACGCACTTGTGATGGACTTGTGATTGGTTTTGGATTTGACTTGTGATGGACTCAAGATGGACTTGTGATGGACTTATGATGCACTTGTGACGGTCTTTACAACTCTTGACTAACGAGTAAATATATATCCATCTTACATCATCGTTCAGAGGCACTGCTCTCTTCTGCCTTGCTTGAGCTTTCTTCCCGTCTTTCTTCTTGCTCTGCTGAGAGGAAGCCTTTGGAGCAGTTGATGATGCGTCTTGTTGAGAGGATGCAGAGGAGGCAGGTTTAGGAGGAGCATCTTGAGTTGTCTGGCGAGGCCGGAGACGTCCAGTCATGGTCAGCCCGGCAGTTTGCTCAGCAAGCTTGTCAACCTGTGAATTAAACCCAATTGTTTTTGTTTTTAATGATAACAGGGGTAAGTTTGGGGGAAAATGAAAAAATCAACGAAACTATCGGCAGAGGGTTGCTAAAGGGCCAGGTTTGACTAAACGCAATCCTAAAATTCCAATTTTTTGTTTGTTCAATAGATGCTTTTACAGATAAAAAACTTTTATCGATAAAAACACTTTTATCATAGAAAAGATTTCACGGATTTCAAAAGGAATTTTTTTTAAATCCTGAAGCAAAAATTTCTGAAATCAGGAAAACTTCTAACAAAACCTGAAATCAGGAAAAATTTTGACAAAAAAATGAAATAAAGGAAACATCTTAACAAAGCTCATCCATGTAATAAAACAATGCATGAAACTGTGTCCGGCCAAAGACCCTTCAAAATGGTTCATTTCTGCTTGCAAACAATAGATCTCAGGGATGTGAGTGACCACTGATCAAAATAGCTGAAAACAGCTGGAAAAGGTGTAAAAAAACCTGAACTTTGGAAATCTCCTTTACTTTTGTACAGTGAGGGAAAAAGCTAAAAAAAAGCTGAAATCCAACACAAAAAAAGCTGAAATCAGCTTTAAAGCTGAGATTTCACACCCCTGAGATCTGCATAGCAAATTCAATGTTCTAATTTGTTGCTGAACCAAAACCGAACCATTTTTCTGATAACAATATCCAAACCTTTCCGAACTGAACCCCAACCCAAACTTGAGAGTTGACTATCAGTGCTGCGTTGCTCATACTGGTTCCATTCCTTATAACAACTGACTGGCCATAGCATAAGGATCAGTCCATAAATATGGTGTCCAAAAGTATGAATTTTGTGTGTCCCTGTTACACCTGACCTGTGTAATTTGCCATGTATTACAGTTAACTAAATTTTCATGGATTAAGCCAGATTAGGAGTCCGTGAAAACACCCTTAAAAAAGTCCCTTGTTTACCCATGGAGGTAGACCCAGTGTACCATTATGTATAACCAATGATAATCCTCAGTGGCCAGGGCCATTAAAAAAACGTGAAAATACCCTTACAGGATTATATAAGCCCCATGTAAATGTCCATGAAACATCTCTTAGAGATTCTTTTCACGGAGAAATGGACTTTTAATGAAAATTTAAGGGATCAGATGTTCACATGTGCGGGTACTGAAAGTGTGGTGTTTTGATATTTTACCTGTGTGATTTTTTGTTTGGCTCTCTGGGACGCAGGTTTCTGACTTTTTGGACTTTCCTGGCTCGGCTTGGCTTTGTCTGGTTTCTTGGCGGGGATGTCATTGCCTCGTCCCTTCTTCTCAAAGTACTTCTTAAATCCCTCGGACTTCAGTTTCTCCTTGTTCACGAGTCTGCCGAGTCTGTGTCCGGAAAAGAGAAATGATCGATGGTTATTATTAGTCAATTCGAATGTATGATGTCATTATCTGTACTTACGCCAAATGGTTGATTTTCGTAAAATTTCTTTAGTGAAAGCTTAAAGACTGTAACACTTTCAGGTACTTAAAGTCAAATCTAAGGGAAAACAAAACTTCAGGGTGACTCTTTTAACGCCGGTCTCAAGATATCAAGTGTAAGATATACTGAGGCTGTGTTCTTAGACTGGTGTCAAGTCCCAAGCTATTCAAATAAACTTTGAAGAAGGATCCCCTGTCTCTTGTGACTAGACTTGCAAGTGATATACTTTTGATAGGACTTGTGATAAACTTAATAGGCCTGATGCTCCAATAAATGATAAGGGCGCTGAACAATGCCATTTTAGGGGTTAATTAGATGTGCGTCCAATTTTAGTGACGTAAGTTTATATATTTCTCAAGGCTAAAAAATTACGTCAAGTTAAGTTACTACACTGCTTCAACAAATTCCTTTTTTCTCGTATATGTACACAGAAAGTGATGTCATTACTGATCCTAATTCAATCACAAATATTACCTATTTCCTACTCGATCTCACCTCTTTCCCTTGGCATTCTGGCAGTATCCCTCCTTCTCCAGCCGATTGATCAGCCCATGAGCAACGGTGATCTCCACGCCCAGACGACGGGAGAAGTTGGGCACTAGGATGCGGTCCATCTCAGTGGCGGCAAGCAAGGCGCGGCGCCAGAGACAGGTTGCCTGGAGCACCACGGGGGCTAGGGTGGTCAGGTAGGGGTCTGTGGGCTTCATGTGACGGGGAACAATCTGTCAGGGATTGGATCAACATTGAACGTTTAATTGAGGCAGGTGAGCAAGGCGCGGCGCCAGAGACAGGTAGCCTGGAGCACCACGGGGGCTAGGTTGGTCAGGTAGGGGTCGGTTGGCTTAATGTGACGGGGGACAATCTGTCAGGGATTGGATCAACATTGAACGTTTAATTGAGGCAGGTGAGCAAGGCGCGGCGCCAGAGACAGGTAGCCTGGAGCACCACGGGGGCTAGGGTGGTCAGGTAGGGGTCGGTTGGCTTCATGTGGCGGGGAACAATCTGTCAGGGATTGGATCAACATTGAACGGTCAATTGAGGCAGGTGGGCAAGACGCGGCGCCAGAGACAAGTAGCCTAGAGCACCACGGGGGCTAGGGTGGTCAGGTAGGGGTCGGTTGGCTTCATGTGACGGGGAACAATCTGTCAGGGATTGGATCAACATGGGACGTTCAATTGAGGCAGGTGAGCATGGCGCAGCGCCAGAGACAGGTAGCCTGGAGCACCACGGGGGCTAGGTTGGTCAGGTAGGGGTTAATGGTGGGCTTCATGTGACGAGGAACAATCTGTCAGGGATTGGATCAACATTGAACGTTCAATTGAGGCTGGCGAGCAAGGTGCGGCGCCAGAGACAGGTTGCCTGGAGCACCACGGGGGCTAGGGTGGTCAGGTAGGGGTCAGTGGGCTTCATGTGACGGGGAACAATCTGTCAGGAATTGGATCAACATTGAACGTTCAATTGAGGCAGGTGAGCATGGCGCAGCGCCAGAGACAGGTAGCCTGGAGCACCTAGGGGACTAGGGTGGTCTGGTAGGGATCAGTGGGCTTTAATTGTGTGACGGCGGGGGGCAATCTGTCATGGATTGGATCAACATTGAACAAGTTCAGTTGAGGACCATTCATGGTCAACTTTTGGTTGATTCGTGTCTCAGGTTCTTAAGATATGTGTGACAAGTGGAGGTTATGACTTTGCATGAATAGATGACGGTGCTTTGTGATTGATATGTGGGTGACGGCGGTTCATTTTGATAACGCCATCTTTCAGCAGGTGCATGACCAGTATCCAATATAAAAAAAATCTTGATCTAATTGTGTAAACGAGTAAGGGTACTTGCTTTATGTGCATAGATCCTAAGCATACACCAACCTTTGCACACTGGTTACAGACGTGTTGCTCTGGGGCGTCATCTTCTGATATGATTGCAAAGCACACGGCGTGTTGCCACAGTTTACACTCCTCGCAACGAATCATCAAACCGTCATCCTAATGACCATTAGAAACATACAATAACGTTTACAACAAAAGTACTGCCTTCATTATAGACTGAAACAAAACAACAAGTTTTGACATCAAGCAAAAAACCAGCCAGACTTTCAGACTTCAAACAGGACAAGCAAAAGCATTTTTTACACCCCAAGGAGATAACGTCAGAGTTGTAATGAGTCCGACTCGAGTCACAATATTTGGTGAGTCGACTCGACTCGAGTCCCTCATAACACTCAACTCAACTCGAGTGAAGGCTAATAACAATCAAGTCCTAAAAAAATATTAGTAAAACTTTGTGAAAATATTTGCAGTGAATTATTGTGCAAAATTTATGTTCACGTCACTTAGCGAATACAGTACAGTACAGCGGCCGCTTATCGAGGACAAACGTACACCGTGTCACAGACTCCCAAATTGTGGTTCTGTAGCGCACAAAATACTATCGCGTAACCGGACTCAGTGGCCTCGGGCGATTTTCTTATTAAGCTCTTGGTGGAACGCCGGCTAAATTTTTGCCCTCCTTTTAAAAGACAAATAGATGCCCACTTTTAAATAATCAGAAAAAGTTTTGTAAAATGCAATTTGGTTTTGATGTTGTCAGCGATCAGCGGAAAAAAATTGTAGACTCGAAGCCCAACCAAGATATAAGACCGAAGTCTCAATTCTTGTTAACCGTTAGTGATACAATGACTTTCACTCGTCTTCATTTATTAGTGTTCAAATTATTCATGACTGAAATTGACTCGAGCTAATTGTATTTGACTCAGCTCGACTCGACTACACAGTACTGTGACTCAACTTGTCTCGACTTTCTTGACCTGATTCCATTCGACTCGAGTCACTCCTTTAAAATGACTCTACTCGACTCGAGTCACAAAATGCAGTGACTCGTTACAACTCTGAAAAAAATTCACAAGTTTGCTTAAGAGGGGACTCGAACCAACAACCTCCTGCTCACTAGTGCAGACGTCTTGACCAACACTGCAAGTTCATTCACATAATTCAAGAGACAACTGTGAGGATGACATTTTTCATACCTCATTGCATCCACAAGGGCAGCGAACGATGTTCTCTTCTTGTTCCTCGTTCATGAATGGCATGTTGGATGAGGAAGATGAAGCAGGAGTTGATGCTTCGTCCACTTTGGCTGTGTGGAAAATGCAAAATGTTTGTTCCTTTTTTTTCTCAATTTTAATTCAGTGAAAGAAAGGGTTAATTGATATTGTACAGGAGAGAAGACAATGATATGGAAATGAAGAAGGGCCACAAGAGATTAAAATACTTTTGTTTTTTGTATCTAGCCGCAGTGTGTTACTTTCTCGCCACAGCAACTTACTATCTCGAGCGAGTTACTGTTTCACCAAGTTCAGAAAACAAATCGCCCTCAGGCGAGATTGTAGTCTCCAATAAGTGAGATACACATACCAATCTGAAAACCTTTTTTTGTACTCTACCTGACTCTCCACACATCCAAACAATGAGGAAATTTCAGTGCAGGAAGGAAAATGGCCAGAAATATATTCTGGGACAAAACACGATCACAGAATCAGGCGGGGACTGAAATGGGTTGATGAACTGGAACCAGTCAGACATCTTTTGGCAGGCTTGTTTTAAGTATAGTCTGATTCCGAGTCGAAGTGATCACTCTTTTCAAGTTTTGAAGTGGTGAACTAAAAAGTCACGAGTCACCAATCTGATATATACAGATATTTTTTTATTGTAAATGTGTTTCTTTGCTTTGTGGAACAGTCTGCCGCAAGCTTGAGTCTCAATAAGACCGATCCAAAGCTCCGCCCAGTAGTGCTTTGACCAATTATTGCCATGATAATGTGTCAGACATAAGCTTGTACGAAAGGTCACAATGCGTGTAAGTGCATATGACGTACGCACGCGACTGGAACATGCAGTATTGGAGCAGCGAACGTGTTGTTGCGCTGTGTTGGGGTCTAACGGATCAGTCTATCACAAGTCATGCCTCTAATGCTAGAGGACAATCAAGCCTCAGAAATCCACTTACCAGGCCTATGGGGGCTACTGGCTGGTACATCACAGCTAACAGGTTCAGTCTGGCTCTTCTTTGGTGGTTTCCTCTGGGCTTCAGACCGATCTTTGTCTTTTTCCAGCTTGGGCGCCTTCACGTTGACTGGTTTTGCAGCCACCTCCTGTAATGTTTTGCAAGTTTGATCAAGGATATGGTTGACCATTGTTGCAACGCTTTTCAGGTGAAGTGGTCATGAGCCTTACTAGGATTCGCGTCTCTCATTGATTAAAAAATGAATGTCAATCTCATGTTCCTACATATAGCCAGAAGAGTACTATAGGGCCCAATTTGCAAAGAACACTTGTAAAAGAAAGTAAAGTCTACCCCGAGCCATATTAGGCCGGTGCTTATCCCCAATGTCCTTGGCATAATGAAGTGACTGAGAATATTTCTATTCCCCCTGGATGGGATGCCAGTCCATCGCAGGATACTCCCCGGCTAATGCCGGTACCCATTTATACTCCTGGGTGGAGAGAGGCAAGTGGGGGTGAAGTGGCTTGCCTAAAGACACAACACACGGCCAGCAGCTGGATTGGAACCCCTGCAGCCTTTGATCTTAAGTCACGAATGCTAACCACTAGGCAAATTAAGAACACTTGGAGACCTTATTTTTTAGAGAGTGTAATCAATTAATTAACAACATTAACAAGCTCTTTTTGGCTCTTCCAAATTGGAGGGGGGGGGGACAGGCCTCGAGGCGCCATATGTTGCTTAGTGATGCCACTATACTCCTGGCTCCCTTCTGTACACTTCAAAAACACAGTTGGCTTTTGGTAACCAGTGATGCGAACAAACTAGCGTTTAGGCTACCGACTAGTGCCCCTTGAACAAAGAAATTGACAAAATGGGGAACCACCAATATATAGGGCTCGATAGCTCAGTTGGTAAAGCACCAGAACGGCAATCCAGAGGTCACAGGTTCAAAGCCTGTTCTAGCCAATTTCTTTGTTCAACTGTAATTTATCTATAGGTTGGCTAGTAGTTTACCTGATCTTCCTCAAGAAGAATCACATCAGCTTCCTCCTCGTCAAGTGCCGAGTTGCTGACCACTTCTTCATTGTCCGTCTCCATGGCAACCGCATCACCCTCTTCCTCTGCTTTGTCCTCCCGTAGCTCGAATTGCTTACGGTCCGTCTTGATTCGTAGCTTCACACTGAGGGATTGCATGATGGGGGCGAGAGTTTTAGTAATTTAACCTTTCAGTGGCCTGGGCCGAAACTCAACACAAATGAGTACCAGGGCTGGTTAAATCATCTGAAAATGTACTTTACTGTTAAAACATATGAACAATGTTTAAATGTGATCCAGTCACAGTTGCAACCCAGTCAATCCCAATGTAATCACAAGTTATGGTTGTAATAACATGAACACTTTACAAGCACTTTTGAATTTTAAGGCAGTACGTCTCTTAACCAAGTCCTGGGGTATTTTGACATTGACTGGACCCAGGCACGGGATTTTTCATGTTTTTCATGAACCTCAATGCCAGACGGGTTCAGGTTGTCATCTGCAGGTAGCACACCCTGATATTTCCGGCCTCGCCCGCTGAGAGCGGGTCGCGGACAGATATTTCCGGCCTCGCTTGTTGCGTGTTTATCCGTCATATCCGTTCCGACATGAACTGGTTAAAACCAGTTTGCACTTCACGTAAATGAAATTTATGCCTAGCAAGTTCAGAGGTATTTCTTGAACTTTGGTGAATTTTCAGTGCACAATACAGTCAAGTCTCGTTAATACAAACTCGTTTGCACCTAGCCAAATTGCTTGTTATATCAGAATTTTTTGCTTCATTGCCTCACAAATGCATTTCTGTGGCGTATGAACTTTATGCAGCCTGATTTGTAGACAATTTACTACAAAATATATCAAAGTATAAAAGCAAATAAAGAGATGACTTACGTGTGAAATGACTGTTGTAGAAGTCAAGATATTTCGCCAACAGGCACATCCACATACAAAATAAAGAGGACCAAAAGGCAAAGAAAATATATTTCAGAGGAAAAGTACTGAAAAGTTCATTCAGCCCAAAAGTTGTGGGCATTTTTGATATACAGGGATGGTGTAAAAATGATCTACCCTATACCTTTAAATAGAAAATCACAGTTCAGGGATTTCTTGATGTACAAAACTGACTTAGTGAATTATCCAGGGATTTAGTTTGAACAAACTCACAGTTGACACGTCTCCAACTTTGATGTTCATAGGCTCCTCTTCAAAGTGGAACAAATCATTCTCAGCGGCTTGGAAGCCTGGCGGCTCATAGTCAGCTGGGGTGACTGTTGATGTGAAATACGTAACAGAATTGTTACTGGATGACCAAATTGCACCCATTTAATTACTTAGCATCATGAAAAAGTATTTCGTCTGAATGATATAAGATGGTGCTTCTGAGAGAGACTAGTAGATGACACTCAATGTTTTGAAGTATATGTTCCTGTCATCATCAGGACAAGATCTGTTTATTTCCCTCTCTCCGACACAACCCAACGTTACAGAACCCTTAAATAATAACGACAACAAACAGCACATAAAAATCATCAGCTTTTCAATTGAAAAACAATGTAGGAGAGAAAAAAAAATATTGTTGCTTAATTAATTTCAGCTCAAATTAATTCACTTATGAAAAAACCCTGGGCACTTAAAAATATGTCAACATGGGTATTTTGTACATGCATGTTTTTTTTTTCTCTGTACTTGATAGCATTTTTAAGGAGTGATTAAGATCGCTTTAGGCAATCCTTCAGGGGTGTTTTCAATATTGTTTTTGTTTTTGCTATATGTTACCATAAATGTTTGTATTGTATTCTGTGTCTATGTGTGTTCTTCCCTGAGAAATAAAATGACCTGAAATGAAATTAAATAAAACAACAAACAACTTTCTGTATATTTACCGTCGTCATAATAGAGAAGTTTCATGGTGATGATGACATCATCAGGGAGAGATTTGAGGCTCTGTGTCAGTACGACGATGGTACGGAGCAGGCGAGTCGTTGCCTTCTTGGTTTCTGCCTCCGTGGTCGCCCCGGCAATCTTCGTATCATTCCTAAATCAAAACAAATTAAATTTGTGTTTTCACAGATGCCAAATTACGGTCAAACATCAGACATTAGCTCGCCTTGAACTCCAATACAGGGCAACTTTCTTTTTTACTTACGGGTAATCCAACCTATCTGGATTTTTTTTCTTTTTGGCCAAATTGCCGACCTCAAAACATTTTATTGCCATATTTTGTGAATTTTTTTATTAAACGTATATTTTTAATATAAGAAATCTTCCCAAATATACAAGTTTCTGGTGTGTTTTCAGTTATTTAAACAATTAAACCCGTTATACAGAATAATGTTAAAGGAACTCTGAAGCAACAAAGTAAAGATAAAAGACTAACGCACAAACATAAAAAAGTTACAAAAATGAGCCAATTATAGTTTCCTACATACCTACCTGGGTAATTTTTTGGGGTATTACCATATATTAAATACACAATTTTTTGTCTTGCTTTTAGCAGTAAAGATATTGTAATCAAGTATCATAACTCAAGTCAATCATCACTCATCCAATCTCAGGTCAAGTGACTATAGCTACTCGTTAAAGATGTGTTCCTTGCACTATATTCAAGTTTCACCTCAACAAATAAATGTCTTTGTTCAGTTGCTATTTTCCTAATGAAATAGTAGTTATTAACTTTTTAATGAGACATCAGTTAAAATATCCACCTATGACTTATTTCTTCCTCAAATGAATACTTGCCAATTGCCAGACAAAATTTCTGCTCTGACAGGGCGGGATCATTTGTGCAAAAATTAAAAGCCCTTTTTCAGAGGGTTGCAGATGCCCACTATCGGAAAAAAGTAGTTTCTTTTTGTGAAAACAAAACACACAAATTGAAAATTCATGAGAAAAACATCAATTATGTAAAAAGCATGTGGTATATGCAACTTGAAAGAATTGTGACGACAGCGGTCTTTAGTTTGTCTCAGTTGATGCCCTGTTTTTTTTAACTAGCTGCTGAATGCACAGGGTCTATAGGTAAAGGTAAGATGGTCATGGGCGTCACCAGGATTTTTCCTAGAGGGGGGCATAGTCCATTTCCCCCCCCCCCTCCCCCCCCCCAAAAAAAATCCCATATTTTCCAGCATTTCCCTGATTGATAATTTTTTCAAGGGTTTGCAGGGACATTTGCCCCTCCCCCTAGCCCATAAAATTAACCCATTGAACAATATGATTTCACGACTTTTTTTTGGGGGGGGGGGCCTTGTCCCCCCTGGCAACGCCCATGAAGATAGTTTATATAGCCCCATGATGTCATGGTCTTTACCTGTATATCTTGATACCTTCACCTTTGTAGCAAAACTTGAAGGTGTAAGACTCAATCACAGTCTGTGGGATACACAAAAATATTGCACATAGGACGTATTGCACAAACGTACACAGAATAATTTCATTTCATTTCAGAAACATTTATTTCCACATGAATAAGCACTTTAGAAAACAAAACAATTGTTACATGAAAACTACTAAGTGGAGGCATTACACAAGAAGCCGGAGCTTATAAACGGAATGCCTTAAACACAACAAAAAATATAAATATATACATATAAACAATACTGAAAAAGGAAGACTAAATTCAAAGACAAAACACAACAAAACAATGAAAACAGAAACAGACAAACAAACAAAGTGGACATAAACTTAATAAACTTTACAGACGGACATACGAAACATACTAGTGATACAACGACACAGTTTATATAATGGATGATGCAAGCAAAAGAAAGCACAATTAAAGCAAACGGTATGAATGTAGAAAAACCAACAAAAGACAAAGCAAACTATGCTATATACTGGGAGATAAGATAGTTCTTGTTTTCAGCTGTGATGTTTTTACCAAAAACAATTAAGTTTTCTATTCAGATATTCAACTGTACTGCAGAAAAGACTCAATATAAACACAGGATAAGTGTTTTAAGCTGTGCTGATTTTTTTTCTGTGAAATACCAAAAACAATTAATATATTTTTTTGTATATATTCAACTGTATTGCACATAGGACTCAATAAGAACACGGGATAATTGTTTTCAGCTGCGATGATGTTTTTTTTTCTGTGAAATACCAAAAACGATTAAGATTTCCATTCGGATACTCTACTGTACTGCACAGAGGACTCAATATAAACACAGGGTAATTGTTTTAAGCTGTGGTTATTTTATTTTAAGTTTTTTAATTAAGAGTGGGCATATGAAAGCTCTCAAAAAAATTTCAATGAATTAGTTTCAAAACTTTGATGGCACATACTTACATCAGGTTCATTTGGATCAACGTAAATCTGTAGACAACAAGACAAAACAATTGGATGCTTATCACTGTTTTGACTCAGGTCTTCAAATAAATGAAAATGTAGCACTTCAAAAATAACCAAAGAAAGAAAATCTTCAATTAAAAGTTTGATTTTGGGTCAAAGGTGCGTGATCTTTAATTTATGGTTCCAAAAGAAAAGGTTTTGGCATGAAACTTTCGTCTCATTTATTTGCATTGGGAATGTAATTCATATTTCCTCTTCAATCCAACTTAATTAAGTATAAATTCTGATTGTATGAAGAAGAAGAAATGTACTCACCCCAATGGTAAGTGCTCGAAGCTAACAAAAAATGAAGGAAAAAACAATGAAACTGATGGTCAACATGTCAATATTCAATAAACATTTTCAAACACAATTATTTTTTGTGCTGGGCATATTTCTTAGCAGCTTCCCGACACTGGCCTCAGATCTGTGCTTATAGGTCCCTGACACTGAGAGGCATATAGGATCAATTGTTTTAAATGCATTTTGTTCGTTTCCACTAATGACACCACTCAAAATCCAAAGAAGAATGTTCAAAGCCTAACCTGTTGAAGTAGTTTCAGCTCAGTGGTATTACACTTTTCAAGAAAACAGTGGAAAATAAACATTGTAAGCCTACAACATTTTAATCATAAAACACAGCTTTGTCAATAGTACTCTTTATTCCAAAATCTGTCAATTGACTGATCGTTGGAAATCACCTAAATTTCTTGAATTCTTCTAAATTACAGCAAGCCATAAATGGAATAATTTCACGGGGTGATTTTATAGTATCAGCACGATCTTTAATTAGCAAGCTGTTAGATAATAATGTGGCCGTAGGTTACTTTTGGGATAAATGCAATGATCTGATATGCCTTTAAATGAACTTTAAACATCAGACTATAAGCTTTCATTAATGCTCTAAAGAAAAAACCCAAAGCAACTCACATATTTCTTGTCCAGTGCATCAAAGCAACCTTTGACCCACTTGATCACTTGACATGCCCCAGGGCACGCACTGTCATCACGCAATATCTTCAAATTCAGATCTGAAAAACGTGGAAATTACACAGAATATTGTGATCATCTCATGTCGGTTTTGAAAAAAAATACTGCCTGTGAATATATATGATTCAAGTCTCAGGCTGATTTTAATTTCTGAAGTGTTTTCAATGTAGTGTCTCAAAAATCTTTAAAGGTCCTTGTTCTTTAAAGTGCAGTATGACATGATTGCTATTGTTAGATCCGCGTTATAAAAGTTTATTGTAAAATTGTATATGAATGCCCAGGCTGTTGGGGCTGTTGGGGCTAGGTCAAATTGTACTTTTTAAAAATCTTTATTGTGATGGAGGGGAGGGTCGAGAGATTTTTATTCCCAGAAAATCATCTTTATTTTTTACCTTCCAAGCATCGATCCCCAAAGGCATGCTCAGGAAAGATTGTCCTGAGGTACATGATGTTGGAGACCGCTACAGCCAGTAGTTTCTTGATGAAGAGAGCCGATTGTGTCTCGGATATCTGCTGTGGAGGGAAAATGGACGACCACTGGCAAAAGAAAAGAGGTTAATTAATGTTACATAAGTTGAAGTTCAAAAGCTTCTTTTTTTAAGGGGGGGGGGGGGTTGCACTACTATCCTTCAAACACAATAGTTTATATTTTTATCCCCGACGTGGGAGAAAGCTTTAAGACTAGTCACAATGTACAACATCCAATTTATCTATCTAAGCTCACCTAAGTTTTTACATCATTTTGAGACAATTTCAAAAGAAACATCTTCCCATACTCTAGACTAAAGAATGGAAGGTTTGCGGTAACACCATGTTGAGTTGTGAGGCTCTATCTGCTGAGAATCTGAACCAGTTGTCTTAACTTCATGTTTCGAATAGTTGGCTCTGTTCGTCATCAGAACTCATCATCAGGAAACTATAGCCTAGTTGCTGTCTAGCCTTGGGCTCAAGCCTTAGGCCATGGTACAACCTGACAACCCAAGTTTTAGAATTGTCTCGTATTGAGATTTAACTTTAGCTTGCTTAAGCCAAGGGGCCTTTGTAAAAATAGAGCTAGGCCTATAGCTCCTCCAGCATCACCACTGAAGTATAACTGGCAAATTTCAAACATTCACAATCACAGAGAAAATTATGTTATGTTTCTTATGAAGTCTTTTGAACATGTTGAAAGGCAGATTGCACTTGACAAATTTTGAAGGCAAACTAGGCCTAGGGCAGTAGGGCGCCTACACAGTAACAAGTAACATTAACACACTGAGTTAGCTGGTTAGGCCTAGGGCTCGGCCTAACTTCAGGCCTAGCCCCGGCATATGATTTAGCCTAGGCCTAGGCACTTGAGAGCATGGGTGTCGCGAGGGGGGGGGGGGGGGGGGCAAGGGGGGCACTTGCCCCCTCCCCCCCTGGAAAAGCAACAACAAAAAAGGAAGGGGAAAAAAAGAGAAAAAAGAAAAGAAAAAGAGGCGCGAAGTCATATGAATCATATGACTTCGCGCCTCTTTTTCTATTATGATAGTGGTGTAAATTTAATGGGGTGGGGGGGAGGCAAAATGTCCCTGCCCCATAAATCAAGAATGTGTTGAGAAATAGGGCCTACAGGTAGCGATGTCAAATGGGTGCCGCCATCTTGGCTTCCTATTGTTACTGTGTACAAATAATCGCTCAAACATCGATCAACATCCGTCAAATAAATAATTAAAATAATCTTTTTTCTGTCGATAACAAAAGAATAATGAATAGGTTTTACCTTTATGTTGTTATTTTTCATGTAAAATTATATTTTAGTGGTGTATTTTACATTTACATCCGAGTAATTTCCGGGGTAAAAATTTTCGTTGGCGGCCATTTTGAATTTTTTTCAGACGTCGGATGTCGTCACGAAAACGCGTTTTCTCGCGAGATTGGGGGGTATTATGGGTAATATACGCTACGATCATGCACGTAACATGGAAACCTACATTGACAGTGTCTACAGACGATCTTGGTCACCGAGAACGATTTTAAATCGCTAAAAATCATACAGATTTACGAAAAATCTTGTCAAAAAAAGTGAATAAACTGTCAATTTTTTTTAAATGGAGAGGGTTCGCGGTGAAATTAAAGCTCTAGAAATGATTATTGGAGTGTAATCTTTGAAATTATAACGGGATTGTTTGCTGCGACAAGCTGCGCTTTTTTGTAAAATGGGATTTTTTGTCATGTCATGCGCGGCCGGCGCGGTATTGGCGCATACGCGCAGTGCAGTGGCGGGTAATTTAATATTTTTTTAGTGAACTTGTAGTGTCTTGCTATACCAAAAGTATACTTTTAAATGTTTTTGTTGTTGTTGTGGTATGTATGGAATAGAATAAATGATGAGCCAACATTACAAATAAATAATAAATTATATTTTATATTTATTTAAAAATTAGTTTGTGTCCTACTACTACTAGTTTTCATGGAAATTTGGTGGAATGACCAACCTTCCTGGAATTTTTTTGGCCATCATGACCATTGACATGTCAATCTCGTAATCATATATTTTGTGGGTTATACATGTATTTGACCAGAAAAAAAAGGAAACCATACAATATATTGGTACTAGTAGTACCCTAATAATATTTGTTGTAAATAATTTCAAACTTTTTATTTCTAAAAGTTACAATTTACCTTAGGCCACTAAGATGTACATTGGACGGTTTGTGTATTAAGGGGGCCTACAGACTTTAATAAGGTAAGGATATGCAAATATGCTAATTACATTTTAATTATGAACAAATGTAATCAGAAATGTGATATTTTATTCATGCAGCTGTTTTGGTTTTCAGCAAATCAAAACAAAACAAGATTTTTAAAAATTAACTACATGTACATGTTGCCCAATATTTCCCCACACGGTTGTCGAACTCAACTAGTATAGGTAATTAACATACGTGGATGTTGGCTAATTAAGATAATATGCAAATTTACCATGTATAAATGGGCATTCAGTAGTTATACCTTCTGGCACTGTAATGGTACAATTTATACCCATAAAAATCAGAGAGAATATTGAAATTGATACCAATATTGATACATTAGCAGCACGGTGAAATATCAGGAGACGGTATATGCGTATACGCATAATTAATTAGTGCTAATTAGAATACGTTACATTTTTTTAAAAAAACCGACATCTCATGAGATAGAGGACATCATAAGCTTCAAAATGAGGGGTAGTGTGATATAGTTTACTTCAATATTAAAATTGTGTTTGGCATTGCTACTACAGGCATTTTTTGGCAAAAATATGTTTTGCCCCCCTCTAGAAAAAAATCCTGGCGACGCCCATGCTTGAGAGGCCTAGCCTAACCAAGGCTAACATAAACAACATGCCTAACTGTTTGCGGCCCTACAAAAAAACTCAAGCATGTCAAGTGAGTCGACTTTTGCTAAAACTTTGCTCACCACCTGCTCACCATGCAGGCATGCTCACTCAGCACAGCATGCTCCGACTTACAAGTTACATGACTTAGGCCTACACATGCTACATACCTCTCCTGTCTTTTCTCTCACTCTCTGCGCAGTTGCAGTCATGTTGGATTTTCTATTTGCACTCCACACGCAAAGACAAATCGCTGATGCTAGGCAAGAATTGACACCGAACACACTAACGTCGTATAGGCCTAACGTTGCAGCATGCACACGCTCCGAGTTTAGGTCATGCCGCTCAAATCCTCTTCAGTTTCGCTCTCAAAGTTTCAGTTTCACAGGTCCTACTCTCCCATAGCCAACACTTGAATTTATTTAAAGCTGAGGTTTTACTCCCAATTATATCACGATCTCAATAGTTCAGTCTAGTTTCGGCAGACGGGCGATACACAAGCGAAAAGGTTGTAGCCTAGTGAACTCGAGTAAACAAGAAGTTGTCGACTTCATTCATAAGCCTAGCGCGCATGTCCGTCGTCCCAGCATTTAGCTGCGTACACACTTTTTGTGTGACGTCAAATGGAGTGCTTCCCGCCAAAATCTACGTCAATGTCGTCTGCGAATCAGGATATTTAGCACACATTTTCTCAGGTTATCCGTTCTTTAAATTCACGCGCAGTGATGCTTTCTTGATAGGTTTTGTAATCTCTTTCCACATGTATTGCCGTTTTTTTGCAGAAATACGACGAAGTCACAGCTACGGGCGAGGCTTTTTCGAACGGTGGTGCCGCTGCGGAAAACCTCAAGGAGGCCGCCATTTTGAACTATATACATGATATATACCCAACTACGTCAACAGAGGGCGGTTTGCATACTGTGGCGAAACAGGGGTACAGGTATATGTAGACTTGTGTAGGAGTCTAGGTCATAGGAATAATTTATGCGCGTGATCTAGGACATCCGGTGCGTGCTTATAATGCCGAAGTGCGCGTTGACCAATCAGCAATAAATTGTGCTGCGTGATCAGGAGATTAATAATTCATGGCGTGCATTCGACCAATCAGTATCGCGTATTGGGAAGACTGTGCGCAAATTAGCATGCTTTAGCGTGGGGTCCTGAGATCATCTCGTTAGTTCGCAAGATGGCGTCAATGCAGTAGGAACGCGTTCTGGTGCTGTTGTCAAGTCGCAAGAAGCCAAGCTTCGGGGTTCAGGGACGAGTCAAGTCGCGGTGCCGTTGCTGGGGTCTTCGTTGCTGTTGCGTACTCCCCGGTCGGGAGTAGGAGCTCATCTCTGACGGTGGATGCTCTGGTGCGGCTGGGTTCGGGAGTTGATGCTCTGGGTTTAGCTAGCAGTAAGCTAAGTGTTGTCTACATGTAGTTTATATTGAGTGAAGTTGTAGCTCAAGGTCTGTTATTCAGTGTCTATTACCTAAAATAATTGGGGACAAAGATTATGACGGAATACTAGTTGTGAAATTAAGGCTGATAATTGTGTCTTGATTAGTGCTAGAACAAAAGGGCTAGGAGTTACAGAACTTGGTTTGAGAGGCTGGTGAGACTGTGATTCGGTGGTAGATTGCTTGTCGTGGGTTGGACACCATTCGGCGGGGTTTTACGACAGAGGCGATTATTGCCGTAATCATTGAACTAGTTTGCCTGACGAGTTTACTCTCTGCCGCGTTCTGAGCACTTGTGAGGGTTACCTGTTTTGTGTGAGGTTTATTGCACGTAAGGTTTATACTGTATAGCTCACTCTGAGGGTAATTGGTTTCCCGTGAGGGTTATTGTGACCGCTCAGTTCATGTGAGGGTTATTTGGATTACATAGTACAGCCTGCTTTGACGCTGAATTGGGTTGAGGGTTACCTTTCCTCTGTGAGGGTTATTAGGACAGCTCAATCTGTGCGAGGGTAATTATTGGAACTGTGACACAGGGATTATAATTGTATAAGTTCATTATCATGTGGTGCAGTTGACCACGTGAGGGTTACCTAAGGCTACGTTTACTACAAAGGGTGCAGTTGACCCTTGTTACAAGCAGTGAGGGTTACTGTCTATATGTGAGATATTCATCGCCTCGTTAATTGCTGTAATTATTGACCAAATCCATTAATGATTGAGATTCTTGAATAAACCCTATCGATAATCGTCTTTGGAATCACTAGTCTCTGTGAGGTTTACTCAGGTTCTCTGTGAGGGTTACCATGTTCACTGTGGGTTACCTAGGTCTGCCGTGAGGGTTACCTGAGTTCACCTTGAGGCCTATTGTCGTTACTTGTATATTGCTCTAATTACATTCAATTGATTACTCAATCACAAAACGGTGGTATATTTCCACCAAACGAACAGCCCCTAGGCTTAGTCCGCCGTTCGTTAATTGTCCCCCCTTGCGTATGGGTAGCCGCTCACCCGTTCGTTAGGCTAATAAATATTTTTGTGGGATAATAGGAGTTGGCTAGAGTCCTGGGATAAATAACACCAGTCCCCCCTGGGTTCTGCCAATCACCGGTTCCGCTACAAATAGTGTCAGGGGTCGGTTTCGCCACAAATGGTGTCAGAAGTGGGATATTTTGTGATTGTATAAATTAAACTCGTGTAAGTTGTGAACTAGTAATAAAGAGCAGTAAAGAGAAGTTGATTGTTTTTTGGTTATTGAGTGGACCTCAGTGAGGTACACTGTGAGGATAATTGGTCACAAGGTCAGCAGTTTATGCTAACCTGGGTCGTTACTGGTTTCGGGTATTGTTTTGTTGTTGCATTGTTGGTTGTTGTTTGGATTCTGTTGAGGACTGAGTTTCCTAGTCAGGAGGAAACGTCAGTATGAGTCAGGGCATCACTTCGGATGAGGTGGACAAGGGTTCTGTCGATATCCTTGATGAGCTGAACCGCTCGAGAATGGAGGTTCAGTGGTTGAAATGGGAGAGAGATCGTCTTTCTTCGGAGTTAGAGGCTGTCAAGGGGGCACGGCCTTTGGTCGAGATAGATTCCGAGATAAGTCGGAAGTTTCCTGAGGATATTTCAGGGCATGCTTCATTTGAGGCATGGCATCGTTTCAGCGTTGGTTCGTCGTCCAAGGTGGTTCCAAGGGACGCAAGGCACGTTGAGGGTACACCTTTGAGGTCTATTCCCACGCGTAGTCCTTGTACCAATCCCTTCTTGAACCGTGAGGATGATTGTGCTATGGAGGAACGAGGTTTACACAGTGAGTCGTCGAGTTTTGCAACTAGTCCCGCTGTGGGGAAATCCAACGAGTTTGTTGGTGAGGTAGACTCGCCTGGAGTGGGCCTATGGCCACTTAAAAGGGAGTCGCGGTTGGTGGGTAATGAGGTGTGCGGTAAACCTCACGGTGGTGGGCCTAGCAGGCCTCCAGTTACCCCCGATCGTTACAAGGTTCTTTGGGATGATTGTTGCCGCCGCCTGGAGGCGTGTAGGTATGTGAATCATTGTGAGCAGAGAGCCGAAGGTAAATCCTTGGAGTTTACCAAGGTGGTCGACTCTGACACAGAGAGGCGTCTTCTGGAATTAGAAGAAAATGCCGGTCATCAGTCGAGGAAAATAGACCAAGTGGTGGAGCTGCTGACACAGCTTACCAAGCAAGGTCTGGGTCCGGTTGGGAAGGCGGAAGTTCCTCAGAGGCAGTCCCCAAAGCCTGGCAGGAAAACGCCTGGTGTGTTAAAGTGTTTCAGGTGTGGAGAGGTCGGCCATTTTGCAAGGGCTTGTGCAAGACCTCGTAAACGTGGACTTGAAACTGAGACAACCGAAGTCAAAAAGAGGCGAGGATCAGAGGGCATGTGCAGAGGTACTCGGCCATTGTCTTATCTTCGGCCTAGGCATGGAATGTATGTCCATGGAGTTGTTAGGGGAGCAACTGGTAAGTTCCTGATCGATTCAGGGTCGACCGACACGCTTATTAGCAGTCGAGTCTACCATGCAATTGCTAAGGAACGGCGGCCTTCGCTGGAAGCGGAAAAGGCCGGTACATGTATTCAACAGGTTGATGGCAGCCCACTGTCTGTAATGGGCGGTGCCTTGGTTGAAATACAGTTGGGTAAAAAAGTTTACCCGGTTCGAGCAATTTTTGCTGACATCAAGTTTGATGGTGTATTAGGCATGGACTTCTTGTTACCTACTGGAGGCAACTTAGATTTCCGAAGCCTGGAGTTGAGGTTAAACGGGGAACGGATTAAGTGCAAGAGCTGTGCTGGTGACCCGTTCATTGGCCGAGTAGGGGTGGTCCAATCCACCGAGATTCCGGCCAGCCATGAGGCTGTGATGCCTGGTACTGCAACCAGTACTGCTGAGGCGTTGGAACAGCCGGCAATCGTGGAGCCCGTGGAAGGCGGAGGCGAGTTGGCTAAGCGAGGGTTACTTCTAGCCCAGTCGCTGGTTGAGCCACAAGCCACGACTCTCAAGCCGGGGATATTCAATCCAAAAGAGGAGAGTCAGGTTGTTCACAAGGAAACAACAGTGGGAGCGACTGCAGAGTCAACCTCAACTTGGGCAGTTGTTCCAGGTCACGGTCGTGTAGGTGAGGTCGGTAGGGACCTCCAGATTCACCTGCATGGTTTATATGGCCGTGGGAAGGTCAACCTCAATGAGGACTATCATGCAGAGGTGAAGTCTTTCAGTTTGGTGGAATCTCCAGACATGCTTCTCTCTGGTGAGCATGATGTAGGGCGGTCTGATGTGGATGGTGTGACAGAAATTGTTGGTGCATCAGAGAATGCCAAGGCGCACAAGAACTCTGCGTATGTGAGGTCTTTCAATAGACGCTCTGGAATTTGTGGGAGGAGGAAATCTCCTGTGAAGAGGAGAGATCCCCGCTCAAACGGGAGTTGGTAGGCGAGAACTTGAAGAGGTGGTTATGGGCTTGCTGGGGCCACTGCCCCGGAGGGACAGTGGCAACGTCTGAATAGTTGTGGTTGATGACTACTGTTCCAGTTAAAGGAGACGCTGGGCCGGGCACCCCGATTCCCGAGTCCAAGTGATCCTTGTCAACCCAAAACCTGATTGCGGCAGCTGATCCAGAACCGGGAGCCGGGAAAAGAGGACGTGTCCGAGGTGGTAACTACGGATCCACTGGCACCGTCGTGGAGGAGAAGATCTTCCACAACACTCACGTCGATGGCGGCAACCTGGTATGCGAGGAGCTGAGCAAGCCGAAGTACAGGAAGCCTGTGGAGCAATCCGGTACAGTTCGAGCATACGTGGGACGATGGACAACGACGCGTTGGGGCAACATGTTCATACGAACTCTTAATAAGCATGCAAAATTAATCTGAAATTACCTGTACTATATGATGTGATTCTGGTATTTTCTCATTGATTCTATAGATTTTCTAACACTGTATATAGTTTGTTGAAAGTTGCTTGGTTTTTCTGCATTAAACGTTTCATAGAATTTGCTTAGTTTCGATTAAAGACACGAAAAAAGACCAAGGACATTTTAATTGTATACATTGTAATTAGAGATTCAAGCTACGATCAACGATAATTAGACCGGATAATGTCAGATATTTCCTGTTGTTTATGTTTAAGACTTAAGAATGAAATTGTCTGATTTTTGATGTGAGATAACTTTAGAGTTAAAAGGGAGTGGATTTATGGAATGTTAAATACTAGCGAGGTTAAGGTAAACCTCACATGTGTGTATTTTAAAATTAAAGTGTTTCCACTCTTTTTGACGGTTGTATTAATAATCTGAATTAACTCACATCATTGAGGGTTATTAGGAATGTGTACAGTTTGTACCGGTTGATAAATTACATGTGGGGTCAAGTAAACCTCATGGGTAGGCGAGGTTAGTAAACCTCATGTAGTGTTAGTGTTTATAATTGTATAAAGTTATATAGCCCTGTCTCGTATAATTTGAATTAAGCTATTTAATCCGGGACGGATCAAGCTTAGCTGGGGCCTGTGTGGCGAAACAGGGGTACAGGTATATGTAGACTTGTGTAGGAGTCTAGGTCATAGGAATAATTTATGCGCGTGATCTAGGACATCCGGTGCGTGCTTATAATGCCGAAGTGCGCGTTGACCAATCAGCAATAAATTGTGCTGCGTGATCAGGAGATTAATAATTCATGGCGTGCATTCGACCAATCAGTATCGCGTATTGGGAAGACTGTGCGCAAATTAGCATGCTTTAGCGTGGGGTCCTGAGATCATCTCGTTAGTTCGCAAGATGGCGTCAATGCAGTAGGAACGCGTTCTGGTGCTGTTGTCAAGTCGCAAGAAGCCAAGCTTCGGGGTTCAGGGACGAGTCAAGTCGCGGTGCCGTTGCTGGGGTCTTCGTTGCTGTTGCGTACTCCCCGGTCGGGAGTAGGAGCTCATCTCTGACGGTGGATGCTCTGGTGCGGCTGGGTTCGGGAGTTGATGCTCTGGGTTTAGCTAGCAGTAAGCTAAGTGTTGTCTACATGTAGTTTATATTGAGTGAAGTTGTAGCTCAAGGTCTGTTATTCAGTGTCTATTACCTAAAATAATTGGGGACAAAGATTATGACGGAATACTAGTTGTGAAATTAAGGCTGATAATTGTGTCTTGATTAGTGCTAGAACAAAAGGGCTAGGAGTTACAGAACTTGGTTTGAGAGGCTGGTGAGACTGTGATTCGGTGGTAGATTGCTTGTCGTGGGTTGGACACCATTCGGCGGGGTTTTACGACAGAGGCGATTATTGCCGTAATCATTGAACTAGTTTGCCTGACGAGTTTACTCTCTGCCGCGTTCTGAGCACTTGTGAGGGTTACCTGTTTTGTGTGAGGTTTATTGCACGTAAGGTTTATACTGTATAGCTCACTCTGAGGGTAATTGGTTTCCCGTGAGGGTTATTGTGACCGCTCAGTTCATGTGAGGGTTATTTGGATTACATAGTACAGCCTGCTTTGACGCTGAATTGGGTTGAGGGTTACCTTTCCTCTGTGAGGGTTATTAGGACAGCTCAATCTGTGCGAGGGTAATTATTGGAACTGTGACACAGGGATTATAATTGTATAAGTTCATTATCATGTGGTGCAGTTGACCACGTGAGGGTTACCTAAGGCTACGTTTACTACAAAGGGTGCAGTTGACCCTTGTTACAAGCAGTGAGGGTTACTGTCTATATGTGAGATATTCATCGCCTCGTTAATTGCTGTAATTATTGACCAAATCCATTAATGATTGAGATTCTTGAATAAACCCTATCGATAATCGTCTTTGGAATCACTAGTCTCTGTGAGGTTTACTCAGGTTCTCTGTGAGGGTTACCATGTTCACTGTGGGTTACCTAGGTCTGCCGTGAGGGTTACCTGAGTTCACCTTGAGGCCTATTGTCGTTACTTGTATATTGCTCTAATTACATTCAATTGATTACTCAATCACAAAACGGTGGTATATTTCCACCAAACGAACAGCCCCTAGGCTTAGTCCGCCGTTCGTTAATTGTCCCCCCTTGCGTATGGGTAGCCGCTCACCCGTTCGTTAGGCTAATAAATATTTTTGTGGGATAATAGGAGTTGGCTAGAGTCCTGGGATAAATAACACCAGTCCCCCCTGGGTTCTGCCAATCACCGGTTCCGCTACAAATAGTGTCAGGGGTCGGTTTCGCCACAATACTGTGCTTGATTGACTCGACTCGACTCGCACGCGCTATAGCTCGCTGCAGCTGTTCGTTGATGGAGAATTTTGATGGATTTTTTGTGTGAAACTAAGAGGAAAGTTTTTTTTAAAAAATGAGATTGTAACTTTTGGTCAAGTAATGTTCTCACCAATTAAACTGACTTTAGCACCCCACTCTAGTGTATTAACTTTTAGCATACCGGTAATATGGATTTTAGACGAGCAGTGTTATGTTCAGAATTCCCGCCGGCACGGTGTCGACGATACATACAGCAGCTACATTACTGCGCAGATATCAGATACCAAGGGAACTTTTTTTTTTAGAGTTGACCTTTCTTTACCGGTGTTTGGCTCCGATTTTCTTTTCTTCAAATGACAATTATTGTTGATGTCCCAATATAAAAATTATGGCGCGGCCCGCGCCTGCGCACTAAGTTGATTTTTCGCCTCTAACGCCCTGCTAGAGCAAAAGTTTACCTGAAATTTTACAGAAAGTTAAATTTCATCAAACTTTTCACAGTTGCTGCCGTTCATAAATCGTGAGTTTATCTACCCGGGCCGTTACAAAGTTAGCAAAGACATTTTTTTTTTTGACTGTATGATTTTCCGATTTTGTCTTGCCGCAGTTGAACCCTTTAAAAAGCGCCCAATTAGAAAACAATTTTCTGACAAACTTCTCGTTAGATTTAGAGATAATATTGGTTTATCAGAAATTACCAACTATAAAGAAAGTTTTAAATGTTAACTTGGGATTTTCCGAGATGTATTCAAGCGCGCCACGTTGCGGGAACACCGATAAATTGTGCCCAATTTCCAGAGACCGATCGAACCGTATCATGAATTTCGGCCTAAATTTCATGACACTGAAATTCAGTACAAATTATGTTGAACAACAAGCATTATTAAGGTAAAGGTATGTTTATGTATTTTGAATGAATTTGAAGTTTGGCAAAAGTGCATGAGGGGTTCGAAAGTCAGGGGACACGTTGAAGTGTGCCACGACCGTAGCAGATGTTCCCGTCCCCGGCCGAAAAGCTTAAGGCTATATGGGTGTTGGGGCGGTAGGTTGACGATGACGTAGCCAATTAAAGTGCATGTATTGGACCCTCAACACAAAATAATATAAACTAATAATATTAGTGCCAATTGATTCTTAAAGTACAAAATAAAACTGCCGATGATTTAAGCCCTTTATTGTGATGTGGGTTTTTAATTTTTAGCGGGGATCTTCGTAAGATAGAGCGCCACCAATGAAGTAGCGCCCTCTCGCGGCAGAATACACACCACGCGGCGAATTCATTGATTGATCAAGCGCATCGGGGAAAAATCGGGAAAATTAAGAGTTCCAAACTACACGAAATAAGCAACTTGTAAGCATGGTAACCATCGAGCAGTTGTACAAGGACTACGGAGTGCTTGCTGATGCTGGAGATAAGGCAGGGGAGGTAAGATTGTCGAATAATTAACGGTTGAAAGATAAAAATTCTGCTTTGGATTGAAGTTACAGCGTAGCAGTGTATTTAGTCTGGTACCGTAATCGGTGAAGTTCATAAAAACAACGTGCGGAGTCAGGGGAAAATCACATTGATTACTCGATTTGGGATTATGGGATTAATCATATCTAGCTGGAGTTACCCAGCCCTAAATTTTATCATTGGGTTGTCATTTAGGGCTGGAGATAACTTTTCACGTAACCCAGCAGCGTAGGCAGGTCCCAAAAAAAATTGCGAAAATGTTCAATTTTGTCCCCGTTACACACTAATTCATTGCAGCTGCAACTCACCCAAAACTTGCCCGGAATAACCATTACACAGGTCCTTGAAGTAAAAAACGATCCACGATGAAGATTCAGCCTACAATTGCAGTGAAAAAAGGAGGAATAACCGTTAACCTGACAACCTTGCAGGCATGGCCAGGACTGCAATTGGTTTGTGCACAAAAAAAAATTGTGTACAATGAATGGCAGTCGATTACCATGCACAGCGCGCTGATACTAGCCGTTTTTGCCGGCTGCGCGCGCTGGCTGTTGGCGCATGACGTCACGCGGAAGCGTAACACCCGATGACTGTTTCATGCACTATCGGTTGCCGTTCCAGTACCGCAGCTGTGATGCGAGTGGTAAACCTCATATTAGTGCATGAAACAGTCATCGGGTGTTACGCTTCCGCGTGACGTCATGCGCCAACAGCCAGTGCAGCCGGCAAAAACAACTAGTACCAGCGCGCTGTGCATGGTAATCGACCGCCATTCATTGTACACAATTTTTTTGTGTGCACAAACCAATTGCAGTCCTGGCCATGCCTGCAAGGTTGTCAGGTTAGCGGTTATTCCTCCTTTTTTCACTGCAATTGTAGGCTGAATCTTCATCGTGGATCGTTTTTTTTACTTCAAGGACCTGTGTAATGGTTATTCCAGGCAAGTTTGGGGTGAATTGCAGCTGCAATTAGTGTGCAAATTTTTCGCAATTTTTTTCTCCAGCCCTAAATGACAACCCAATGATAAAATTTAGGGCTGGGTAACTCCAGCTAAATCATATCCATATAGCCAGGGCAGCCAAGGGAAAAAGGCTTTTTATAGTTATAATAAATTGTAGTTAATGCTGCAGTAATGAAAACGGAAAGAATGTTGCAACCTGACGCTATTGACAACATTGTCTATGGAGAGTCAAGAAAAGTTTCTAGTAAGTATTTCCTAACAAAATTGGAAATGTTTCTCAGTCCAAGATTCATGTCTTATCATCATTTTTGCAACGAATTCATGACCTTTATTGAGATAATATATAAAGAGAAAAGCAGCGTCAGGTTGCAACATTCTTTCCATAAAAACATTTTTAAAGAGGCAGTGCATATTTTGCCGGCACAGTGTTTCGTAAACATTATTGGAATGGCACTGGTCGACCATGCTGACCATCCATGCTGATGTGCTATCCTTTAGCAGGAAATTTGGGCGTAAAATGACGATGACAGTGCAGCGACAACATGCAACCCGAAAATAAAGATGGTGATCACTGCCCGATGTTTGAGCACGCACGGCGTGCTGAATTGCAAGGCACAAACAGCGCAGGAAAATCATGATTTCTACCCCCAAAAACTGTTCAAAATTACAAACGGGTTTCCTTAGAATTGAGAAAAGTCTGCTTTTGATTGTTTTTTTTACTCTAATTTGACCAAAACAAAACAGGGGCACTACACTACATGATCGCCCATAAATGTGGCCAATTTACTGGACTACCATTTACGGAGGTAGTCCAGTAAATTGGCATCGTGTATGGGGCTAGTCGGGGACCAGCGCTAAATCAAGCGACGTCGCTAGACAGCCACTTGATCAAGCGATGATGATGTCATTCTATTCGCGCGATTACTACGTTTTATAGCGGGTTCAGCTGCCTAAAAAAACGATTGCCGCAAAAATAAAGTATTGCTGCAACTTACGGTAATGTTGATGTTCCATGCCTTCATCGATCTCGTGGATTAGATTGTATGATTCGTGTCTCGATTTTCAAGAAATAGCCGCCCGAATCTTTTGACTTCACATGTGTGTGGCCGATGTCGCGATGATTCCTCATGCATGCAACTCCCACGGTCGCATTAACCTCGACTCCATAGACTGTGCACGCATTCCTTCACTATGGCACTTCGCAGGAATAAAGTTACTCATGAGATAGACGTGCTCTACTCGGCCACAGGTGCTGTACAAACGATGGTGGTAATTAAACCCTAATTATTACTTTTTATAATGTAGGCCTACTCGTATTGGGGTCCGCTCATAAGTCCGACGCCTCATAGGTCCGACGCCTCATAAGTCCGACGCCTCATAAGTCCAACAAAATCACATCCCCTAACCAAATAAAGGCCCATAAGTCCGACACCTCATAAGTCAACGCCTCATAGCTCCGACGCCTCATAAGTCCGACAAATTAAACGCCTCGTTTTTCCGTTGTCGGACTTATGAGGCGTCGAACCTACATGTATGAGGCGTCGGACCTATGAGGCGTCGGACTTATGATACGGCCCCCTCGTATTAACAGTCAGTCACTGCTCAGATTCCATTTTTAAAACTTTCCAGCATGAGGCAGAGTACCGGTCAATCCTGAGTGCGGTCACGGCCGGGACGAACGAGAAGAAACTAGCTGCGCAGTTCATCCCTCGGTTCTTCAGATTCTTCTCTGGACTCGCGGAGACAGCCATCAATGCGCAGCTGGATTTATGCGAGGATGATGATTGTATGGTATGTATCACTCTCAGAAAGACAAGTTTCAAATGACACATGACAACTGACAGAAATGTTAATGAAGTTTGAGTGCAAATTTGAGTGCAAAGGTGAAAGAATGCATCATGTGCAGTGGTATATCCATGGGCGTGGCCAGGATTTTTGTAGAAGGGAGGCAAAGCACTCGGCAAAAGCGAAGGGAGAGACCACCGGCCGTGGAAAATCAAGATGGGGTGCCAAACATCACTCGACCCTTTGTTAAAAACCGCCCATGCCTCTATCTTTGGTAGATGCAGCTTTCTTGGTAGTCTATGGAATATCCCCTTGCAGTGCACAGCAAGAGTCTATGATATGCAAGCAGATTTAATTATGCAAAACAAGACTGCGTCTTGACCTCAAGATTCTGACCACTCAGCGGGCGCTTGTATTACAAAAACATGTCAGTTAAATTGACCAATCAACAACTTAGTCCAGATCCATATTTCTGATTGAAATGCCGTCACAATTTCTAAAGTCAACTCCGATTGGCTGGCATGCGGGGTCGCAATTAAATTTGTATTGCTCACATATATCAGACGTTGGCCATGGAGATGGCTCCGTCAGACAACGGTTGAGACTACATTCTTTGATGTTTCCGAGAAATAAAGTGTCTTGGGAGACAAGGAGCATGAATTATGCGTAGCCTAGTACCACTTTTTGTGTTAGTCAACGTTGAACTTTAAATTTATCCAGTTGGAAACAGCCTAACAGGGCCAGTTGCATCACTGGTTACAAAAACTGTTGCACCTTAATTCACGGCAGGGAGACAGGTTTCTTGTTTATGTTTGAACTATTGTTTGATCAGAGAAGTTTGTACCTTGCAATCAGGTTCTGGACTGAACTTCCTTGGTATTAAAACTAAAGAGTTTTTGTAATTCTATCATTTGTTGGGGTTCAGATTCGTAGATCCGCTATCAAGGAGCTGCCCAACCTGTGCAAGGAGAGCACCGATCACCTCCTACGCATCGCTGACGTCCTGGCCCAGTTGCTTCAGTCCGATGACCCCCACGAGGTCTCCATTGTAAACAGCGCCCTCATGTCACTCTACAAGATTGACATGAAAGGTAAGGCTGTGTCCGAACTGGGCGGCTTTTGGCTTTGGCTAAGGCTTTTGCCATTGGCCTGCTAAATTGAGTAGCCATAGTCATCGATTAACACTCCAGATAAGCCTTGACCATGCCCCTGTGTGACCATGCCCACCATTGACCACACCCACTTTTGACCACACCCACTTTTGACCACACCCACTTTTGACCACACCCACTGTTGACCACACCCACTTTTGACCACACTCACTTTTGACCACACTCACCTTTGACAACACACACTGTTGACCACACCCAATTTTGACCACACTTTTTTTTTTTAACACCCACTTTGACCACACCAACTTTTTAACCACACCCACTTTGGCCACACCCACAGGTACCCTGGGAGGGTTGTTCAGTCAGATCCTGTCCGGCGATGACCTAGTCAGGGAGAGAGCCATCAAATTCCTCAATACGCGCCTCAGACTGGGTGGGGCCGATAACCTACCGAAGGAGGTGGAAGACTTTGCTATAGAAAAGACGAAGGAGGTGAGTTGGCCCCCGGGAGGGGGGGGGGTGGAAATTGGCATAGACTTGCATAATTAAAGCTATAGTCCATCATTTGTAATTTGTGCATTTTGTTCGTTTGTAGCAACAAAAGAGTTCAAAATCTAATGAAGGATACTGAGCAACTAACCTGATGAAGTTTCAGCTAAGCTTCAGCTGTATATTCCGAGAAAAACAGCATTCTAAGATCTCAATTTCAAATCAAAAGTTACTGAATCATGTTTTGAATTGTTTTGAATTGCAGCTATACGCGACGTAGCGCACTGATCCGACGAATTATAACAACCGCGTGTGCGTCGTTCCAAACCTTGTGCGCGCTGCGCTGAATAACAAAACGAACTACTAATTTAAATTTTTCTACGGTGCTTCTTAAGAATCACCGTTGGAAATGCCTTCTTTTGTTGATTACTTCAAAATGACAGCTTCCCAGAAAGAATAATTTCACAGGGAGTTTAGTTCCCTTACTATCTTTCAACCAAGTTTGTTTTTCAACAATAATTACACCAGTTACTTTTCGGATGGCTGCAAATGATGGACCATAGCTTTAAGCAACACTCTCGCATCTTGTGGGATTGCATTGGTTGTTATACGCCGTGTTTGATGTTCCAGAGCCGGATAACTGTTTGTTATTTGAACCTTCTTTTTTATTTCGACAGGTGTTGGCGGATGTGACAGGTGAAGAGTTTGTGACCTTCATGCAGCTGCTCTCCAAAATGCCAGCAATGCAGACGCTGACTGGAAGACAACAAATGGTGGATCTAGTGGTGGAGCAAGCTGATCTGGAGTCACCATTTCAGGTTTGTGTTTGGGGATTTTTTTGCTTTTTTCGGTTTGAATTTGAAATGTTAGTTGGTTGTTAACTGACTTGTGAAGTTTGTAGTAATTTATGGGGTTCCGGCTGGGTTATGAAATCAAGACTATTGGTGGAAACTTAGCTTGATGTGTATATTCTTTATACTATATAAAGCCCGGTTCATACTCGGCGCGAAAGCGAACTCGAATTGGTGACGTCATGGCAAGTATTCGTGCTGCGAATTTGTAATAGTTGAACATATTTTAACTTGGGCGAATATCGCAGCGAATGTTTCATGACGTCAAATTCACTTCGCATTCGTGAGAAATATAAACCGGGCTTTAGATGTTCTGGCAAAGTGAGACAGAACTTGTCGGATGAATACAAGCGCTTTTAAGGAAACACAATTTGCATCTTTCATCTTCACGATTTCAAACTCATAAAATTAAAGGCCTTTTTCTCAGTGCAAACTGAGATAAACTTGCGAACTTGCCATAACTTGTCAGCAGAATGTTCGATTGAGGTGCAATAAACAGTATTCTAAGTAGAACTTTAATCTCTTTCCCAAGACATGCAAACCCTCATTTCAAACCTCGGCCTATTTCTGTCTCATTTTTCCAGAACGCCTCACATATATGTATAGTTTTAGCTTTTATAAAAAAAATTAGGGAAAGCGTGGGTGACTTGTCTCGTAACTTTTCTTGATTTTTATTTTTTGTAGCCGCAAGATGCAGACATTGTGGATAGATTGGTGCAGTGCGTCCGTGAAGCTCTGCAGTTTTTCTCTGTGAGTTAAAGGCATATATTATCATTTGGATTTATCCCGAAAGTAACCTTCCGAATTATTATCAAAAAGCTTACTTGGATTATAAAGATCGTACTGGCAATAAACACCCCATGAAATTATTCCGTCTGGCTTGCTGTCATTTAGAAGAAATAAATAAATAAAAATGTAGTGATTTCCAGCAACAATCAGTCAACTGACTGAGTAATGAAAATATAGAGTGCAGTGGGCACCATCTGTTTCGTGATAAAAAGGTTGCGTATGGTTTTCAAAAATTGTAAAATCCACTGAGCTAAAACGTTTTGAACAATCTTCTTTGGGTTTTGAGTAGTGCTATTATTGGAAATGCATGAAAAGCACATTGTATGTGCCTTTCAATAAAGACATTTTCCCTCTGAAATTTCTCAGAAAAACGTCCAGTCCACCAAGTTTGTGGTGTACATGTGCGACAATGTCCTCCCAGTCCTGAACGATGTTGTCCCACCAGGCAGTGGCGAGACAAAGACAGAAGGAACCGAGGACAAAACGCCGTCTGACAAAACCCCATCAGACAAAACACCATCAGACAAAACGCCATCGGACAAAACGCCATCGGATAAAACGCCATCGGATAAAACGCCATCTGACTACGACATCAAGCTGGAGTTACTACGACAACTAGCAGAGATGTCCACGTTTGCGTTGGACATCGGCGGAGACGAGACGTTAGGGAGAGTGTTCGATAAACTTGTGGTAAGTTGAATTCTGACCAATTTTGAAGCCATTGTTGGACTTAACAAAGAAAGAAAATGGAGAGGGCTTTCACACAGCGTCCTCCAGAATGATATGTAACGTTTAGAAAATCATACAAACACATTGATACTTTTGTGGACTGGTACTTGTGCTCCGTGCACAATTACCCCCTCAACGGTAAGAACAAGAGAGTTGGGAGAGACCGCTGGGAGAGACATTCGAACGCTTCGTCGATGACGCCTGGCGCTCACGCAAAGACGCTATGGCATGTTGTTTAATATAGTTGTGCAAACTTCGCACTACATGGCACAAACCAGTGTGCGCACATGGTGTGTCAGGACCACTGGGCTCTCGAAAGTCGTAAAAAGCGCCCTCTGTTGTTCACGCTCGAAGTGCAAAAGTTATTAGTACAAATCCTGTTCCAGTTGAATTATTTGTTCAACCGAACATTGTTTGAAAGTAAAACTAGTAGGTTTCCCTTCGTGCTTTATTGGATTATTAGTTTTGGAACGAACCGTTCCTCAACTATATCGGAGGCACGGAAACCTCAGTAAATTTTACTTGTTTTCTGCCGTTTCATCCACAGGAGTACATGCCCTTACCCCCTGCGGAACCAGAGGGGGAAAACGTGGAGAATGGAAAAGCCACGGACGAACCCAAGCTGCAGTTCTCTTATGTTGAGTGCCTCATGTATACATTTTACCAGCTGGGGAGAAAACGGCCGGAATTCCTGGCAGCCGAAGAAAACTCGGAGAGACTCAAAGACTTCAGAATCAGGTATTTGCAACAGTCCTTCAAACTTTATTAAGAAGAAAATAGCTCCTGGTTTGCCCTTGTAACTGAACTATGTTTGCATTCCCATTCTTTGTAATTTGAAAAGAAAGAACATGAAATAGTAGTACACAGGACTTAACTGTTGACACATGTAACTATTTCATGGGGGATTTAATCTCCCTGTTTACTTTCTGATTGATTTTGATTAGAATAATTTGATTAGGGCTGGGCACACAGCTGCACATGAAACAGTTGTAGACTATGGAAACACCACTTTACTTTTGTGACTGTTTCATGGTGATTTTTCTGGTTGACTCCACAGATTACAGTATTTTGCCCGAGGCACGCAGCTGTACATGAAACAGTTAAGACTAGCTTTGCAGGGTAAAGTTGGCGAGGAAATGAAGAAAGAAGAGAACAGATTGAAGGTTGTTGCCCTGCGAGTCACCACAAACATCAACACATTAATTAAGGTTGGTTCTATTGTTGATGTTGCTACTGTTGCTACTGATGTTGTTATTGTTGTGGTTGCTATTGTTACTGTTGTTGCTTTTGTTGTTGCTGCTGTTGCCATTGTTTCTGGTGCTGCTGTTGCTGCTGTTGCATCTACTGTTGCTGCTACTGTTGCTGCTGTTATTGCTGTTGCTGCGTCTGTTGCAGTTGTTGCTGGTGCTGCTGTTGCTGCTGTTGCGGCTGTTGCATCTACTGTTGCTGCGTCTGTTGTTGCTGCTGTTGCTGCTGTTATTGCTATTGCTGCGTCTGTTGCAGTTGTTGCTGGTGCTGCTGTTATTGCTGTGACAGTTGTTGCTGGCATTGGTGGTGTTGCTGTTGCTGCTGCTGTTGCTATTTTTGCTGTTGCTGCTGTTATTGCTGCTCTTGTTGTTGCTGTTGTTGTTTCTCCTGTTCTTGTTGCTGCTGTTGCTGCTTTTGTTGTTGTTGGTGCTGCTATTGCTGCTGTTGCTGCTGCTGCTGCTTCTGTTGCCGTTGTTGCTGGTGCTGCTGTTGCTGCTGCTGTTACTGCTATTGCTGCTGTTGCTCTTGATGTTGCTGCTGTTGTTGCTGCTGGTGTTGCTGCTGGTGTTGATGTTGCTGTTAGTTGTTGTTGCTGTTAGTTGTTGTTCTTCATGTTGTTGTTGTTATTGTTTGTGTTGTTGCTACTTTGCGTATGATCTTAGATGTAGAACCGAACAATTGCAATCATTTCTCCACCTGTTTGTCTTACAGGATTTATTCCGTAATCCCCCATCCTACAAGAGCACAGTGGTTCTGTCCTGGCGTCCGGTTCAGAAGCATGCAACAAGTCCCGAGCCTGCTGCGCTAGGGTGAGTGACAATTCTCGTTACAGAGATGATTTAGAGAGAATCAAGTAAAATAACTTTAAAATTCTTCCAATAACAAAAACATTCAAACATTGAAAGCTGTGTAATTGTCAAAATTAGAAAATTGATTTGGTATGAATGCTGTAAAATTTGGTAAAGCATTCTGTTTCAATAGGGCAATTCCAACAATTTGGTAGAAAAATCGTTCTTTGTTGAAACCATTTTGTCATTTTTTTGCAGACAGAAGCGGAGCAACATCACCCCCATTACTTTTCCCAGCGACCCCTCCCCCCCTAAGAAGGTCTCGTCAGGAGGGCAACGTAAACCCCACGTGGCGCGGGTCATGTACCAACCACCCTCCGGCAAATACAGCAGTAAGGCAGGAACCGCGCCAAGTGACCCAGAGTTTGGTGTGGGATACATGTATGGTGGTGAGTGAATTCTCTGGTGACTAGGTCAAGTCTATTATATGATACATTAATCAACAAAGGACTAGGTAATCTCTAACGGAATTGAAAATGGTACATGGAATCACTGGGGTCCGGGTCAAATCTATCGAGGTTTGATATGATACGTGAATGCACCAAGGAACTGGTTTACTATAACAAAATTGAATGCATGAAGGACTGGGTTCACTCTAGTAAAGTTGAATACATGTATGTACGCTAAACCAATTAACCATAAGTCTCTTCTGTGTTATTGTTGGATATGGAAAGTGAACACATAGAGGACTAGGTCCACTCTAGTAAAAGTTGAATAATGGTCAGAGAATGTACAAGGGACTAGGTCTTCTCTAGTGGAACATTTGATCTATGTACATGTAGGTGCATGGGACAATGCATTTTTGGCCATAGCAAAATTAGCATAAGAATACGTGCCACAATGATACACCAAACTGCGGTGTGTTATGATACCTGTGTAACCGGGGAGAGTGGAATTTAGTTTGTTAAAATGGGGCACTCTCCTTATGTCCGAGTGGTTCCACTAAAAAATGATTTGGGAAGAGCGAACTTTCTGTAGTCTCACAAATATGAAATGGTTTTATTTATAATACAAATAGAGACAATATATACAAATTATTAGATATTTACACAAGAATTATATTAGAAACTTGGTTGGGTATATAAAAACAAAACTTGGTTGGGTGTATAAAAACGACAGTCAAAAGGGAAATGGGCTAATGAAGTAGCTCCAAGGATGGTATCTGAAATGCATACAAACAATAAATGACTAATGAATTATGGGAATAACTTCCAGATCCAACTACAGTATTAACGATATTTAATTCAAAGAAATTTTGGAAAAACAGGTTTCCTTATTTGTAAATCAAAGAAAACTTTTTTATAAGTACATCAGTCAGTGAACAGAATGTTGCATAAAAAAAATGACTAATGCACAAAAAGATTCAGGCATAAACAGCTTCAGTCATAAAAGAGTTAAATATCAGACAAGGGATTTACTCACCACTTGGGATGGTCTACGCTCATGCCTACTCCGTGTCCGATGTTAAAATCGATGTAGTAGCAGCAAAAATATTGTAAAATGCAATGCCGGCAATGCCGGATATAAAATTAAATTGCTGCTATCGGGGAGCCGCACCCAAAACTTGCAGAAAAAGTGGAGTGTGCAATGCTCGCTGTAAATGCTGGTCGCAAAGCAGGAGCAGAACCAGGCAGATAGATGTCAACCCAAAGCAGAGTTGGAACGGAATCAACAATATTTTGGACCTAGCCCTACAAGAAAAATATACCGAAACGCCCGGAATGTCAACTATTCCTCTTAAACAAAGCGCGGTGGAATGCAAAACTTGCACGCTCGCTACGCCCATCGCATAGTTGAGCAAAATTCTAGGCGGCGCGCGCTGTAAAAAAAAGTTTAGTTGGCCGCGAGAGGGCCCTAGGCAAAAAGCATGATTGCAATGGCTGCTCACATGTAAAATGACATAAACACGAAGTTACAAAAGTTATGAAATGAATACTGGAGTAAGGAACCAGTCGGGGAAAAGTAAGTACTGCAACCCGACCTGGTTACACCTGTATGGGCACAAGTACGCCCTCAGTGGTAAGAAAGGGAGAGTTGGGCAGACCACTGGGAGAGACATTCCAACGCATTGCCAATGATGCCTGATGCTTGCACAAAGATGCTATGGCTATGTAGCATCAAAGCACTATGGCTTTGATGGCAAGGGTGGCTTGTGCGTAAAGCGCTCGCCTCTCACCAAGGTGACCACGGTTCAAATCCTGGCCGCGGATCGCATGCGAGTAGAGTTGTGCGTTGGTTCTCTCCTGTGCCACGAGGGTTTTTCTCCGGGCCCTCCGGTTTTCCTCCCTCCGGAAAAAACAAATACTTTCGATCTCAGGCTGTGCTCCGCGGTCTTATATGGGTCGATGTGGCCGGCAGCCAGAGGCGCCTTTACGTGCCAGAGGCCCGACCACGTTGTAGCCGCGTCCTTCGCAATTCAGCATCCCAGCTGCGAGTAAGGATGATTAGCCTCCCAAATTATTATTATTATTATTATTATGTGCATGATCAGAATAAACTTTATTGTGCATACTTTACGTTGTAGCACGCACTTTGTGCTATATGCGTGCAAACCAACATGCGCATGCAGTAGGTTCAGGTCAGGCATAGGACACTGCAGTTTTGGCCAATGGTATTGTGGCAGCTTGTGTTCCGAATATCAGGCACATCTGTAAATGACTTCCAAGCACGTGATCACTGTACAAACACGAGCCCCCCTTCAATGGAGAAACCATTGAGCATGCTATTGTACCAAGCAATGCCCCATGATGAATTATCTGAGTACTTGACTCGCCATTGAAGGGGGCTTTCATGAAAGAATTCATACTGTGCCCGATTGGTGAATACAGTACATGAAAAAGCTGCAGTGCTTGTAATGTGCTAATATTATAGATACGTTTTCCACACGTAAAAGTTTTATTCTTCTTGTCTTCGGCAGGTGCTGGAGGGCAGCGACAGACTCAATGGAGAGGTGGGAGGGGCCAGGGGCGGGGCCAAGGGCGGGGTCAGGGGCGGGGCCGAAGCAGGGGCGGCAAATGGCGGTACTGATGACAGCATTGCGTGTACATGTACATTGTATACATACAAACGAGTGCTAAGAGTCGAAAATGGGTTGTCACCACCACAAAAAAAAAGGATTTTGTCCACGTTAAAATGGTGGAAGATGGCAGTTTTTAAGAATGTGTTTAAGCATGTGTATATTCATAGAGAAGTGAATTGAAATGTGTCAGGTGTGGTCAACTGTATGCACTCAGCCCTAACTTTACTTAATAATAAAACTTAAAAGCAAGGGACTTTTCTAAATCCCCCAAAATCCATCATTTTCAAGTAACTTTGCAGCTCAGTTTTTGCTTTTCCAACAAAATTTGGACAGCAAGTCTGCATGCATAATATTGAATAGTGTCATCGCTGTATACTTCTGCTTCCTAATTATCGTTTAAACTCAAATAAACAAGATATTTTTTTGGTGGATTTTGTAGGATTTGAGTGAGGATTTGGATAAGTGTTAACTCCGAGTTTGTTTTAATTTTTTCATTGTTTTGTCATAATTTCAGTAGGTTTTTAAAATAGTGTGTCAACTGAAAGATACTTTGATTTTTTTTCTACAACTTTTTCACTTTACATTGTGGCATTAATGTCTTAAACCGAGGTAATGCATACCAACAAGAAATCCTATACATGTACATGTTTGAAGATTTCTGCATTGTGGTTATGAGACTTTGACCTTTGTAACTTTATAACAGAACAGGTGACATTTAGCATCAACACTTCTTCTGTGGATGTAAACTTCAAAGGCACTAAATTCCTGGATCCGCCTAGCGGAAATGATTGCTTACCAAGTTTTTGTGCTAAGCGGAATTTAGCCGAGAACCGGTCACAGGCAACGCACACTGCATGGCAGTTAAGCTGGTAACCTGTTTTTGTGAATTCTGTGCTTAGCTGCTCATGAAATGGCCCCTACAGTTTTGACCGAACACAAGTATGGTGACCTATGTACATGTAATTGTAATTCATTCGTTTTTCAATATTGCTGCACGGAAAGCTTTGGTAATTTCCCTTGTGATGATAGCCAAGCGTTTTCCAAGGACCCAACCCTTAAAGTTGCATTTCCCGTGATCTTAAACAATTTGTGTTTGTTCTATTCCAACAAACAAATCACCTTTTTTTTCCAAACCTCTGGAGAAAAAAAAATTGTTTTTGGCACAAACAGATCCACTTTGCTTTGTATTGATAGAAAAACGAGCATTTTAGAAAAGGAATGCATTTTTCAAGACGAAACTCTAAAAATGGCACGGGGAATGCATTTTTTTATTATGTTACTGCAATTCAAAACTGTAGAATTTTTTGCATCGGTTAATGCAAATTATTAATTCAAGACCTATGTAAACCATTTGAAATCTAAGTCTGAAACTAAAAAGAATTTAAAGAAAAAACGTGTAATGGTAGATATGCAATCAACCAAATGCAGCCCTTTGACTTTTTGCATTTCATAGTGATTCATAATTTTGTACAAAATTTGAGGAATATGTATAGGCTTTGATGTAGACAAAATAGCAAATCTAAAAAATTTTAATCTGATGAAACCTGCTGCTTAACCAGTTCTCGCAGGGATTATTTTGACAAAAACGGAACTAGGCGCGGAATTAATTTTCACTCCACCTCAAGCCAGGTGGGTTGAAGCCATCACTCTTGGGCAGCACACTCATATTTCCCGCCTCGCTACATGTAGCTGCGAGCGGGTCGCTGACAGATATTTCTCGCTCCCTGCGTGTTTATTCGTCATCCGTTCCGAATACCGCAAAACCTTTGCGTGTATACACCTCATCCGGCGCGAAGTGGTTAAATAAGAGTACCAAGTTTAATTACAGTTGACTCTTGTTAGAACAAACTGTTAATACAAATTCTGGTTATAACAAACATAAAGCCTTGGTCCCGACTGTGCATTTCTGTGCACAATGAATGGGACTGATGTTCCTCTTAATACAAAATTCTGATATAACAAACAATTTGGCTAGGTCTGAACGAGTTTGTATTAACGAGACTCGAGTGTACTTCAGCTTGTCAATTTCAAGATTTTTTTTTTTCCAAAACGCGATAAACGTAATTTTGTTGCCTTTTAGAATCCCACCCTCCCCTGGCTGTCCAAAATCAGTTTTGATGGGTTTAATGTAGTTAAATACAACTTGATATTAAATGAATAAAGTAAAAGTGAAGTTTAGAAACAGTTGCCATACTGGTTTTATTTTTAAGTTTTATAATTGCAGAAGGTTTTCATATTTTTCAAATGGATATTTATCGCATTTGGGAAACAAACTGTTCATTTCAGGTGTCATCTTTATGTTCAGTGTTTAGTTTTGCAACATTTTTATCTCGGTATGAAATTACATGTAGTGTGTGTGAGTAAACATTAAGGGATCGTCTCAGAAATGCTTTGAATGTGTTACTGGAATAATTTGGGAAAGAGCATTTTTGCTCGGAGCGGAACTGCGCTTGTTCTAATTTTTAATTTTTTTTTAGAGGTCCCTTTAACGCTATTTCTGATAGAAATTCTCTTAATTTTGTCTTGTTTGGAATTTCAGCAAACTGTATAAATGTATTGTCTCTTGCAGTATCCAAAGTAAAATTTCTTACATAATAAAAATTTGTCTTTTTTTTAAAGCTAATACATGTAAATTGTGTCGTGTTTTGAGTTTTATTACCTTTTCAGTCCCCACTTTTTATTGTTTCACCAAAATAATAAATTTCGAGGCGTTTGCTTTCTTTAAATGACATCTAATCGCATTTTATTTGAGTACCTCCTGATATGATATCAAGGTACTTTCACAAGCTACCAAGTTAAATTTTGTACAAGCATCTTTTTAGTTTCGCATAATTATTTGAAAAAAGAACCTTAGGCCAAAAAAAAAAGTCTCCGGTTTCTGGTATGGAGCTTGCCCAAAAAGTGGTGCGGCGACGCAGCTTTTTTTTTTTTTACCTGATTTTTTTGCTTCAAATGTCGGCTGATGACTGCAAATGGTGCCCGACTAAACTTAGTGCAAATGTATGGGAGTCCAGAGAGGCAACATAAAGCTTATTCTCGACCATAACCCAATCTAAAAACACGTTAAAATTGTGCAGCAGCAGGATTCCGGTCAAACCAGTGAGTTTGGTGGTTTTGAGACATCATCTTTCATTGAAAAAAAAAAAAATTCATTTTGCCGACGCGCATGGCGACGCGCGCGCATACCAGAAACTGGAGACTTTTTTTTTTTTTGGCCTAACTCAGCAGCTCAGAAATTCATAACGCAGACTAATTAAAAAGGCGATGTATATAAAGTAATGAATATTCAATATATGGCTATGAATATGTAATACGTAATATTCATCAAATGGTAATGAACATTTAATCAATGTATTATTCGGCAGTCATTCATTCTTACATACATGAAGTACAAAAGGCCATTCAAATATTTAAATTTATTTGAAGTGATCTTTCCTAAAGCTTGCCACAAATTAACAAATTCAAATAATGGAAAACAATGATTGACAAACTTCTAAGTCAAAGAAATAAGTATGAATTGGAGAGAAAAAAGGAGTTTTGAAAATAACCTTTCTCATGCTCCGTTCCCATCAGCATTTTCTGATTGGACTTTTTTCTTGTGTTTCTTGACTTTCTTGACCGTTTGTACAGTCGAGGATGAATCTGGTGAAAGCGGCTTGAGAGAGGAGTCTACAGCTGTGTGAATTTCCCTATCTTTGTGTTTCTTTAACTTTGTGAACTGCTCATTAAAAAGCGGCAGGAGGTTGGAGACTACATCTTCATCATGTGACTCTTGTAACTTCATTTCCACTTCCTTTTCTGACACGATTGCGGTTGGACCATTAGGAATAAATGACGGCTGGTAACAGTCTACACCTGTCCTGGTTTCACTGTTTTTCTTTTTGTTTTTCTTTGTTGAGCTAGTCTCCTCACCAGTCGTTATTTGTGTGATTTGATGACCAGAGTGATTTGTGAGTGATTTTGGGCCGGGTTCTGCTGCTTCATTTTTTGAGTGCTTCTTTTTCTTCTTTTTCTTAGGACTGGTCTGTTCTCCAGTCGTTAGTTCGGCTGCGTTGTTTTGAGTTCTTATGCCACTAGTTTCATCAGTGGTTTCCAACTGCTTGCGTTTCTTAGACTTCTTATGTTTGGATGTCTCCACTCCAGTCTGTGTTTCACCAGTTGAGGATTTCAAACACAATGACGGCTGCAGGGAGTCTACATCCCATTCCTGTTTCACTTCACTGTGTTTCTTTTTCTTCTTCCCGCCCCTAGCCTCTTCTCCAGCAGTCCTTGATGAACCTGACCCATCTTGCAAGTCTGACAGTGACGGCTGCAGGGAGTCTACATCCAACTCCTGTTTGACATTTTCATGCTTCCTTTTCTTTTTCTTTTCACTTTTAGCCTCCCCTCCAAAAGGTATTGTTAAAACACCAGAGCCATCTACAGAGTCTGATACTGACGGCTGCAAAGAGTCTACCTCTGGCAGTTCCACCTTTGCATGTTTCTTCTTTTTCTTTTTCCCACTAGCCTCTGTTCCAGCAGTCACTGTTGACATTGGAGTAACATCGGTAGTATCTGATACAGATGACTGCAAGGAGTCTGCCTGCTCCAGTTTCACCTTTACACGTTTCTTCTTCTTCTTTTCACCACTAGCCTCATTTCCAGTAGTCCCTGAAGACTTTCCAGCAACATCAGGAGTGTCTGAAAGTGACGACTGCAGCACGGAGTCTACATTGGACTCACTGTCTGTGTCTTTACTTTGAAGACTCATAGCTTCAAGGATCAAATCAGACCTGAGAAAAATGAAGACATTTTTTTATCAATAAAATAAATCAAGCATTCATGGGCTACGTGAAAGATTAACTCAATTAGGCCAGAAATAGAGCGCCATAGCGTTCAAGAACAACTAATCTCTGGCTTGGAGTAAGCACTGGTAAGATAAAATGTCTGCCAACAATGTTTAAATGAAAAAAAGGTGTTCTCTTTAAAAAAAAAAAGCTTTTGATAAAATGTCTCAAACTGAATGAAAAGAATGGAACGTTGGACTGATGTTAGTGGAGTTTGTGGTGGTGTAGCAAACAATGGAGCTTTTTTTGCTGGAGTTTACAAAGCCAGGGTCCTGGAAATCGTAAAGTTTGAGCCAGAGCTGGAGTCCAAGGCAAGGTTTCAGAAATGGCCCTAGGGCAACAATTCAGGGGTTCACCAAACCTCTGCTTAGACTCTATCTCCAGTCTCAGCATTATTTTTGGTTCCAGAATCATTTAAAAGCCTTTCATGTCCAAACCAAAACAAACAAAACTCTGAAATTTGGTCTAAATATATGATAGTATTTGTAGTTCCTGAAGACTTGGTCCAAGACTGGATGTGACTTAAAGCTATAGTCCATCATTTGCAGCCATCCGAAAAAGTAACAGGCGTATTATTGTTGAAAAACATACTTGGTTGGAAGATAGTAAGTGGACTAAACTCCCTGTGAAATTATTCTTTCTGACAAGCTGTCATTTTGAAGAAACGCACCGTAGGAAAATTTAAATTAGTAGTTCGTTTTGTTATTCGGCGCAGCGTACGCAAGCATTGGAACGACGCACACGTGCGCGTCGTTGCTATAATTCGTCTGATCAGTGCGCGACATCGCGTATAGCTGCAATTTAAAACAATTCAAAACATGATTCAGCAACTTTTGATTTGAAATTGAGATCCTAGAATGCTGTTTTTCTCGGAATATACAGCTGAAGCTGAACTGAAACTTCATGAGGTTAGTTGTTCAGTATCCTTCATTAGATTTTGAACACTTTTGTTGCTTCAAACGAACAAAATGCACAAATTACAAATGATGGACTATATCTTTAATATCTTCCCTCATTTTGCAGCCAGTCCCGTGACAAATGCGGTTCAGTTGTCACGGCAGTAGAGGTCTCAATCAACAAGATGAGTCAAATCCAGTCTTGGCAATATTGGCAGCGCTACCCAGGAAATTCAGAGCATACCTCATGTGCATGCATCAGTTGAGTACAGTGTGCGTGAGGTATGCTTGTAATTTCCTGGGTAGCGCTGCCAATATTGCAGAGACTGGACTGGATTCATTGAATTCATTTGATAGCTACCTCACTTGTCACGAACCAGCTGTATATATATGAGGGGAATTAAATCCAAATCCAATCTTGCATTAAGACTACAGTTCCTGCAGCAGAACATGGAGCTTTCTTGAGTTGAAGTCAAAATGAGTAACCAAGTCAGGGGTCTTCATAATCGCCTGAAGCCGATGCTAGAAATGAAGCAAAGGTTTTGAAAAACATCCCAAGGACTCACCCATCGTCTGGTGCCCTGGCTTCTATAGCCAGCATCCTATTCAGAGACCGCAGGCGCTCCACCTGGACCAGGACCACATAACCTGGTTCTAGCTTGGGCAGTTTCTGGCCGCTGAGCTCCTTCCTGCTGGCGAGTAGAGAGACGTTGAACCAGTCATGAACCAGGCAACCAACGTGGTCTGACGCTTGCTCAATCACAACACACTAGAGGAAAGCAAACAGGAAGACTTCAAATTCAGATATCAAGATCAACACCTATGTTTGTGGGTAAGCAGTGGCATAACCAGAGAGGTGCAGAGTGACAAATCGCAACGGGACAGAGAGTTTAAAAGCAAAATTGAAAGGCTAATAGAAGCAAATCGGGACGGTGAAAATTGGTTAACGAGACAAATATTTTATTTGGCAACAGGCAAACAAAACCCTGCCTACGAGATGGGGGTTACTGGTAATGCAGGGTTCAATTTGGAGAAGAGATTTAATATTGAATTTCAGATGTTTTCATTTAGCTTTTTGAATTAAAATAACAAAGCAAACTGCAATTTATCACAACAATTGTTTACTGCAAAATGGGTTAAAATCATTGTTGTACTTTGGTGCAATCCCCTGAGGGATTTAGGCATAGTAACTAAATCCCCTGGGTTTTCCTGATAGTCCCACTGAATATTCATTGTGAGCACTTTCCTAAATACTGATTCTTAGCTTGCTTAACCTAACTCCACAGATCCTTCAAAATCCATCAGAAGATTAGTTGGATTGTGCAGGATTTATTTTATTTTTTTATTTGCCAACATCCAATGGCACAAGCACCAGAACAGGATGGATAAGACTTGTTTCCAGTGGGGTCCCTTGGTAGAAGATGTGGAAGTAAATTACAGTTTCAGTGGTCGGAGGAAAACCCTAGAATGATATTCTAAGGGAAAAGTCGATCAGATAGGGACTGAAACCTCAATCCACATATTGGCCCAAGCGGGAGTTGAACCCGGCTTCACAGTGGTGGAAGGCGAGGAAAGTACCGCTATGCCAACCTAATCCCACTTACCAGCCAATGTAGGCACCCTGCCAAATGCAACAAAATGCAACGTGGCTAAAATAAGAACCCTACCTGTACCAAATGCAACAAATTGCAACAGTGGATTCTGTTGCATTGTGCAATGAACCAGTGCCTACCAGCCTTGGCACCAAGCAGTTACCCCGCTAAATGCAACCAAATGCAACAGTGGATTCTGTTGTATCGCCTTGGCACTATGAGCAGTTACCCTGCTAAATGCAACAAGATGCAACAAGCATGGGGACTTGAGTTGCTGCTAAATGCAACAGTATGCAACATCTCTTTACCTTTGTTGCTTTCTGTTGCATTTAGCAGGGTTAGGGTTGAATGGGAGTATTGCCCATTGGAAGTTAAGTACAAAAGAATGTGTCAAGATCCTTCACATTTTCAAGGATTCAAATCCATTGAGTATTTTTTGCTTTTGTTTATTTTTGCTTTGTTATGTGGGGAAGGGGTCTGGGAGAGTGCTTAAACCTACCTTGAGTAAACTTCCGATCTTTGGGTTGAACACTACAGCGTCAAACTTCACATCAAAGTGAATGAAGGGGCTGTCGTCAACTATGACCCCTGAAGACTGCAACAACTTGACGTTGCCGTAGGCTAGCAGCACTCCGCGCAAGCTGCATGATCAAATTGGAACAAAAATACGAATAATTCACATGATTAACATTAAATTCAAAAAGTGGTACAGTATTAGTGAACATCATTGAGAAATTCTCCCTCTCTTCTCGAAGTGTTATCATGTCAACAGAAAATGGCAATTGCTGCAAATAACAGTTTTATTTATGTCAGAACAAAATCCTTTTCAGAAAATATATTTGCCAATTTCATTATAATAAGAAAAAAATTAATAATACAAAGTGACTATCGTTACAGCAGCCGCAACGATTTTAAACTCCTAACAAGTCCTTTCATTTCAGCATTGCGAAAACACCATTGCGACTGAATCACATTTATAACTGCCCTTCCCACCACAGCGCTTTGGTAGCTCGATTGATAAAACATTTGACTACCATGCTGAAGGCCCTGGGACCGAATCTGTGCTGTGCAATTTATTGTGTGCGTGTCTTTTTTATTCTCTTAATAATTTTCTTTATTCTAACCCTAACTCCCTCTTTTTTTTACTAGGATGTAACCTCAATCCTGCGAAATCCTCCAACTGCCTCCATGTAAAATAACTAATTGGTGGCTTTGGCCAGTTGGGGGATTTTTTTTAAAGGGAAAATAAAGTCTGAGAACCATTCCGTTGATACTCTGGTTCCAAGAGCCCAAGGTAAAGATCCTGACGTTGAATGGGCACAATTGCACAATACTCCACTTCGGGGGAACCACTTTAGACTTGTACTTTTCTTCATCCTCTCCATCAATTTCTGCAGTACCAGCAAGTACTTTTTCATCCCCTTGGAGGATTTTTTAAAAGGGGAAACAGCGCCCTCTTCTGCCCCTTCTGAACTCATTCCCACTCCATCATTTCCATATCCATGCCACGCCTATATCCACATAGCCACTTCGAGGGAACTACTTTTGGCTTAGACTTTTTTCTAGCTCCTTCGACTGCATAGCCATTGAATTTTAGGGGGTTATCTTCAAGTGGCGGGGTATTCTGCAACATGCAATTGGGATACTTTGTTGAAAGTTGTCAGGTCAGGAAATATTGGACAGAATTTTGCATCCTGAACACTCTTTTTTCATCACATCTCAATGCAGGTCAGTCAATGCATGAACAGTGGCGTCGGGATACTACATTCTTTCCGAAATGTTTTCCAAATATTATTAATTTTTGGCAGTGGATATTTAGCCGGAGACGGCAAAGCATTAGTAAACGTTAGCTTGCCGGATATGTACTGAACATGCGCAGTTACTGGTTTTTTTACTTAAGATATTTTCCGGTGAAAATTTTAGTCTGGCTCCATGCAAACATTATCGTTGTAACTTTGTATTCACAAGATGGGAATCAGACCATTTTATAATTTCGGACTTTATTTCACTTTAAAAAAAATCCTCCAGAGCCACAAATCTGCAAAAAAATATAACACTCTGCAATAAAATGTTTGAGACATGTTAAAATAATAAAAGAAGAATATTCTTATTTTTGGGGGGATGGGGAAAAAAAACTTAAAAATTTCTGGCACAAATACTGCCTGGCTACTGAAAAAGAAGGAGAAACATACAGCATGTACCATCATGACCATGTGTACAGAGTTAAGTTACAGACTCTCAGTCTCACTGACAGCAACAGTCATACAATTACAAAGTACATGTAACTTCTAGCAAAATGAAAATGTACCTTTCTGAGAAGCGGCCGAGCTCAGCGTCAAGAATCTCACCGACGCCCGTTCGCAAACGCCCGATGTACTTCGGGGACAACGCGATGTGCCGCTCCGCACTCACCAACGTGCACCCGGTGTGCGGCTCTTTGTCCAACTCGGCAGCGCTTTCAAAACTCCCGAACACCTCAAGTGCGTTCATTTTTCAACTGTTTGAAAGTTCGCTTATATTTTTAAGGTTGTTAGCTTTAAAAATCGAAGGAAATCGTGTTTTTAGCCGCACCATGTGGCTGCGTGTTGAAATCTTGAAATCGCTTCATGGAGGCCGCCATCTTTAATCTCGTATCGTTGCGCGAGATCACAGCGAGATTAACATTTTTTGTTTTTAAATTTACATCGTTTTAGATAAAAATACCGGAAAAGAAAATTAAAATTTTCAATTTAATCGATTATTATTTTTAATGATATTTTGAATGCATAAATCACCTTTGAAATCAGCATTGTATTTTTATAATCTCGTCAGTGACGTGTTTTCAAAATATGAGCATGGTACCGACACTATACTGGTAACGATAGGTGGTTTAAAAACGGTTGGAGAGCAGGAACCGTACAGCCATTGATTGTGTGCAAATCGTCATTTGACAACTTTCGCTTTCGTCGTTGTGTCTGAATGTACATCACCAAAACGCCGAATCGATACATTTAGTTATTTTGAAACTGTTTGATTATTTTTATTCCCACGATGGAGAAAATTGTCTTCATATTATGTTTGCTGTTTTGCGTTATGGGTATCGGTAAGACAATTTCCTGCTCGTCAATTTCTTCTCAACAACAACATGCTCAATTTCTTTAAATTACTTTTTGCTTCTGACTTTTCTGTCATATCTGCCAAAAAAGTGTCATCAGTCTGACTCAGCATGCTCAGGGTGAGTCACTCTCCTGGAAACAGGGCAACTCGTACACGAACCAATTGGTGTGTGAGACAACTCGTACGTGAACCAACTTGTACGCGAGATGTATGCGGGCCAACTCGTAATAATGTGAACTAACTTGTATTTTTGTAGGCAGTGTATATTTTGCCGGAGACGGCAAACCTTTAGTAAACGTTAGTTTGCCGGATATGCACTGAACATGCGCAGTTACTGTTTTTTTGTACTTAAACATTTTCCGGTGACAAGTTTTAGTCTGGCTCCATGCCAAAATTATCGTTGTAACCTCGTATTCACAAGATGGGATTCAGACCATTTTATAATTTCGGACTTTATTTCCCTTTTAAAAAAAATCCTCCAGAGCCACAAATCTGAATAAGAAAATGTAATACTTTGCAAAAAATGTTTGAGACATGTTAAAATAATAAAAGAAGAATATTCTTATTTATTTGGGGATGAGAAAAAAAACCTTTAAAATGTGGCGCGGTCAGAATCGAACCCGAGTCATCCCGCTTACTAGAGCCTTTGCTTAACCACTACACCAAACGTGCTACACAACTTTTGGTGGGAATTTAATACATCTTATAATTCAGCCTATCTTAACCCTAACCCCCTAAGAGTTCATTTGGAGAACAGTACCACATACTACAAAGTACTACAAAAATTATGTATGCAGGTACCCAAATACTAGAAAGTACATGTACTATGAGTGCTGTGCTCACTTATATGCTAAAGTACTGCATACTACAGTTTACTACTAGTAGTATTTTGTAGCGTTAGGTGCGGTTAGGGTTAAAGAGTACAGCGCCCGCTGTTGATATGGATTGCCGCTGGCAAACCTTTAGTAATCGTTAGTTTGCCGTCATTACCTCCGGCAAAATATCCACTATCACTTTTGTACGCCAGCCAAAAAAACAAATCGTACGCCCGCCGAAATTAGCTAATTTAAACAAGTTGAACGATATAGGCCTACCATAGCCAGATTGGACGGAGTCAAGAATCATCGACTACATTATAATTTTATCATCGGCACTTAAGTTTTCAGTTAAATAAGTTTTAGAGTTGGGAGAATTTGTCAAGACGTCCACCTGTACACAATCACCAAAACTTTACCCCAAAACACACCCCAAAATTACTGTATGATTTATTACTGTATGATTCTATGACTGTATGACTATGTTGTTTTTTGCTAATATATAGTCCATCACCATAGTTTACTATTTAAAGGAACTAAATTTTAATTTTGTTTTTCATATGCATAATCAGATAATCCCTAGTTCTGGAACAGAGGCACCCCGTGTGTTCTAGAAGTACTAAAGTACATGTACATAAGCCCTTTTTATTTGTATTGTATTATTTTTCCATCTAATGACACAGCCAAAGCCCTGGAGTGCTACGCCTGCCGAGACTGCCAGCCAGATTTCAAGGACGACAAGACTGGCAAGGTGACCGAAATATGTCCCAAGAATTCCCAAGATCGTCACGACACCCTGCTCAGATGCAGCAAGCACGTTGAGAAAGATGGCAGTAAGTAGTGGCATAAGGGCACCCTCTAGTGGTGGAATAAAAAAAATGTCCATGCACGTTTGGCCCTAATTTGGATTTTTATCTTCGAATATTATTATTGTTTATTTATTAAAACCACATGTAAACAAAAGATGGATGTATAAAATGTATAATTAAATTGCATAGTACAAATGTATTGTACGTAGGAAGTCAAGCATTTGAATTTTTGAAGTTTCGTTGAGCTGACTCCCTATTTAGTATTTAAATTTATTCATATACAATTTATTAAGATTTGAGTTCATTCGTTAATTTAAAGTTCAGCCAAGGTTTAATTGAACCAATTAACCTAACTCCCTATGCGTTTTTGCTAGGATGCAACCTCAATCCTGCAAAATCTTAATGCAATCACTGTCAATATGTTGAGGCAGTGCCAGTGACATCTTGGAGCAGTGCGGAGGATTTCAAGAATAATCTAGACCTAAATTTATGCACGGCTAAGCTGAGCATAAGCAACACAAGGTCTGGCCTGTGACATTGACAGAGCGCATGCTCCAAAATCAGCCATGCATTTTTGCCATGTAGCCTCAATCCTGCAAAATCCTCCATTTTGCAAAGAGGATTTTGGAGTATTTGGGAAGGTTATGATTAATTAATTTCTTCATAAAATGGTGATTGATATAATCCATGAATCATAATGGTTTGATCTATTATTCATTATTCATTTATTAAAATTGTATTCATTTATTCAGAGATCAACCGCGGTTGTTCCACTGTGAAGGATTGCACTGTGTTCGAGACGATCAGCAAGTGCTCCGACGACACCACAGGAAATGCTGACATCATCGAAACGTCCTGTGAAATCTGCTGTGACAGCAACAAGTGCAACTCTGCTACCATGGCAACGTTAAGCCCCGCCCTCTGTATTCTAATTAGCTTATTAATGGCCCTGCACCATGTATAATTCGAATAACTTTTTGAATTTCCCAATTTCTGTTGGTGTTTTGTTTTATTTTCATGCCAAATACCAAAAACTAAAATTGATTGATTTGAAGTAATTTAGTTAAACCAATTCAGTCCGGAAATATTTTGACATTGATTGGACCCAGGCGCGGGATTGTTTTTCACATACCTCGATGCCAGACGGGTTCAGGCCGTCATCTGCGGGTAGCACACCCTGATATATCCGGCCTCACTTGCTGCGAGTGGGTCACTAACGGATATTTTCGACCCCGCTCGTTGCGTGTTTATCCGTCATCTGTTCCGAATACCGCAAAATCTGTGCGTGTATACATGTCATCTGACACGAACTGGTTAAGAGTACATTTCAAAATAATGACCAAATGTTCGCATTATATATATATATATAGTTTACTTCGAAGAGAAAATAAGAGAAAAAGACCAGAAAGTAAATTACAGTCAGACTTTTAGATATTTAATGAACATTGACCATGTTTCATCCAAGCAAATTTTGTACAGCAAGTATATTCTAAGAGCATGGGGCTGGGCAGGTAGTCGGAAATTTGGGACTCTCAGTACTGTGTATGAGAGTCCCAAAACTTAAGGTATTGAAAACATGCAATACAAGAAAATAGAGTGGCACCTGAAACAACCAGTCCAATTTAGTACTGCGTCCATCAACTGTGTAAAAAAAAAAGCAAAAAGGCTTTTCCTAATATTTTACTCCGTGCAGGGTTAATAGACAGGGTTTTGTAGAAAATACTTGAAACTGGGCAGTATTGCATCAGCAAATTATTCTGCTTTCAAGGAACACCCATTTTTCTACTGAAATTGAAATCCACTTTCCTCAGTAAATCATGTTTCCGATGTATATTTGCTACTTTTTTTACCAATTTCAGTGTCTTTCTATTTTTCTAGATGTGTAAATACTATTTATAGAACAGTCATGTTTCTGCGCTATTTGTATATGAGGAGTTGAAAACGTACACAGTTTAAACGTTAGTTTGCTATGAAAGTAGTTCTAAATTCAATATTGGGTTTTCCCTTCAGTACTAAATTATCCATATGAGGCTAAAGTATTCATTTTTCATGACAAAAAGAGGCTGAAAAAAAATTACCTGTATGAGTGATTTTATGTGGATTTGCATAAATGTATGTAAATTTGACCTGTCTGTCAGCATTATCAAATGAAGGGAACAAATTGTTCCCTTAAAAACAGGAATTATGAATAATTTACATCACTGTTATTGCTTTTGCAGAAATTGTTCCTTTCACAAACTCGCCAAATATGCTTCTTAAATTAAGGTTTAAAGACAGCATGGCAGACAATAAAACACAGTGGCACATTTACCTCATTTATAATTTTAACTCCAAAGTGAAGCTTTTAAAGGGTTTTATGAGCGAGGCTTGTAATATGGTTTTATATCAGGTGACTTTTAATATTGTTTTTCTAAATTGGTGTGAAATTAATAATATATAGGAAAAGACACTGAGGCTGTTCAAAAAGGGTTATAACAACTTTTTGCATTCCTGGTTTCTGCAGACATTTTAAATATTTCACTATTTTTTATAAAGTTCATATCAGTTGTTACACAAAATGTACTCTGAAATACTTTTATAAATGTATTGAGGCTTTATCTTTTCTTGATTAATACACAGGGTTTTGCACTCACTTTACCAATGTTCTTTTTTATCGTAGGGCAGTAGAGGCTGTCCCCAAAGTGTCCCTGGTTTCCTGGTTTCTGCAGACATTTTCAATATTTCACTATTTTTTATAAAGTTCATATCAGTTGTTACAAAAAAATGTACTCTGAAATACTTTTACAAATGTATTGAGGCTTTATCTTCTCTTGATTAATACACAGGGTTTTGTACTCACTTTACCAATGTTCTTCTTTATCGTAGGGCAGTAGAGGCTGTCCCCAAGTGTCCCTCTGGAAGGTGTGCAGCATTCTCGTAATTTATGAAACCAAAATTGAAATTCAATTAATTGATGAGCCCAAACATTTTTCTTTCTTGCGTGAAGTTTTTGTTGGATTCGGTTCAGTGGTTTTGAAACAAAGACCATTAATGTAACACCCTCCGGAGGGACATTTTTAGGGTGCACCCTGTACAGTTAAAGTTAATTTCTACGTTTTACAAAGTTGGAATTGCCTCAAACAATGGACCGATCCAGTAAGCACCGCCCCATGGTTTTCTGACCAATCACAGCCGTGATTTATGTCCGACATGCGCGCACAAAATCCGACATGCGTGCACGCGCGTTTGATGCGCGCGGCAGGAAAATGCAGTGTGGTATTGGAGAGGAGCACGTGTTAATTTGCCCACGTGTGCAATGGGAGGGGCTTACTGGATCGGTCCATTGTCTCGAGAATAAACACTACTATAGATCGTATGCGTAGTAGCCATCTTGGAGGGCAGTGCCTTTATTTTGCTAGGATATGCAGCAACATCTTTTGTGCATCATTGTTACTGAATTGAAATAAAATATGCCCTTTATGATGGCAGCTACGCACACGGTCTATTCCTATATTTGTACTCTATTTTTTAAGTTTGTCACGTGCATTGTTGGTTCATTATTTCTTCTAATAGACTTCTGAAAGCTTGTAATATATGTACATGTTTTCCTGTCAATAAACAGAGAAGAGTCAGTCTGACGACTAAGCTTAGCAGCTGGTGTGTCTTTTATCCGGATTCGTCATATTGTATATTACAGTGGCCAGGAACACCTTTATAACAAGTTCCGTTTCAAAATTACAATATTATACCAGGTACATTGTTCCTTGTATTATGGCAAACAAATATCATCTTTTCGGTATACAAAAAGCAGAAAAGTAGAATGTACAGTTGTCAAAAATGTTCGATCCACTAATTTCTGAAAGGAAAAAGCAGACGGCCACTTTTCGACCGCCAGGTCTGCTGTTCAGGTGGCAGGAAAGTTAAGAAGAAGCATTCATCTTCGCAAAAACATTCATTCTGCTTTTCAGGTAACAGAAAAGTAAAAACATTTATTGTACATGTATGTTCAAATACGTAAAATCTGCTCTTCCGCTAGTTCGTTTGATAACAGAAAAGCAGATAGCCACCATTCGTTCTCCATACTTGGGACCTAAACATTTCCGAATTCAATTAGAACGGCAAAATGTGCATGTGCGCGCTTTCCTCTTTATTCAGTATCTACGCTCCCAGACATGCAGCTCTGATTGGCTGTTGCCGTGCGGAAGCTTCCCGCGCGCGCCGAGTGTGGCGCGAAATTCAGGGCATGCAACTGAACAGGTGGACACATGCGATATGTCTGCCTGCCACTTGTCTTCAACATCTTTCAGTACTCGGGTTTTTGTTACAATGCAGTGCTGTCTCTTCCAACGTTCATTCTTTTGTTCTGTCCACCATTGTTTTCCCGGACGCCGATAAGTACGCATGCGTATAACACCTTCCTCCGTTTTAGTAAACAGCTTTTAAAACTGTGCGTTCTCAATTTAAGGAGATTCGAATCCCAGTGACTTGATCGTCTGTAAACGTCTTAGCGCCATTCCGAATTGAGAACGCATCGTGTGTGCATCGCCTGGCCATAACGCTTCCAGATTATTTTGAACGTGGTCTGCTATTTCCCCGGCACCGCTAGAATTCCACTACATTTCCTGGACCAAATCAACATGAAGCCCGCTGTCGTGTGCTTTCTTCTGATCGTGTTGGTTAAAGAAGGTAAACCTTGACTTTTCAGACTTCAATAATTGCATGCAACTTAAAGCTTTAAAAGCTTTCAAGGCATACATGATCATGACGATCATTTTCTCTTTATGCAGTTTGTTCGTTTCCAATAATAAAACCACCCAAAATCCAAAGAAGAATGTTCAAAACCCTCACCTGGATATTCTAATTTCCCGACAAAACAATGAAAAACCTAGCGTGAGCATCATCCGTCGTTCAACGGAGCCGGCTGGCTCCGTACTCAACGTCTATGAGCATACGATATGCAGATTGTTGATTGGTCAGCCATGTTTTTATAATAACTGCTTACCGAGGACCCGATAGAAGGCGCCCGCTGAATGGTTAGAATCTTGAGGTCAAGACGCAGTCTTGTTTTGCTTATTTAATCGCCGAACCTGCTCGCATATTTATCGACCCTTGATAGTGCAAGGGGATATTACAATATGAAAAAAATGGATGGATTTGGAGAGTTAGTATTTTATTCCAAATATAATTGTTGCACTGACTTGTTTGAAGTTTTGTTCCCTAATCCGTACTTGTGATGAAAAGGAGCAATTTACAGACATCGGGAAATTGTAGGGGCAGGGACTGTACTAACTGGTAAATTTGGTGCACTATTTAAAAGAAAACGGTATTTTTTTAATTCATACAAAATACCACTTTTCTTGAAAATGACAGCGCACCAGGTGTCATGACTTACAGGATGCTTTAGATTGTCATTCACTAACGGTCCATCCAGTAAAGCATTTCATAATCATTTTGTGTTTCGATATCTGCAAATGTTGTATATTGACTTGATGTTCATTTTGTGATAACGTTGGAGGTGTATTTTTTGTGTTAATTCTGTCTTAGGTTTTGCTGCCTCATCCTTGGCATGCTACTCCTGCAGCAACTGTGCCCTGAGCCCTGAGGACCTCCAGGGCGTAGTGAGACTAGACACGGAACAATGTGACGACGCATTGTTTTTAGATTTCACAGGATTATCGGAACCACGATGTGTAAAAGAAGTCGAAAGGGATGGAAGTAAGTGAGGGGAAAAACCCGAATAATTTCATGCAGCAACTGCTCACTGGCTATAAAAAGACAACTTTCACTTCTGAAACAAAATTATTACAAGAGAAATCGAGCAATAGACCTGTTTTTTTTGTTTTTTTGTTCTGAAAATGTTTACTTTGAACGGAGGCCGCATACTATAATGCCTGTGAAATGAGAGTCTGATTCCTTTACGGGGACCATGCTATTGGTCCAAATTTTTCTTGGGAACAATAATTGTTTCAGCTTTCTATACTCCTCTTAAATGTGTGATAAGTATTTTGAAATCCTTTTTTTTTTTTTGGTTAATTTGTTATTGAGAAGTGCACTTTTAGACATTTAAAATTTCCATGCTTTTCCGGACAACTAAGGGCGCGGTTCCTGTGATGTCATTTTAGGAAGCCACTGTTCAGTTTGTGGGTTTTCTGTTGAAATTGTGAACCCAAAAATTTGCTCAGTGAAAACATTTGTGAGATAAGTGTGCTCATTGGCTTACTGCCACGTACTGACACAACGAATCACCAAAGAAAAAAATTTGTAACAGCAAAGTATTCAAAATTCCAGCAACAGTTTGGTGCAGAAATAGCTGTAACATTGAGGTTTCGGCCTGAAATGACATGACGACAATTTTGCTTATGAAAATGGAAATTTGCATCAGCATAAAAACCAAAAAGGCACCAGAACACCCTTGAAAATGGCAAAACAAAAATTGAAAATATGGTTAAATGATACACAAAGGTGCATTTTTAAGGACCGCACAAACAATTTACCTTCCATGGGCCTTCAAAGTAAAAATTAATATACAATCTTTCTTCTTTTTTATGTTTTGTTTGGTCTTACAGCTGTCAACAGGTATTGTAGCAGGAAGGGCATGTGCAAAGGAATATATCTGGATGAGTGCTCATCCCCGGACGAAATCAGTTGCCGCATCTGTTGCTCTTCTAATATGTGCAACAGCGCCCTCACGCTGCAGGTGACGTCCATGTCATTTCTTCTGGCCGTTTTCCTGGCCGCATCATTGACTTCTGGCATCTAACATACATTGAATTGAGTTTTTGGCGCTGTTCTTTTTGAACGACAAAATGTCTGTCTTAAATTGATAATTGTTAATATATTTTGGCAAATTATTTGAACTTTTCTTCCAATAATAATATAACACCAGATGTAAACATACAAGTTATTCAAGGTGGTATTTTGATAGAACTATACAATATTATAAACAAGACGCGTGCTGAACTGAAAATTATAAATTATATTATTCAAATTGTATAAATTAATATGCTGTTTTTCCTATAGTCTATTAAGAACACACCATTAACGTACATGGGCGTCGCGAGAGGGAGCAAGGGGGCGCTTGCCCCCCCCCCCCTCCCCAACCCGGAAAAGCCACCCAAAAAAAAGAAAAAAGAGGCGCGAAGTCACAGTGGTGTAAATTTAATGAGTTGGGGGGGGGACAAAATGTCCCTGCCCCCTGATAAATCGAGAATATGTTGAGAAATACAGGAATTTTTTGGGGAAAATATGTTTTGCCCCCTCTAGAAAAAAATCCTGGCGATGCCTATGTTAACGTACGTTTATGCATTCAAGTGTGTTTACGTAAACCTGTCGCAAATATTGTTTTTAGTTAACCTGCAAACTCTGCTGATAGCCTGAGTATAGTTATTACATTCTCATGTTCTTTTGTGTCTCTGAAGAATATTCTTGTGATTAATTTGATAACAAAAGTATTTTATTGAGGCGTATGAGATGTTTGCAAATAGACGTGATTTTGAACTTTGCTCTGATACTTGAAGTAGCGCATGAAGTAGCGTAGGGCATGCACAAGAACATGACTTGGGAAAAAAACAAACAACTTTGCATCCCTCTCTGTTTATTTCTTGTCAATTTATCAAAAAGAAAATATACAACCATGAATATCAATATTCATAATATTTGTAATATTAAATCATTCAAAATTCAAATGCGTACTGGAAGATAATATGAAATTAATTTCAATACTGGCATTACTCAGCAGTTTGATCTCCAATTTTGTTATGTATCAAGGGCGGATCCAGAACACACTTTTTTAATGGGGGATGGAAGGGCCAAACAAATTTGGGTCCAACATTATACTGCGTGGGGTTCGGGACCCCGAATTTTTTTTTTGGGGGGGGGGGATTCTGGATGCTCTGTGGTGCGATCTGAGGCAAGTTCTGACCACTTTAACCATTGTTTTTTTATGAAAAGATGGTGGTGTACGCAGTGCCTGCCTTTTTTGCGACGTCACTTTTGGGACGCCAAATTTGGGAATCTTTCCAAAAATATAAGTAAAAAGTGATGCACAATACATCAAAGTGGCAAAAGAGGCGTAAAATAATAGAAAAAGTTCTCTTTTTTTTGGTCCAGTAAATTTTCCTTTAACAATAATAAACTTTCCCCTCCAGATCCAAACCTTCTCCAACACCACATTCCTCAATCACTTTTCGTGCACGTCATCTTAAAAATTATGGAATTAAAATTAAATGGGGGAGACTGGGGTCCTTATAGGATGTTTTTGTTTTGGTAGTATAGATGCCACAAAACATAATGCCCGACTTTTGCAAATACAAATCATTGCGAACAACAAGGTTTTATACTTTATTCCAAATTCCATGAATGTTTACTTTGAAAGAAAACAAATTATTAACGCAAGGTTGCGCCCCCCCCCCCCCCCCATTCAGTCACCGACTATTATAGAAGTAGAATGCTATACAAAAAAACCCTAAATTTATTCTCAAATTGCCTTTAGGATGAAGGAGAATGATCGTATAGATTTCAAAACTTCCCGGGGCTTGCATGCCCCCTAAACCCCCTTGCATGCCCCTGCCCCCCCCCCCCCCATTCACTCCTCCCCCAAGAACATACCATCGCAGTGTCTTCATGAATAATTAAGTAAACATGTTTCTGGAAATTCCGGGGGGGGGGGGGCGCTGAACCTTACACACCTACTTAACAGCTTACTTCCTCCATCTATGACAGAATACTGGCCAAGCACACCAGTGAAGTTCACTGTCATTAATGTCGCCATTGTCAGCGGACGATATATATGGTGGCTTTAAAGGGACATCGCACATATATATTGACGCCACTATTGACGCCAATATTCACGACATGGCCTCTATGTAGCAAATATTGACTCGCCAATATTGACGCCAATATTCACGACATGGTCTCCATGTCGCAAATATTGACGCCAATATTCACGACAGGCCCAAGTTGTAAACCCACTCATGCGTGAATTAGTGACATTAGTCTTCTATATAAATTTTTCTAAGTTTTTACCTATGACCGCCACAAAATTATTTCATGAATTTTCACCTTTGTACGAGTGTTCCGAGTTCTACTAGTCCACGCGTATTGTAGCTTGACATTTCCATGACATCCCACGTCATGAGCCTAGAAAGCTGGACATTTTTTTCGAAAGTGATCGTGAGAGGCCTTTAGTTTCTCTTTCACGTCATGCGATTTTTCAGTTTCCATAAATTGAGATGCTGTTAATAATTTTACAAAGGCCTTTTGCGATGGTGGTTTTTAAAGAAATCAATGAACCAAAAATATTTTTAACAACTCCGACTTTAACACGTAATTTTCCTATTCGAGGGGTCCACGCGCCGCGTCACCAGGGGTCAACTTTCAGGCTCCATTATATTCCTGTACATGATTGCAAATATCCGAAAACCTCAATCAATGGAATTTCACATATATCGAGCATTTCTCACAATAGGCCGGTGTCATATGAAATACGGACCTATATTAATTGTTAAGTTCCCCCCCCCCCATAACCGGGCGTCACGATCAATCATGGCTGTGTACTGTGCACATGCGCAATATGCCAAGACGGCTGTTTTGCGTATATCCAATTTGCACACAACACCTGTTGTTTCGAAACACGGGGAATCCCCTTCAGCACGCAACATCACATAATCCGCCACGTGGGTGATCAATATGCTAATTTCAAAGCCTTTGACCAATCAGAGCCAAGAGGCGTGGCCCGTTCTTACCATTGTCTCCCACCCATTGGTTAGACAATATTTTGTCACGCCACAAAATAATTTCTTTACAATCTGTTTTAATTTACACAAAAGCATAATTAATTACTTGCGCCTGTCCACTTTTTGGCGTGTCTTAAAAAAAATATCATTGCATTCCCAGAATAAGTGAAAAATCAACAAAACCTTAAAGTGCTTGGGTGGATTGGGGCGCTCGGCAGTGAGTAAAAAGTAGGGTTTTTTTTAATATAGGGCCCAAGTATTTTAAAAATGAAAACTTACTGCAGAAAGCGACGCACAACAAAACAAAATGGCTCAAGAAATGTTAATGAAATAATCATGGACGTCGCGAGGGGGCCCCCTGGAAAACCAGAAAAAAGAGGGGAAAACAAAAAGGAAAATATTGCTGTTAATTTGATGGGGGGGGGGGGGGGAAAATGCTCCCCTGCTCACGCTCGGAAAAATGATAAATTGAGAATATAATGAAAAAAGTTAAGGAATTTTGGGGGAAAATTTACTTTGTCCCCCCCCCCCCCCCCGGAAAAATCCTGGCGACGCCTATGGAAATAATAAGTAAAATGCCCCATACTTATTTCCAAATTTTCTCACTACCTCCACTTTTTGAACGTCATCTTCAAAATGATGCGATTTTATATTAAATGGGCGTGGTTATATAGGGCTGGGGTAAACTCAGGATGTATTTATAAATTATAACAAGATGCAACCAAAATAATATCCGACTTTTACTACATAGCATGCAAAAAAACAAGATCATTGTAAAATATTTAATTCCAAATGTCATGAATGACGGTGTACACTTTGAAAAGAAAAAAACACATTCATAGTTGAGAAAATTATCCAAATGTCTTCATGAATAAGTAATGAGTGTTCCCGGAAATTCCCGGGATGAGCAATCGACCTAGCTACGCAGCCAAAGTAAGTTCATTGTGAAGGAATGCCGCTATAGATAGCGGACGGTCCTTCATTTTCTTGGCGATTTTCACAGCTTCAAAACGACGCAATCCCACTTCGAAATCTCAGTCCTCAGTAATTTTCTTGACAGCCTGGGAGGTTAAATTTCACCCGTTGATCAGAGACTCTTTGAGGATCATTTGTCAAGATGAAGGCGGTGTTTTTCGCAGTTGTTCTGGCCGTGTTTTTAACACGAGGTAGGTCATTTAAGTTTTTCTTTGTGAAAACTCCAACCATGACTCAACATCTGTGCAACTGCACTTTAATTGTAGCGCTCAAACGAAAAAGTGTGCAGTACATATGGGAATAGGGAGTGGCTGAGAATTGTAATTATATATCTGAGGATGAAATTGAAATATATGTCTGTAGTAGCTTGAGTAACTCCAGCTGACATGCTCATATTCATTCACATGTGAATGAATATGAGCATGTCAGCTGGAGTTACTCAAGCTATGTCTGTAGCATCTTGTTTCTAAAATATTTAAACAGATTTAACATAGGCGTAGCCAGCGGGGTGCAGGGGGGTGGGTAAGGGGGGTATTTTTTAAAGACTGCCCTTTTCCATTCCAATACCCTTTTTTCACCAGCGTTTACCCCCCCCCCCCAATATTTTGTAAAGAGTACCCTTTTTTTAAGAAGTTGTCTTTTTTTCTGAACAAGTGCCCTTTTAAAAAAGAAGTAAACTTGTGCCTTTTTTGTGACATCGGCCGTTCCTGGTGCCGTTTTAAACAGCGCCCCCATCCGTGAGAAAAAAATGTGTCTACATTTCACCACGGATGTGCAAGTGCCCTTTTCAAAAAATGTTGCCCCCCAAATCAAAATTAAAATCCTAAAATTAAAAATTTCAAAATGAAAGTATAAAGTCCCAAATAACTCTGAAACTTAGTAATCCCCTTCCATAATTACAAAAACGTTGGTGTGTCTTTGACCATGCACACCATGTGCAAAAAACAACAGATTGAAACTGCCAAACTATCATGAAATATCCTACCTGATTGAAAGTAAATGATAGGATCAACCATCCTGTAAAATCACTGCACTCTATATGCTGTAATTTTCGAGAAAAGAGAAATTACCATCATTTCACGGGAATAAACCAAACCATTGCACTTTCAATGGAGAAAAATGAAGATGTACTTTCCAAGTTTTCTCAAAAATTATAACATGAGTTGAAATTTTTAAAGTTATTTTTAATAACCTGCTTTAGATTTATTGTTCCTTATTAAATTGGCAAAAACACATACTTTTTTGTGCAAATGATGTCAATTACCTTTTAATATACATGTACTTTCGAATCAAATCTAAAGTCAATGGTGTGACTAATTCTCAAAGCTCAATTTGAATTGCATTTTAGATATTTAATTTTTTTTTACATCTTTGTTTGTTTGTGAAGCTTCTGCATTGGATTGCTACTCCTGTAATGACTGCGGACTATCTGGCGTGTTCTCCATCTTTGAAAGTAAGACCACATGCCCTAATAGCGTCTTGGGGTTTCTGACTGAGCCTAGATGTGTCAAAGAAGTTGCCTCTGATGGAAGTAAGTATACCCATCAATAACCAACAATACTCCCCCCCCAAAAAAAATTAATTAATAAAAGAAAAAATAATTTTAAGAAAAAAAAAAAGCCTATCGTGGAATTCTTTTAAAAACAATTACTCAAGAATATTCTTGTAATTTGTCACAAAGTAAAAAAGAAAAGTGGGCAGGACGTCCTATTAATTTTAAAAGGCTTGCAATTATTTTTCTACTTTTCTATTATTTGGTTTCTTGCAAATTTGAAAAAGGACTTGGGGGCAGGGCTAAGGATCAAGGCCATCCATCAATGTTTTTTTTTAAATAAATTAATAAGAAGTTTTCAAAAGAAATCGCATGAAATTTGTAATAACCATTGAATTGCCAATGTAGTTGGAGGACAAATGTTGATAATGCGATATGTATTTTTTTCCTTGACAGCCGTGAAACGATACTGCGGCACTGCAACAACATGCGGCGCAGCACAGCTTCTTGTTAGGTGTGACAGCGCCACCGAAACCAACTGCATCATCTGCTGCAGCACAGACACCTGCAACAACGCCCTCACTGTCAAGGGTACCTGGCTGGCTGTTGCGTTGGCCTTAGCTGCAGCCTTCTTTGCTGCACGTTCCTAAACGATGAGTATTCATGAGCACTACTCATGAATATGCATAAGCACTAAATCATAAATATTCATAAGCACTTGTTCTCGCCAAAGTTTGGGCTTTACATTTAACAACTTTCTATGGCTTCAACTGCATATATCTAAACAATTTTATAATGGCTTTTTAGAAAGTGAAAGTTTTACCATGCAGAGTCTTTTACCGCTTCTTAAAGTTTTGATAGAGTCGCTCATTTTTAGCGTACAAAGAGTTTATTTTCAAAACGCCTTACATTCATTTGAAAAAAAAGCATACTTTATAGCAATAAGTTCAGCTGTTTCAAAAGAACAATTCTCACTTCATTGTATTCTTAAATTTTGTGCAGAAAAAAAAGAAAGAAAAAAACCCCCTAGCCTTTGAAACTGAATTTGGGTAACCAGGAAAGAGCGAGATTATAAAAGGCTAAGAGAATGGTGTGTGTCACGTTTTGGAAGCAAACTCTTCATATATTTAGGCTGCCAAGTTGAGTGTTAGTTGGGTGATTAAGTGGCTTAATTTTTTGTACTTTTTCTAAAATAATGTGAACTACAAATTCATTTAGTGCCATATTTGGATTGTGGCTCCAGTTGCTAATTTGTCTTTCGCAAAATCTTGTAGCTCATCAATAATGTTTTTACTTTAAATTTTGAATTCTTTTCTATTGAGATTTTTATTCTGCATTGTAATCTGTTATATTTTCTCCTCTGATCACAGTAGTGTAAAAACAGGGAAAAAATTGTGTACAATTGTGATCCTCTGTTTTGTAGGTTGAAGACTTTTCACAAAACTGCATAATCATTTGTACAATATTCAGAATCGTTAAGCTTGTAATTGTGCAAACAGTTCTTTATAATGAAAACTGCCAATACAATAGAACCAATAGCATAGCGAGGGGAGGGGCTTTAACACCCCCTCTCCACGACCCAAAGAAAAACCAGAAAAATATGCACCCAAAATGCTCTACACACATGACTGGTTTGCATAGGGCATGTTGTACTTGGACACGGCTGAAAAAAAATTGGGAACAAAATTGGTTAAACTTCCTTTCCTATGACCCATGACTTGTTTACGCAGAGCATGCTGTATGTGAACATGCATGGCTTAACATTTTTTGGGAAAAACTCCCCCGCCATGAGAAATGTCTCACTACTCCACTGAGAGGAACAACAGGGCCAACAACTGAGGTTTTTTATGAAAGTGAATGACTGTAAAGTCTAGCAATGCCTATTGAAAACTGCTCTCCTCTGTTTAGCGGAGTCAAAGCAAAAAGGCAGCTTTTGTTAAATGCTAAAAGGCTAAAGATTTTGATTTGAAATGAGAGGCACGCTAGGTAGAGCTCTAACATTAAGGACTATAAACCATCTATGGAAGCGTGGGCTGATAACATGAATACCTGTTCCTTCCATTGGCTATTAGATTAGATTAGATTAGATTTCTTTATTGTCATGCTCAAAATTACATGAAACTTCATTTCCCAGTGTACAATTAAAAATATGTGTACATCCAATAATTAAAAAAATACACAAAACATGACAAGACCAAAATATATCATAACATGTACATTGTACATGTACAAAACACAGTTACTACTATACAATCATAAAAACTCTAGGAGCAGTAAAGTAGGATTTCGGACTGTGAAATGAGGAAGGAAATGAGGAAGAATAGGACGGGACAGGATGGAAACAGCTGGGTCTGGCAATGTGCAAAATGTATAGGGCAGGGTATGATTGAGGGGTAGAGGGGGGTGAGAAGGGAAAAGGGGGGGGGGGGGAGAGCATGGAAAGAGTGGGTAGGATAAGGGAAACATTGGAACATAGGGTAGTGTAGGGAGGGGCAGGGCTGAGTAAAGTTGGGTGATCCTAAGTGTTGAAAAGAGGCTAAAATTTAGCAAATATTATTTCCATATTCCGTATCTTCCAATTATCTGTTGCAATACTCGCATGAACTGCTCTGCAAAAACTGAGTCTGATGCGGCGAAACTGATATTTAAATTAATCATAGGAGTGAAAAAGGCATTAAGGAAATTTTTTTTTGGGGGGGGGGACACTTAACTGTTAGGGATGTTGATTTTGTCATTTTTTTTATTTTGGCCATTGGAATCCAAGTCCTTGGAAAAACAAAACAGCTTAAAAAAAAGAAAAGAATATGCTGTTGTCAAAAAGGCAAATTAATGTTTGTCTTCTAAATTTCTTTATATGACATTTACAAAATAGGTATTTAATAGTCTAAATAAATAACGGAACAGACCCAATAAACAATAGAAATCTGGATTAATTCCAGATCTGCCATTTTTTAACTGCCAATTTCTTGAATGCTCATCAGACTGTTTTTACAGAGCAGGTCAAGTGTAATGCCTTAAGTCTTTTTATTTCCTATATCTTTTGAATGTACTCTTTTAAATAAAGCATCGGAAAAATGTACGATTAATGGAGTGAAGTTTGTTTTTGTCCTATGTATATTTATAAGTTGTATTTTGAAAAAAGTGTTTGTTCTTTCAATTAGAAGAACATTCTTTTTTTCTTTGATGGCCAAAATACTTCATATCTTAAAATCATTAAAAAATATAAATATTATTATCTTCACATATTCTAATTATCTGGATGGGCTCCCATTTGCAACGTTGAAGATAAAAAAAAAATCACCTCTTTTAAAATTCACACAAATGACACTTGCCATGACAGGAGTTTTTTCCTTAATCCCACAGAAAAATGACTTATGACTTAATGAATATTCTCCGTTCTTCCAAACCGATTCTGATAAATTCATCTGCCTACCCCAATCCTCCTACACGTATTTAACAACACAGCCATTCCAAACACCCCTTCCCTCAAAATGGAATGTTGCTGTCAACTCTGACCCACAAAAATAACACTATCCAGACATTTCTTTTTTGCAGATATTTTTTATTGCTCTCAAAAATATCATGTAAGCGTACAGTTGTATGCACCTGCTCAAAATCCAGCCTGTTTACCTGTTTAGTTTTCGGAACAATTGTTAACCTTGTGAATAATTTACAAATTCTCTGTGTGAACAAAAAAAACAGGATACTACAAATTTTACAGCTTTAAGGGAATGCAGTAATGCTTACTGGAGCATTGAAACTGCTTCAGTTTTGGTATTTGAAAGAATTTGCCATGCCAACAATTCTTTGTGGAGTCAATAATCGCCCAAGCAAACACCAGCAGTGAACCAGTCAAAAATAGACACAAATCGCTTGGAAGTTTTGCTAGTTACCAGTTTTTTTTCTATGATACAATAAAATAATGCAAGGAGTTTGAACATAAATTTCATTACCAGCCTTTGAAAAGCAGAACCAACAAACGTTTAACTGGACTGCGTTTTTGTCACTGATGTACTATTTCATGGGAATATTAGTACATGTGTATGCATATCTTGTGGTTTAAAAAAAATCTATGTACAATTTAGCAACATCTGTGCATTGTCTACTGCCAAAGATAGAGTAAAGAGATAATAAAAAAACTGTAAAATAGTAAAAATAAAGCCCCAAAACAACACTGAAATGTTAAATGCAGCAAGTATGCCTTACTTTTTTTTAGTGAACATTTGACAAAACAGTACTTCAAATGATCGATATGGCCTATTTATGCCAACTCGGAATTCAAGGATTTAGCAAAACATATAAAATTTCACTTAACTTCAAAAGTACATTTACAAATATCAGTAAATGCTCGAAAAAAAATTAACCCAAATTTGCTTTTAAGTACTTCAAACCAATACCAGTCAAAACTTGCCAAAGTTTGGTTGCCATGTTATATAAATTGGACAGGATATAAATTCTAACAAATATGAGCCTTAAAAATAGAAAAGAAATAATGTTACAAATTGTTGAAAACAATGGGTCCATGTTACTGAAACCACAAGACGAGGTTTAATTCAATATAATATATTTACAAAATTTACAGAACAAAGAGGCATCAACTCTACACCCAAAGTACAAAAGTATTCACAAAAAAATATTGGCGGCCTTAATTTAAAATGGGCCAATCACACAACTTCATCAAGAAATTTGAATACAAATCATTTTAACAAAGGTGTTTCTTTAAGCACCATGATATAAAAAAAATTACGGCAGTGTTTGGTAGATGACCAAAACTTAAATAGCTCTTTAGTTTTATGAACCTCAAAGTTGTTTTATTCTTTCGTTTTTAGAGCAGTTACAGTAACTAAACCCCCTTGTGTAAAAACTGAAGCTGTCATATGGATCGTTCTATAAATTCAGGGTCCAAAGTGTGACATTTTGCCTGTCCCTGTTACATTGGTACTTTGTAATTAGACATTCAAGTGTCATTAAGAGTGAAACAATGTTTTAATTTGTTGGGAAGGTAATTTACATTTGTAATCATTCGTGGAGGACAACTGCATTAACCCTAACTCCCTAGCATCTTTTAGTAGGAACTGGACCAAGTCCATCAAATTCCATCAATCACTGTGCTTCCAATACAAAAATGTACATGATATAATGGAATCCACCATTGACACACTGGTTGACATTCATGGACTTGCGACACATGGCTTTTATCACAATAGCAGTACAGGAAGCTAGGCAAAATCAATCGGATACCCCTAGCACTGCTTCAGGCCATTAGGCCCAAGTCCCACAAAATCCATCAAAATCAGGGGGGGGGGGGGGAGGGGGGGGGGACTTTGAAGGAGCTGGGGTGGTTAGGGTTAGGGAGTCCATCGGATTTTAAAATCATAGATGTCAGATGTAACAGGGACAGGAAAAAAAATTTTTTTTTGAATGACCTTCATTCCTCGCACTTCTATCACGGTGACCCGGGTTCGATTCCACCCCGGGCACATATCTTGTTTTTTTTCTCTGCCCTGCTAGCCTCATATCAGAGGTCTTTGCTTAACACAGATGGGGACATGTGATACAGTAAGTACTAAACTGATGCCTTGTCAGTGAAAAACGTCTGGAGCAGGAGTCTACCACAGCAAGTATAAATAGTACAAATTATTTTGTGAAAAAAATTATTACAAAATTATTTCAAAACCAAATTTATCCATGTTTAGCAGATGAACACATACACTGGCAGCACTATACAACCTAAGGCTTTACTATTTTAAAACAAGTCAAGAAAATGACTTAAAGTACTTTTAGACTGAACTATATACAAGAACTGTTAAAATATATTCTTTCAAGTAAATCTTTTAATTGTATAAATACATTGTAGTACAAAAGGCGTACAAATAAACGAACAGATATGCTGTAAATTTCTAATTAACACAAATCATGTACTTGATTTTTTTCAAAATGAATGCCATTAAATAATAAGAAGAAAAAAACTGTTTTTCATCTGTTTCGCTTGTGACAAATAATTTTGTGGTTCAAATACAAGTTTAATTTGAATGTCTAAAGACTATATGTATAAAAGTGCCAGGGAAAAAAATAGTTTCAAATTTATGTTATCAAAAATTATCAAACTTGATCATTAATCGGTGAAATAATCATGAATACTGATGCTGTGAATTACATAATTGATAATACGCTGTCCAATACGGAACAATAATGATCAATAATTGATAAGGCACATTAGACTTATTGATAATTGATATTCACTAATCCATATCAAAAGTCAAAATTCATATTGATTGATCAAAATTTGCTGATATATTGATTAATGAAAATTGAGTATTGTTTTGGTGTCAATTACTTGCAATCGATAATGCCACTCAATGTTAAAAACAACTCATGCGCTGCATTATCAATAACCAATAATTCAAACCAATCAATAACCAATAATAACAATAGCTGATCAATAATCAATACTTCATTGTAATTAGTCCATCATAATTTAAGCAACAAGGCCATTAAACAACCTTCCATATTCAAAAAGTACCGAGAGAAATAATAATTGCATGCAACTCGCAAGTTTCGTTAAACTTCAATAATATACAAACACAGCGTCTAACCCTAAACTAAAGTAACCTTAGCAACGATTGGTTAAAAAAACAAACTTCAGTCATGTCATCAAACAGTAAATGCACTGTTGACAATCCTTTAACTTATAATTACAAAATATATATAAAAAATTCTGCACCATATTGTATATAGACTTGTTGAACAATAATATATATAAATATGTACATGTACAAAATAAGGATACTTTAAGGGGGTGGGGAATAGGACGAATTTTAAGTATGCAGATATAAAAAAACCCAGATTTTAGAATTGAATACAGGTGCAAACAGACGCAACACATTATTTGAAGCTATGGTAAAAAAAAATGTTTTCCTCTTTCCCCAAATCTTGTAACTTTCATAACTTTCAAAAAAAGTAGTTTTTAAGAGTTCTTCATCAAGAGTTGTTTATCAGAAAAACACTACTTCAGAAAATGAAAGTGTTCATTTTCTGAGGACTAAAATGTCAGAGTTGCAAGTTAGATTCATCCCTCTACTCATTCCGAGTTGTATAAAATAAAAGGTAAGTTTTTTTCTCCAAACTTATGAATATCCTGAAGAGTCAACTTGTTTGTACGATCATAAGTCATCACAAATCGATCACAAGTTGATCATAAATCATCACAAGTCATTACTTAAGTTAATCACAAGTCATTAGAAGTTGATCACAAGTCATCACAAGTCGATCACAAGTTGATCATAAATCATCACAAGTCATTACTTAAGTTAATCACAAGTCATCAGAAGTTGATCACAAGCTGATCACAAGTCATCACAAGTCGATCACAAGTCATTACTTAAGTTAATCACAAGTCATTAGAAGTTGATCACAAGTCATCACAAGTCGATCACAAGTTGATCATAAATCATCACAAGTCATTACTTAAGTTAATCACAAGTCATCAGAAGTTGATCACAAGCTGATCACAAGTCATCACAAGTCATTACTTAAGTTAATAACAAGTCACCATAAGTTGATCACAAGCGAATCACAAGTCATCACAAATCGATCACAAGTCATCACAAGGTGATCACAAGTCATCGCAAGTCATCACAAGTCAATCACAAGTTCAGGAATGATCAATGACAAAGCAATGCCTTGTCACTTCAATAGCTAATGAATGAATTATAGTTGAATTGTGACGACTTGTGACGACACCATGATTTCAAACATCAAGATTGGCCAACAAAAACCAAGAAAGGTATACATGTAAGTTTCAAATAAATACCTCCTTACCTCATTTTGTAGGCAATGGTTGTGTGAAAAAAAATTGCTAGAGGTCTAACAAAGAGTTCCGTTACTGTGAGTCGTCGACTGGTATGAATACCCACAAGCCTCTGCAGTGTCGTCAAACTCCTCATTCTGGACATCATCGCAGCTAGTGGGGACATTCAATGGTTTGTTTGCCTCTAAACTCAGCTTGTCGTTGTTTTCTTGAGGGGCAGCTCACTGGATGGTGGAGGCGGTAACATCTTGGCCACTTCTTCGTTGTTCAGTTTGACGACGAGGTTGGCTTGCGGGATCTTACTCCGCTGGTGAGTAGAATTAAAAAAATACAAGTAACGAAACGAGAGAACTAATGAGGAAAGATCATTAGGTTTATTACTAAAGTTTTATTTTCCCTCCATGGGTGGGGCTTGAAACCTAAAACGTCTTAGTAGCGCAAGTATCTTAGTTCCCACAGAAATCTTAAAATGGAATTCCATGACTTTTCCAGGACAATTTAGGGCTTTTCATGACCAATTCCAGCACTGTTTTGCATTTTAGGAGTCTAGTTACAATACACTGGCCAGTCATCACACTGAGGCAAGGGACACCACTCCCTTTCAGCCTTCCAGTTGACACAAGACCACTGAGCACCACAAAGGCATCACAATGGTGCACTGAACATGCAACAAGTATAGAGCATACATAAATAAAGAGGAAGTCTAGCAAACTGGAATGCAAACTGGAAGACGGCCATAGCCAAATATTACGCATCATCACGCATGGGTCATGCAGGATTCCATGACTTTTCCGTGACTGTGTCTTGGAGTATCAACTTTCAATGACATGACATGTAACATGATAGCTTGAATTTCCATGATTTTCCATGATTTTCCATGATTTTCCATGATTTTCCATGATTTTCCATGATTTTCCAGGATTTTCTAGGATTTTCCAGGATTTTCCGAGAATTTTCCATAATTGTGTGTGGGAAACCTGTCATAGACAAATATTTTGTTCTTTACCGGTTCTGAGTAGTAATTCCAAGAGCAGGGCTGCCTCTTAGGAAGAATTGTAACCTCGTTGGTGATGGGGTTGAAACGAGGATTGGAGAACGTCACGATGGGATCGCTACGGCAACCGCGCCTCTTCCTGGATGGACAAAAACAAAACAGCTCATCTGTAAATACCACTTGTTGGAACAATTCTGATTGGATCAAAGCGGATCATGTGACCAGAAAAAAAAACTTCAAAATAAAAAGACTGAACTTTCAAATTTCTAGTAATTTCATAATTATATGAAGTGGAAGGTAAGCACCACTATGCCGACCTGGCTTCCCAAGCAACAGGCAACTTGACCCTCGGTTTGTCGGAGCAGACCACTCATGATACTTACTGGTATCTCCTCCACACCACGAAGACAACAAGAAGCAAAATGAGGAATATCAGGAGTAGAATTCCAACGATGACAAAGACGTAGGATCCAGGCTCCGGCGCCAGTTGACGTTTGTCATCTTTACCTTGCTGCCAAGTTGATCCTTGGCACAGTCCCAGCTGCTCATTTTCAGGAGAACATCCCCTACAAAAACCAAAAAACCCAAAAAACTGATGGTATCTTATCCATTTTAAGGGTGGCATGTGCGTAAAGCGCTCGCCTCTCACCAAGGTGACCACGGTTCAAATCCTGGCCGTGGATCACATGTGAGTTGTGCTTTGGTTCTCTCCTGTGACACGAGGGTTTTTCTCCGGTTTTCCTCCCTGAAAAATCAAACACTTTCGATCTCAGGCTGTGCTCCGTGGTCATATATGGGTCAATGTGGCTGGCAGCCATAGGCGCCTTTACGTGTCAGCGGCCCGACCATGTTGTAGCCGCGTCCTTCGCAATTCAGCCTACCAGCTGCGAGTAAGGATGATAAGCCTCCCAAATTATTATTATTTCTAAGTGAATGTTTGGCCTGAAGAGAGCTGATATGTAACCTAAGATTGCAGTATTGCATCTTGGATACTGTCATTTCATTGGTCTAGAAGGTCACATTTGTTTATAAAAATGACCCTTTCATTAGTTATGTCACTCAAAAACTGCCAAGCACACCATTCGGGTGTAAAGCTTATACAATGTGCGCGATACAGCATGTGAAGAGCAGTCAGATATGTAGGGGGCACCCTGCAAGTCCATGCAGGGGTAAAAGCGACAATCAGTGACAAGAAGCATTAGCGGAACATTGGTAAATGACTGAATGGCACTCCATACCTCAAATTCTTCGTGGATACTTCTCAAGCAATTTTCTTAAATTGTGCAAAGGTAACACTTTGATTAACCCTCCTACTATTTAAGAGGTCACCCATGGTCAAAATGTTTGTATCTCACCTCCTGGCATACCGTGTACAAACCAATGGGGGTCTTGACCAATATTGACCCAAGTAATAACCAGGCTGACAATGCATGTTTCCATAGAAGAATTAAACTACACCATTAGAACTATCCGAAAAAAACACTCTTTCAGCTGGTATATGGTTGATGTATGGGAGGCCAAACATGCCAACATGCAGCTTGCTGAAAAGCAGTGAATAAATCTGTGTTGAGGGTGTTCTGTGTGTGGTTTCCTGGTCGACTAAAGTCACCTACGGTAAGCAGCAAGGTGGGGGGGGGGGTAGTTTCTCGTTGACAAAAGTCATCCATGGTAAGGAAAGGGTTAAAGGGATTGTAGATGGCCCACAGGAAAACCTATAACACCTGTACTACATTATTACATTGTATTACATTGAACTACATTGTATTACATTGTATTACGTTGTATTACATTGTATTACATTGTACTACATTGTATTACATTGTAAAATTGTATTACATTGTATTACGTTGTATGTACAACGTTATACAACGTAATACAATGTAATACAATGTAATACAATTTTACAATTACTACATTGTACTACATTGTTACATTGTATTACATTGTACTACATTGTACTACATTGTATTACATTGTACTACATTGTATTACATTGTTACATTGTATTACATTGTATTACATTGTACTACATTGTATTACACTGTATATATTCATTGATGCATCAATAAACCCATAGAGTGCTCCGGTAGTTTCGGGGCTCAACAATGAGGAACAGGCAGAGCGGTTTATTGGTGGTGCAGGGACTCAGTTCAGTCAACCCTGCTTACCTTGGTATGACGTTGCCCTGTTCTGTGGTTGGTGCTGGTGGAATGACGTTGGGATGTTCTGTTCTAAATGGTGGTGGTTTGGTTGTACCGCGAGTTGATCGTGGTAGCTCGTTGGGGGAGTTGGTCTGAATGATAGGACCACGGATGGTGACAGGAGGGGGGCTGTCTGGTCCTCCTGGTCCTGTAGTAGGGGACAAGGAGACAAATATTTGAGCGGGGTGTTACGTGACAAAAAGCAGAGTTGTAATTGGGTCAGTCACAAATCAATCACAAGTCATCACAAGTCATCATAAGTTATCACAAGTCATCACAAGTCATCACAAGTCAATCACAAGTCATCACAAGTCATCACAACTCAATCACAAGTCATCGCAAGTCAATCATAAGTCAGTCACAACTCAATCACAAGTTATAACAAGTCATCACAAGTCAGTCATAAATCAGTCAAAAGTCAATCACAAGTCATCACAAATCCATCACAAGTTATCACAAGTCAATTAAAGTCAATCACAGATCAATCACGAGTCATCACAAGTCGGTCACAAATCATCACAAATCCATCACAAGTCCATCACAAGTCAATCACAAATCATCACAAATCCATCACAAGTAATCACAAGTAATCACAAGTCAATTAAAGTCAATCACAGATCAATCACAAGTAATCACAAGTCAATCGCAACTTATCACAAGTCATTTATCATTTCGACCTATTTAAGAAGAAATTTGAGCTCCTCATAGTATCTCTCGAGGCTTTGCAAGGCTTTCAACAAAAGCCTAGCATTCAACAACAATAAAGCCACAGTTTTCATAATCTTCTCCAGACTGCTCACAGTTTTTGAATACTTGAATAAAAAAATGCCATTCTGATATTGGTTTGATGATCTGATATTTGAAGATTGGGTATATTGGGCTCAGCCCTGGATTACAGAGATAGACTTACTGAGCGAGCAGACTCTATGGTCCCGATACTGCTCATCAGGGCAAGCGCAGACATAGCCCTGGGGACGAGCTAGACACAGATGGGTGCAGCCACCATTGGCAATGGCACAGGGGTTAGTTCCTGAAATAAAAAGCCAGTAGATTTATTGTTTTAAGAAATCTGCCAGTTACAAGGTGGAAAAGCCTTGAAGAAAATATGGTTTATGCAAACAAGACCAATGCATCCATTTGTTAAAACATGAAAGGTCTTCAAATATGACTCAAATAAGCCAGTTTGGTACTCCGCCTCAAAGAGGGGCTCCTGAAGACGGTCAGAGCATACTGACCGGAACGTCGAGTTTATACCTCTGGTTCTTTTCAGAACCATTCTCTTAGTTGAGAAATTATTCGCGAATGGTGTTTCCGCAAACCTTTCATTAATTTATAGCCATAACAGAACTCGACCCATCAAACCGCAACAGCATATTTTGTTGGAATCTGTCAGGATGGGTACAGTACCCCTAAACTGACAGTCTTTTACATTTGGTTGGCACACCTCCAGAAACGAAGTCAGAAATATGTGTGTGCAGTTTCCCATTACAATGCCGGTGTTGGAATTTGCCAGGATGAGTATGGTTCCTAGTAAATCATGCTAGGGAGTTAGGGTAAATGAAGGAACCGACAACTAACAAGTCATTGTGTTTTTCGTTCCTGCTGAGCATATTTTCGTGTCTTAAATCCACCTTCTTTGGTCATTCAAATTACCTGTTTGTCTGAGCGGGGAGACCATCTGGATATTCATTCCTTGGAAACTGCCCGGCAACGTTCGCTTGTCTCGTCCGTTGGTCTTGTCGACGGACTCTATAGATGACGTGTGCCAGTCTGTCCAGTACAGCCTGGTGTTGAACTGTGGGGAAAGATACAGAGGGACATATAGTGGTTAGCGATTGACTGGGCGAGCGAAATATTGTCGGATTTGTGATGTTATACATTTTGGTCCCAGTGATGAAATCAGAGGCGAGATTGGAGAAAATGAAAAATTCATGAAATAATCGGCAGCGGGTTTCTGGGTCACCAAGGGGCCCAGAGCAACGTAGGATCTATGTTGTATATTTGTCGTTAAAGGGCACCCCTAAACCCTTTGAAGCCGACACACCCCAACCCCGCCCATTCTGAGGTTACGATACAGGAAACCAAGTGCAATGTCATAACGTCTCATTTCAAAAAAGTTGAAGTGTGTACATACCAACGTCACGCCGTACGGATGCGACATGTTTCTGGTCAGGATGCTGCGATATTTCCCATTAAAATCGGCTGTCTCAAGTTTATCCAAGTTAGCATCGGCCCAGTAGAGTCGTTTGGTCTCGTAATCGATGGTTAAACCGTTGGGCCATTTCAAATCCTCACTGATTAGTGTCCGACGGCTCGTACCATCAAAGTAAGCTCTCTCAATCTTAGGATACGTGCCCCAGTCAGTCCAGAAAATGTAGCTGAAAATAAATGAACGCACATATCAATTTTACTGAGAAGAAGAATTTTGGAATGTTCCGTGGGAGATCTCTGAAATATTCTGCTGTGTGACGGAATACTTTGTGTCTAGGATATTTTAATATTACACCAATGTTATTTTTCAAAACACTGTATACTCAGTATACTTCAGGGCTTGCGGGCCACGACACGAGTCATAATACTGGCAGCTTGTTCTGGGCAGTCTCCAAGAGGAAAGCAACAGACACAATTGAATTCCCTGTAATGCTTAAAAAGGGGCACTAGGTCCTGAAATCCCTGAAAATTTCATGTTTTGGATTGTTTACTTAGCCTATTTCAAACATCTGGTTGAAAGGAAACCAACCTAATGTCTTACCGTTCCCGAGAAAAGACGGAAAAAAAAACCCTGGTTGTTTACATCAGATATGACGGAGTACGAATACGCTTATCCTGTCATTTTCACTTTTCAGTCAATGTATGATATACAGCATCGGTGCTCGCGAAATGTGATTTCTTACACGTCCGCAAAAGGCGAACACTTTACAGATGAAATCAAAACTAGCACCCAAACAGCTTTTTTGGGTTGCAAAACTGGACCCCAAAAGTCGTTTTCGCACGCATAATACAGGAATAACACAAAAACGCCCAGTTTTTAAAGTATAGTTGTGTAGATATTTAAATCCTACTTTTAAATGTTCCGATTAACATCATTTCGTTCAAAGCGCGTTTTGTAGCCCAACTTGGCTATTTCAGGACGCAGTGTCCCTTTAAGGAATTTCCACAAACTATTGGAAAAATGTATTTGATCATCGTGAGGGTTCCTTTAGCTTGTCGTCTATTTGGTTGTCTCCAAGTTGCCCTTAAGAATTGCCTCGAGTGACTTGGCTCTTACGGGACTTAAAGGTATAGTCCATCATTTGCAGCCATCCGAAAAGTAACTGGCGTAATTATTGTTGAAAAACATACTTGGTTGAAAGATAGTAAGGGGACTAAACTCCCTGTGAAATTATTCTTTCTGGCAAGCTGTCATTTTGAAGTAATCAACGAAAGAAGGCATTTCCAACGGTGATTCTTAAGAAGCACCGTAGGAAAATTTAAATTAGTAGTTCGTTTTGTTATTCAGCGCAGCGCGCACAAGTATTGGAACGACGCACACGCGCGCGCGGTTGTTATAATTCGTCGGATCAGTGCGCGACGTCGCATATAGCTGCAATTCAAAACAATTCCAAACATGATTCAGTAAATTTGGATTTGAAATTGAGATCTTAGAATGCTGTTTTTCTCGGAATGTACAGCTGAAGCTTAGCTGAAACTTCATCAGGTTAGTTGCTCAGTATCCTTCATTAGATTTTGAACTCTTTTGTTGCTTCAAACGAACAAAATGCACAAATTACAAATGATGGACTGTAGCTTTAAATGTACTCCTAATTTATTTCCTTATCAACCAAACAACCTTGAATCCAAGCAAGACCCTATATCTGATTGTTCTTCAAAAAAATATATCACTAAATTAAAAAAAAATGAAAACCAATAAATCAGAACCCCAACCTTACCCTTTTCTGGGATAGATGACGATAGCTCTAGGCTCGTCTAGGTTGGTATCCACGATGACTTTACGCGAGGAGCCGTCCAGTCGTGAGACTTCAATCTTATCCCTGCCGGTGTCCGTCCAGTATAGATTCCGTCCGATCCAATCCACGGCTAATCCCTCCGTGGTTCCTAGGCTGGTTGAGATGATGGTCTCTCCTTCACTGCCATCATAATTTACTCGCCTGGAAATTAGAAAAATATAATTACAATTAAAAAAATGAATTGCCAACTCCTAAACCTAACACTGCGCAGAGCTGCCAACATTCTTCAGGGTTTCTTCAAAAAATGGATTTCTTATTCTCATGACTAATTTTCAATTTGTATGTTTTGTTTTAACAAACAAAAAACTATTTTATTTCGATATTGGGCATCTGCAACCCTCTGAGAGAGGGATGTTACTTTGCGCACAAATGATCCGGTCTGCGATGTTTTTATCTGCAGTACACATCGTAAATGGATCATGATAATTCAGCTAGTTCGATGTTTATTCATAAAAAAATAACAATGACGTCACACTATTGCTATCGATCATTCATGCATGTACATTAAAGCATTTCAAAGAACGGCTTTCGTCGAGCTGCCACAGTGGCCTAGTGGATAGTGGAATGAACAATGGATCGCAAGATCTGTGGTTTGAACCCATTTTTCCAGTATCCATCAGATTCCCACTTTTTAGAGCGTTATAAATAACCCGACTTTACCTGATGACGTTGAGGTATACATCAGTGTAGTAAATCTTGCACTCAACACTGTCAAAGTCCAACGTCACAGCGTTCTCTATGTCTTCCTGGATCGGCAAAATGACGTCAAGATGGTCGTCTGTATCCATGGAGATACGACGCAGGGTGTTTCTCGTGGCAAACAGTAGGAACGTCGATGGAACTTGATGGAAAAAAAAAACCACTGTCAAGTTAGGAGTCAAATCGGCACAGGAGCACTATCTTTGCCATCAACCTATGTGGCCGAAGTTCGAATCCAACACTTGGATTTTTAAAATCCAAACCCAATTCCATAGGGTTCTCCTCAAAGAACGGATCAGGAGTTGTCCTCCCACCTCTAAAACTAAGATATGGAAAATGGAAATGTGACTTGCTCAATGCCTTTTGAAACTTAGACGCTGACTACAGATTTCACAATTGCCAATGTTGAGCCCACATGATGCTGGATATTATTGCAATTCCTGGTCATTAATCTTATAGAGCTCCACCTACGTGCCTCACATCCAAAAAAGCCTCATTTCTTCAGCTTTTTACAAAACCTGCCATTGTGCACTGACTCAACTCAACAGAAGAGGACAGTTTTCAAAAGGGATTATCAGGAGTGATCCTAACACCTCTAAAATTGAACATTTCTTCAGACTGACATGTTACAGTGCAAGGGCTAACTTTTTAGGAATCCTGAGTTTCATTTTTGGGAAAATGAGCAAAATCATGGACAAAAACGTGTCAAGAAATTT